CAATACTTTGGGATTATGGCCTGTAAGCAGTATGGACCTAGCTAGATACAATACTTTGGGGTTATGGCCTGTAAGCAGTATGGACCTAGCTAGATACAATACTTTGGGATTATGGCCTGTAAGCAGTATGGATTTAGCTAGATACAATACTTTGGGATTATGGCCTGTAAGCAGTATGGATTTAGCGGATCTTTCTGCAGTGCAAATTGTAAATTAAGTATTTAAAGTGACACTATGGTCACCAGAACAACTACATCTTATTGTATTTGTTCTGGTTAATATAATAATTTCCTTCTGGCCTCCGATCTGCCTCCTTGACAATCTCAGCCATTTCAAGTGATTGGCCGAGATTATTACTTATGATGATGTCACCCAAGCAGACAGATCGGGGCAGAACATGCAGCAGCAGACTGGAGTAAAGGTAAGATTTTGCTATATTTTGGGAGGGTAAGGGGTGGTCTTGGGGGTAGATGGTTGTTTCAACCTATAGGGTTACATTCGACAGGGAGGTATTAACAACCAGAAGGACTTTGGTCAATATTCTCAAGTATATCATGTAATATGCAAAAAAAAAAACAAATACGATATTGACTTTACATGATTTACTGCACTAGCAGTGAGTTGCCTACAGAACAGTGTCCCCCCCCTTAAGTATTTGGGTGAGTGTGCGCACCTCTTGCAGTTAAAATGACTCAATACAAACTGCAAGTGGTTATTGTGATATCTAATACTGTTTTGCAGATGAATCAGTCATGAAAGAAAGTGCTCAAATGGAACACGGTTGCACAAAACTAGAATCCTGTAGGTATAATTACCACGTTTTCCGTGAAGTAATGTAAGCTGTAAAATAAGAACGTCTGTAAATTATTTTTCTCTAAGGGGTCAGGATAACAGAGCACACAATGTAATTAGTGCGTAAGCTGTAATAATGAGACTGGCACTTTAATCTCTGTTTCTCTTCTCTTGAACCAGACAGGTAGACTGACAGTATAATAGCAGAGAGACAGGCTTGTTAACACCATACCCAGCTGTCTCAGGTGCTGGAACCTCCAGGTACCTTTTTAAAATTACGCAATTTGTTCTACATTCATTTCACTCTGTTCTCACTGACTGACAGATCCAGACCACCCAGTAGATACCATTCAATCTCCATACAATAATAACTATCATTATTGGCATTTTATATAGTGCCAACCTATTCAGCAACGCTTTACAAATAATGTACTGTATCTCTTTAAATGCTTGATCCTAGCAGTAGGCAATCTATATATATATATATATATATAAATATACTTTGAATGAACACTGTCCCCTCTTTATGTGTTCGGAATATATGTTAATGTTCTTCTCAATTTTCTTACCATTTATAAGCTTTGATTTGTTCTGTGTTCCAGTTTTAAAGACGTTGTTGGCGATCTATATATCTCAATGCTAATTATCACATTAATTTCAAACAATATTTGGATCCCTCTCCATGGAAATGATGGTGCTATGAATATATCTATAGTTAAATCTTTACCTCCCTTTGTGCAGGGTTACTGATTCCAGTTCCAAATTCGGTTTAGCCGCAACATTCTATTTGAAATTTTAAAACCTGCTTTCAGTAATACAGATATTAACCCTTACAGATCTGGGCAAATCACTTCATACTGTGACAGTCCAGACACAGAATCAAGTTTTTTTTTTTTTTTTTAAAGAAACTTTAAATTGGACTGAAACACCGATGGTAAAATTGAACCGACGTGGCATAATTATCGAACTTAGCTATAGCCACAGTAAGGCTATTTTAGCCATTCAGATATAAATTTACTTTGATTTCATACTGAAAATGTTAAATTAATGTTTTATATAGAAAATGATAAATTAACATTCTGAAACCTTGACTCTGACGATCACTACTCTTCTTTATTAAAGTAATTGTGTCTTGTATTGGCTCATTGGTCTAATGTCACTGGTCATTGACCCTTGGAGACAATGAGTGCAAGCGGTGATTCTAGCAATAGCTAGTAATGTTGTTTTAGGCTATATTATCTAATTACAAAAAGCTTTTCTGTTTAATGTGTTAAGGAAAAAGCACTCTGGATGCCTCTTTTTCCATTGCAAAAAGCTTTTACGGGTAATGAAATGTTAATTATAAATGTACAAAATAGGATCTTCACCATCAGGAATTCTGATCCTTTTTATCCAAAACAGAAAACTTGATGATTTTCTTAAATAGATTCAGAAGTGAATGACACACAATGCACAATATCAACAGCCCACTAGACTTGTGCATTTGGTTTTAAACAAACTGGGATTTGTCTGAATTTGGGGCGATCGGCAGTTTGTCCGAATCCCAGAAATCTGACACGCTGTATGGACAAATCACAAAACAAACTAAAAGGACAATGGACAAGCAGTTTGTTTGAGTTCCATCCATGGTGCCCCAATAAAAGACAGCCATTAAATGTTAATTTTATTCACATATCGAGTGAGAAGAGACCAATAGAGGGAAAAAGAAGGAACATTAAAGAAAATCTATATTTAAACAGTATATATTTAATAAAGAAATAATATATAAATATAGATTTTTTTTACGGCACCTGCTCTATTTTCCTCTATTGGATACGTCTTCTAACTTAAACCAAGTGGCGCAAAAAGTGTACTGGAAATGTATACATAATATTTGTATTTTGCAGTACACTGGCCAATTTCTCACTCTTTTGGTTTGTCCGAATCATTTTTCTGAAATAATAAGCATGGACAAAATTGAAACGTCAAATGCCGAATGCCGAATTGTCCGATAATGTTTTTTTGTTTTTTTTGATGATGAATCAGTTTGTACTAAGCAATTTTTTCCACCATGCACAAGTCTACTACTGGGGTTCATTGCAAGGACAGACATTTCTCTAAATTTCAGAGCATTTTATGAATGAAGACAATTGTACCGAGTTATTCACTAATCCATGAATTGTCAGCAATTTACCAGTGAACGCCCAGTTTCTCACCAAACGGTCCAGATAGAGCAATTCTAATTGAATATCACAATTAAAATCAAAACAGCAGAACTGAAAACACAGCCGATATGGAGAATATTTTCAATCCAGCTTTTGTGGCCTACAATTTTAAATTTTCACATTCAATTTGAATTCTGAGATGATTGGATAACCTTGCCAGTTATGTTTCCAGCTAAGCTATTCTGGCTTTAATTTCCATGGTGACTTTCAGCCAATTTACAATTTAGTCAAGCAGTGGTGGGAAAGCTTCGGCACTCCAGATATTGTAGACTACATCTCCCATAATGCCGGCAAAGCATAAAGGATCGATATAGTCCACATCTGGAGTGCCAAAGGTTGGTAAAATATGGTTTAGTTAAAGGAACACTATAGTCACCTAAATTACTTTAGCTAAATAAAGCAGTTTTAGTGTATAGATCATTCCCCTGCAATTTCACTGTCATTTAGGAGTTAAATCACTTTGTTTTTGTTTATGCAGCCCTAGCCACACCTCCCCTGGCTATGATTGACACAGCCTGCATGAAAAAAAACTGGTTTCACTTTCAAACTGATGTAATTTTCCTTAAATAATTGTATCTCAATGTCTAAATTGAACTTTAATCACATACAGAAGGCTCTTGCAGGGTCTAGCAAGCTATTAACATAGCAGGGGATAAGAAAATCTTAATTAAACAGAACTTGCAATAAAGAAAGCCTAAATAGGGCTCTCTTTACAGGAAGTGTTTATGGAAGGCTGTGCAAGTCACATGCAGGGAGGTGTGACTAGGGTTCATAAACAAAGGGATTTAACTCCTAAATGGCAGAGGATTGAGCAGTGAGGCTGCAGGGGCATGTTCTATACACCAAAACTGCTTCATTAAGCTAAAGTTGTTCAGTTGACTATAGTGTCCCTTTAATAACCCTGAATTAGTAAATATATTTCTCACATACGGATATGTATAAGGTGATATTATATTTTATTTTATGAGGGATACTTCAAGCCCCCAGCAGGTTGTTGCTGCAACCACTGGAGATACCAGCTCAGATCAAATTATTACAGAAGCAAGCCGTGTTCCCCGGCCTAGGTAATTTTATGGTATTTTCCTGCAGGGTCAGTGCACACATACACGCTGAGCAAGTCCTCATTTTCTCTGTATTAATTCAACATTGACAGTAAATAACAGATACATCTACATTGGAGTAGCAAAAAATAATCAGAAGAACTCAGGCAACTCAGTTATCTTCTTATATTTGCAGATTGAACTGAGCTCCCACACTTCTTACTGTGATGAAAGGAGCACTGTTTACAATATAGCATGCCTCCCGACATTCTCGATTTCCTTGGACAGTCCTGATTTTAGGGTCCCGTCCCACCGTTCTCACTTTGTTCTTTGGGGTCCAGATTTTTCCTACTTTCACCACGCTCAGAGCACTAGGACCATGCAGAGAGCACTGAAACAGTGTTTTGGTGGACAGTCAGTGTGATTGGCAGGAAGCCTGGCATGCATTCACATTAGGCTTGAAAGCCAATTCTCTAGGTGGACATTTGGGTGGTGCCAGTGACCTGGTTCATATCACCGAATTGCCACCTTTTACCCTGTCCGCTGGCATCCCCCTTCATGGGATGACCATATTGGGCAGTATGGTATGGGAGAAATCATATGTGGAACAAGACATGTTAAAATTGCAAAGCAACCGGTGAAGAAGTACCCTTCATTAATTCATGCAGCTTTAAAACATCAATGGTCCTGTATATTATCATGCAATCAAGACAGACATCATTATTACAGAATGACACGCCTCCATTGGTTGAATGGCCAATTTACAGACAGATCCAGCGTCCGATGAGCTAGCAGTGATTAAAATGATGTTTTTCTCTGTATGTTGACTATGTGGAATATTGCATTAATGGATTTTAATTGTTCCTATATTGTTATTTGACTATAACATAGGATAGTCACAGGAAATGTGGGTGGGGGACCCCAGTGTGCTTCACAAATTCTCAAGAAGAAATATTGTTACCCGCTTGACAGGCAGAATAGAAAGTAGTAAGATACGCAGAGTGTAAAATCATTAACTCTGTTTGCCTAGAGTGACAGAATTATAGGGACTGGCCCAGTCTATACTTTAAACAATATTCCAGGCAGTCAATTTTAATGTGTTTACATTATTAGTGAGTTTCCATTTTTTCCCCACTTTCACTATAGCTGAAAACATTTGGATATTTTTCCACTTAATTAAATTAACAAATATCAGTAATGTTACATTGTATAGACCAGGAGCTCTATTTTCGTTCTTGCCCAACTGCCCACTAAGAGAAACTGTCATCAGTTAGAAATGTTGGTTGTATTGTTATTCTTGTAGAAATAGTGCCACCTAGTGGCTGACATAGATATGAAGTATTTTTATACCCATTCACTAAGCTAGAAATGTATAAAGAGCCCAATATATTCTGGGGTTATCTAAAATCTGAAATAAAAAGAGCACATAGCATAATTCTGGTTTAAAGGATCACACAAGCAGATATTGATTACACTCACAGGAATGTTGGAATATATAGCACTCGCTGGTGCCGCCCCAATGTAGATGGGGGGCTTTCTCCTTGCACCATGGAATGTACTTTATTCCACATCAACACATGTCAGGTTGTAGCAAATGTACATTTATTTAAATTAAATATAATAAAAACACAATATGTTCCTACGCATTTCGACTATTGCAACAGACTTCCTCAGGACCCTTGCAGTAAAACATATGACAAAACAATGCTACAATAACCTAGAATAATTGAAAATGAAGTATATATGTTTTCTTTTTGTTTGTACACTGTATAAGTTCATATGGTTACTGGTTGTACTAAACTAGACATAGCAGATTTGATAAGAGAATAGCATATTTTAGGCAAAAAAAAAAAAAAGTTTAAATGTAAAATACCTGAGAATAGATATTTATAATTACTGTTTCCAGTTTGGTTATTTTGATGCAACATTTGCAATTCCTTGTCATTTCCCCAAAGATCCCCCTGTAATGTAGAACTCTACATAGTTATAGAGATAATGTGCTTGCTGGTCCTTTTGCTTAACTTAGCTCTCTATCTAATTCCAGGGATGGCAACATTAACTCTGACAGTTATACCCAGTAATCGCCAAATTATAAGTACCATTTAAGCTGGTAACTGCTAAAATAACCTCAGTTTATTCCAGTAATGATAAAATAAAAGGACAGCTGTTGACACATTTTCACTTCCCAATTATTAAACGTTTATTACATTTATTGAAACAATTATTTATTTATTTTTAAATTATATATATATTTGGCCCAGCGCATGATTCAGGGTAAGTAAAACCTATTTTCCAGAGCGGAGCAATCAAGGTGGAGGGACCTTATGCATAGCGCCCAATAGGGTATTTTACATAGTAAAGGTCCCCCTGCTTCAATTGGTTAAAGTAACCCTTTAAGCCTACTGATTGGCCTAAAATGCTTAATCAATATGTCACAACATTTCAAATGGACAAAGAGAGGCAGTTTCATTTTAGGGATGGCCAGAGAGGGGTTTGGCCAGCGGTGAGGCTGATCTAGAAAATCGTAGGTGACTTCAATAATTTATGCAACTAAAATGTAATTTAGAACAAAAACAATGTATCTTTTTTACACAGACTGGTTTATTGTAGTTGAAAAGACACATTGGGAGGTATGCTAATCCATGCTGTACTGGATCTCTTTGTGCAGCAGAGACTGGCTCTAGGTCAGCTGTGGTTGGATTATAAATCTCATAACGCTCAGACCAAGATGGGAGTATCAGTTTTAAAAAACATTTAATGGTTTCATGTTTAGACCTTTCTTTGTACACCGTGTGATTTTGTTTCCCTGCTAACATGATGTGTGAAACGACTTCCTATAAACCGGGCTGAATCGTAAATCTGGGAATACCAGTCCCATAGCAGAATTTTCTCACGCTCTCTGAAAATGTGGCCTTCTAAACTGTAACCAAGAGGGATTATATTACCCCTCATCGGGGAACACAGTAATGTTTTACCAAATAATATGATGTGGTTTTATTTAATGAGCTTACTGATGATTGTAAAATTGCTAATGTACAAAGATCGCCCTTGAAAAGGATGCAGTTGTTACTGTTCCTGTATGTCATACATGTTTTGTTACAATTCCATGTGTCTCATTTACCTATTGTACAGCACTGTGGAATAAGTTGATGCTTTATAAATAACTGTAATTTTAAAAATTACAATTAAGAATTCTTCTTAGGCCACATTAAATATTTAGGCATACGATTGACTGCAGACCCATCTCAATTATACCAACAAAATTATACTCCATTGATTAGGACATTGATGACTGACATGGAGGGCTGGACGGAAAGAGCGATTTCCTGGATAGGGAGGATACATTCAGTGAAAATGAATGTGCTACCCCGGATTTTGTTCTTGTTTCAGGCACTCCCGATTAGACTGACTAGATCTGATCTGGGGCCGCTTCAACAAACTATTGGCAAATTTATATGGCAGAACAAGAAGCATAGGGTCTCACGCAACATCCTCTACCAAGCTAGGGACAGAGGGGGCTTAGGCCTTCCACACTTATATTTTTATTATGAGGTGGCCCAATTGGCACAGTGGCATTCTGCCCCAGAGGAGAGAAGATGGGTGGACTTGGTATCCTCCCTTCTGGGGATGGATATGCCTCAGTTTTTTATGTGGACTCCTAGGGAACACAGACCAAACATTAGCGTAGCCTGCCCAGTAATCTTAAATTCATTGAAGCTATGGGACGCAGCTGCCACAAAATATAGTCTAGCATCCTACCCTTTTCTGATGACCCTTTTTTGAGGAACAAAACATTTATACCGGGAATGACAGCCCTGGATTTCAGAGGCACAGAACACGCAGGGTTGCAAAGAGTATACCACTTGTTCGAAGGGGGGGTCGTTCATAACGTTTGAGGAACTACAAACTAGAACCCCTCTGCGACCTTTCGACTTTTTTTTAGATATCTTCAACTCAGAGACTATGCCCAAGTCCCTCAGGTTAAGAAAGCCGCAGCGACACAGATGACATTTTTCGAAAGAATGTACGCAAGGGAAGGTTTCCCGAGCAGTTTGATTTCGTATCTGTGCAACAACACATTAGAATGGGGAGGAATTTCATGCATAGATCAATGGAAGGCGGACCTGGGCGAGACACTGGAGGGCACAGAGTGGCAGGAAATGTGGGAGGCGGCCGCGCGGTCCTCTCTGTGTGTCTCGTTGCAGGAACAATCATAAGACTCTATTTCAATGGTATGCCACACCGGTAAAATTATGCCGAATGAACAAAATCTCAACTGATCTATGCTGGTTGGGATGCGGCCTGAAGGGAACATATATCCATATGTGGTGGGAATGCCCAGTAGCACAAGTTTATTGGCAACAAATTGCACAGCTGATGCGAGACGTATTTGAGAAAGAAGTTAAGCTAGACCCATGGATATTCCTACTAGCCAGATCTATAGAAAATTGGCCAAAAACTGAACAAACCCTATTGCATAGGGTGAATTTGGCCACTAGGAGAGCTTTGGCACAGGTATGGCTGCAAAGAGAGGCTCCCAGCCTTTCGGCGGTGATACAAAAAAATTAAATATACTTGCCTGATGGATGACCTAACAGCTCGGGTTAGAGGATCGCCGAAACAGTTTGAAAAAATATGGGGCCCTTGGATAGCTAGCGCAGCGAGTGCTTGACACGGCCCTCAGACAGGTCTATCTCTGGAGATTCACTTGGTTCCCCACGTGCCCAAACCCTTCCCCTTCCACTTCTTGCCCCACCCTCCTATTCTCCTCACTCTCTTCTCCTGCTTTCCTACGTGAGAATCTCTTACAATTGATCTACTACTTTTCTACACTCTTAAATACAATGCATCACTATGTAATGTGGGCACACGAATACAAAAACTAATGGAAAGGAAAATGAACACTTTCACGATATGGATATATGAGCTTTGTAATTGAAATGCATATGAACAGATAGGAGATATACTATAGCTAAGATAACTGTTTACGTTGTGAGCCTTGTTCTTCATGTTTCTGTTCTTAATTGTATTTTTTTTTTTAAAAACCCTCCATTGTGGACAGGAAGCCCAATACGGGCCGATTAATAACTTCACTATATAATACATTGGCCTGCAAATGGAGGACAGGAGCTACTGTTTAATGTTACTGAAGATGCAAGATAAACTGTCCTGCGTACTGTTATAATGTGTCTTGTTGTGTATTGGATGTATAGTCTTGCCTTGGAATAAATAAAGAATATAAAAAAAAAAAAAAAAGAATTCTTCTTAGGAAAGAGAATCTTTTTATCGATTTTATGACACAAGAAAGAGAATAGTCTCTACACTTTCACATTTTACTAATTCAAAGTAATTTGCAACGGGAGGCGTCAGGAGTTTTTAACAATATGGCCCACGCCCTGGAGTGTTTTTAGGCACTGTAAACCTTCAAACGCGCATACTTTATAGTAATCACATGCTTCTTATCAACTGCATGGATAAGAGTTTTTGAGGGAAACATTTTATTTCTTTTTATTTAAGATGAGATTTTTCATTAAACAAACAATCATTATAACTGTATATATTACGTTTTCATGTTCTTTAATGTTCTTACACTTTAAAAGGACACTCTAAGCACCGTAGCCATTACAGCTCATTGTAATGGGTATATAGTGAGTTGTCTTTGCCAGTTTGAGTGTACAGGTTCCCCTTTGGACTGGGCCAGGCAGGCCGTCTACATGCTAATGGCATGTAAGGCTGTAAAACAGGTTCATGCGGCTACATCAGGGTCAAGGGGTCAACGAGAACATTGATGACTAACTTTTGTATATAATTTCCTATGATACTCATGGCCACTGGGAAGGTCGCATTGCGGAGAGGAGAACCTGGCCAGGTCCACAAGTGCCTCCTTACAATTCATTTGACAAATAAACCTGCATAAATAGTATTACAGTAGTAAACATGTATGTGTTCAAGATTCACCTTATCAGTCTATCTCCTAGTTCTGGCTGAAAACATTTTGTGCATTTTGACCAAAACCAGCCTCTGTGAGGCACCTGCAAACTTCTGCTATTGTGGAAGTTCCACTTCTGTCACGGGGCCATTTTTGTAGTTCTCAGAAGGCTGTGTAGTAGTTTTCCATGGTGCTAACGATATCACTGTTATTTTCAAGAGCACCGATAACTCTCTTCAATATGGTATCCGCTATGTTTGGGTCATAGCTCTGTCGAACACAGCGTAGGATGTGAAGAAAGTGGCAGCCCTTTTCTGCATCTAATGAAAGCAATCATTTTGATTAGTAAATTATCCAAAAATCACAACAAAATGGAAGAATGTTATATTTACATAAATAAGTAGAACCTGCAGAACTCTGTAGACCAGGGACGCCCAATAAACTGCTTCCCACCTGTTGTAGGCTAGAAACCCCCAGGATGGCTTGCCAGACTTCAGGTTTTGTTGTAGATTCTATTTAGAGTGGTGCAAAAAGTCCCACTTACCCACTGATAGGCTAATATCACAATTTATTCTAATTTCAGACCATGTGTCTTTTAACTTATTAGAAGCTTAGCCTGTGCAGGTATAAAAGAGCTGGATACTTAATCCATTAATAATCAGTGACATACCATGAATGTCATATTATGGGGTATGTTTTGTGATGAAGGAGTTGAAGCAGCTTTGTCACCCCCTACCCCCCCAAAAAAGCCCAAGTATTTTTATAATGATAAACGCTTTATGAAATACTCACATAGACTATGTTGAAATTTCACAGAAATTACAATACAGTCAAAAGATATACTGACACAAACAGGGTTTACTTTCTTATACATTTCTCCTACACCTGACAAAACTTGACAGGAGGCAGAGCTACCGCCGTCAAGTTTTGTCATTTACTCTGTGAATCGTGAATCGTGAAGCTGTGAATCGTGATGTTTGTGAGGGAAAATGCATTGCCTGTGGAGGTTCAAGCAGTCTCACAGAATCCTCCATAGCCTGACGTGGTTTCCTGGTAGATAGAGCTACAGGAGCTGAAGGTAAGTAAAATTTACCTTCCACTGCACCCGCAGGGTAATATCCAATATTTATTAAGGTGTGCAAGATCTGAAATGTATAAATGCACACTGCTGTATTTATCCTGAAACTGGAACTGAGCACCGCCATCTTGGCTCCCTGTCAATCACTGTTATAAGCGACACGTTTTGCCCCTGTCAATCAACAGTCTCTCCACCTCTAGTGCAGTGTCTGCAGTGCTTATGTCTGGTCTGAACTGGATTGTGATGCCATTTGTTAAATCTTGTATATACATGTAAAACAAAAAGGGACATGACACAAAAAAGGCAAATACAAGTTGTAGACATTTCCAGTGTTTTAGTCAATACCGTATTTTCCTGAAAATTGATGGTTTAGTGCAGATTGGCTGATTAATTAGTAGCAAAAACATTTTTTTTTTTTTAAACCACGCAAAAACATAGAATTCAGTAGCTGAGAACAAACTAAAATCCTAAGTTTTTGCCAGTTTTGCAATGCATCTCATTACATCATATCCCATGTTTAGGGCATGACTGATGAGCATTTGACTGTAGCAAGTAGCTCTACATATTAGATAAACATGTAAGAGAAGAGAATCAATCAATATCCAATTGGTGAAGAAAGTTTTATTCAGTTTTTTTCCAAAAGGGAAGTATTAGAATAAGCTAATGCTGACACTTTGTAGCAATGTAACCAGATCTATGCACATTTAAAGCCTTTAAACAGGAGCCAAGATTGATAATGTTACATTATAATTGTTCCTATGTTAATGGGTGTTTTCATTCATTCTTTTGTAGATGGAGCTGTTACATCACATCACAAATTTTGAATTGGCAATACGTTATACAGCTGTACTCATTATGTGTGTCTGGAAAATTCAATGACCATTAAGCAGCATACAGATCTGTCACTTTATCACACTGTAAAAAGAGACAAAATGAATCGCACTCCAATCTCGTGAAGATCCGGGTGCTAAATTGGACCAATGGCCAGCACAAGCCCCAGGGAGGAGATATCAGTAGTAGAAAAAGGATCCAGGCACAAATGTGTTTATTCGGACAAGTGAGACACCGCAATGTCTCAACCCCTGAAAGGGCTCGACAAAGATCGTTTCAGGGGTTGAAACTTTGCGGTGTCTCACTTGTCCCAATAAACACATTTGAAGATACTTGGAGTGCCTGGATCCTTTATCACATTGTGACATCTAGTGGTCTATATTGGAAGTGTAATGTGCACTCTCTATGAATGGAGAATTTAGGTTAAAAAAATACTACTGATATCAAAGAATTAAAATGAACAAATTACAAACATCACAGACCCAATCTACCATGAATAGTAGTTGTTACTATTTTTACACAATGATACGCTGCACGCAAGCATTTTCTTCGTAGGAACTTGATCACTTACCTCTGACAGTGGGTCCCACACTACACATTCTTGTAGTGTTTCCGTAAAGGGACACTATACCCACCACAACAATTACAGCTTAATGTAGTTGTTCTGGTGTGTATAATATGTGCCAGCAGGCATTTTAATGTAAATACTGCCGTTTCAGAGAAAAGACACTGTTTACATTACGGCCTTAGAACACCTCTAGAGACAGTCACTCAGACACAATGTGCCGCACTTACGTTCAGCATCTTCCTTCTCTGCATGGAGGTGCTGAACGTTCCCCATAGAGATGCATTTATTCAATGCATGTCTATGAGGAAATGCAGATTGGTGCAGCATGGCGTTTTGCCGTGCATACACAATAGCCTCCCAATGTTGGATTGGCTGACATCATCAAAACTGATGATCTCAGCCAAGGAGGCACAGTGGGTGGGGCCAGCCGCTAGGAGATCTGCGCCGTGCCGGAAAAAGGTAAATAAACTACTTTTTTCACAGTGGCCTGAAACCTAAACAGAGTTTTCACACCTAAGATGTCAGGAATACACGTTAGTGTTCCTTTAAATAGCCAAAATAGTATGATAGCTATTGCAGATGCCAAGCACAACAGTTTTGTATTTTGTATAAAACAGAGTTCGGAAAAAGTAAAACTAATACGATTTAACTGTAATAGATACTAGACTGTGCCATTAATAGCATTTACTTGATGAAAATTCATTTCCTGGAAATTAGGTTTGGAACCTTCAGTCAACATGAAAATCCTTCCTTTTCAAATAATGATGATGATAATAAAAGTTACATTATCTTGAAGTACCCGGGAACATTGTAACTCGGAATCAGATTGCGTATTACACATGCCAGGTTAATCAGGTATTTGTGTAAAATAAAGAATATTTATTTAACTTAACTGTGATAAACATAAAGAGATATAAATCAAACTCAGAGAGTTAAAGGGTAAAGTAAAGAACAAAATGAATGAAACGTAAAAACATACAACCACTTACGTTTCTGCCTTTTACAATCCTCTTGGATAGCAGTCAGTGTAAGTTTATATAATTCTTTATCCTGGTCAGTAACCTGCACAAGACATAGCCGAGGGTTATTCCTAGTTAGAATATTATATCATCAGCATGCAGATAGTTCCATCTATTAAACATATTCTAACATTCAACATCCTGCTACCCTTAATAAAAGTTTAAAGTTTATACACATTTTTATAGTAATGGTTTATCTACAGAATACTAGAAATTCCAATTATGAGTACTTTAGGTTAAATGTACCAGTAATAGTTTATTTTCCTCCAAGGCCAGGATGAGACCACAAATAATGATTCTAAAGCCAGGTGAGAGGATCAGTGTTTAAACACCTACCTACCCTTCTGTATGTACTTCTCAGAACAGTTTGTGTCCTAACCCAACCTCACAGGTGAGTGGAACTACATGGAATAAAATAACCTGATTTTCTTTCAGTACAGAGAATGAGGAATTTTTTAATGAATTATTTAAAGCAGCAGCAGGGTGCATACAGCTTGTTTTTGAATCTTCTTTCTACTTCATAACAGCTACATAAAGCTGAGTAATTCCGTGATGCTGGAGCTGACAGTTTGATGGGCTTTATGAATAAATTGAGTTGTCATGGTAACGGTTACAGATTCTGACTGTGACATATAAAACACCTGATGCTGATCCAGGTGGACTCTGAATTCTCCCTCCTATTTGATTGCAATGTTACAATGTTCTGGCTGCACACTCATCAGGAAGCACAGTCACCAAATACAGTCCAATATGAATACTATTGAGCGACTGAGAAATAATTAATAAATAAAAAAAAATGCAACTCTAATACTTAACAAGTAGAGTGTGGAATAAATGTGGGGAAATTTGAATATTTACATTGTGGCTGCTTAGGTCTTATTTCAAAGCACTGAAGTCTTGCAGATCTGCATTATCCATAAAATGATCTTAGGTGGCTCCCAAAGGCCCTGGGGTAGACAAGGGCACTGGAACCATTAATTTGTTTGGCACCCATTCAGTAGCCAGCCTATGGTCTTGTGGGATCCTAATCCTTGTTGAAAGCCCTTGTCCAATAAACTTGTGTAAATCTGGCCCAGAGCGCTCCTTGATCGACACCGCAGCCTCTGAACTTTGTCAACACATGCCTATTCTAAGGAATCCCTGAAGCATTACTAAAATGCAAATCTTTGGATGTCAGGCTTTCCTCATAACACATCTACTTGGTCCTATGATTACCATGCCACGTGGCATCATCCTACAGTAGATGCTTCTTAAGCAGCAAATTCAAATTAGCCAAGTGTGTCACCATTAAAAGAGATGAGAATCTGACTACAGATTCACGTGCAATTCATAAAAAGAAGCTTCACGTTGCCTCACTGATACAAGCAGTCATTACATTGATTCATCTACCAACCAGTATAATTTTTAAGGAGCATTCTGTTCAAAGATTAATGGTTTTACCTGATAAACATCTCGATTTTGTCCTTTTTGGAAGATAATGCCCTCTTTTAGTAACAAGTGTATGGCTTCCTTAAATATATTGTGAATTTCTTTGATGTTACAAGTAATGTTTGAGTCACCCTGCGGAAAAAAGAGACTTAAAATAATAAGTCATTTTATTATTCTTATAGTGTAAGATAAAAAAGGCAATATCAATATGTAATCTGTGCTATAGTAGTCAAACCATTAGCTACTTCACTACCAAACACTTTTTGAATGAAAAAACATATTATCAAATCATTTGTTTAAAGCAATGGATGCATAGTTCGTATACAAACAACATACTAGAGAAAGCTTGTGTGTAGATTGCTTTTCAGGCAAACTTAAACATTAAAATCCAAAATCCAAGAACAATGAATGACAACAAAGAAAAAAAACATATACACACATACAAATATATACATTATTGCACATGTGCACACACAAACACAACTACACACGCAGTGCAACCAGTTCATTTTTATTTGACACACGCTCTTTAATAACTAGCCGGACAGATAATGAAAAATAAAAGCCCCATTTCAAAATTAACCAACCTCAGCTATTGGAGTCTTTGCTATAGCAAGTAAGGAACTAACACCTTCTAATTCCCTCTGGTAGAAATTCTGGATTTTGTTCTCCACTAGAAAGACTTTGATTTTTTCACTGAGCAGGGAGATGAGACTGGATAGGGTAACAAACTTGTGGTCACTAAAAAAAAGAAATAAAGCAATCTTTAAAATATAAACTATTACTGCCAGTCACAAAACGAACAACATTTTCATTTCTTTTTGGAATTGTAAAGGAGCACTATAGGTTCAGGGACACAAACATGTATTCCTGACCCTATAGTGTCAAAACCACCATCTATCACCCTGCCTCCCTAAATATAGTAAAATCTTACTTGTATTTAAGTCTGCTGTTGCTGCCTCTGCTACTGATCTGACTGCTTGGCTGACATCATCAGAAGTGGTTCTCTGAGCCAATCACAATGCTTTCCCATAGGATTGGCTGATACTGTCAAGGACATAAGCCAAACACAGCCCTGGTCAATCAGCATTTCCTCATAGTTATGAATTGAATCAATGCATCTCTATGAGGAAAGTTCAGTGTCTGCATGCAGAGGGTGGAGACACTGAATGGCAGTCGTGCCCCAGGAAGCACCTCTAGTAGTCATCTGAGGAGTAGCCAGTGAAGGTATTCCTAGGCTATAAGGTAAACACTGCATTTTCCTCTCAAGTTGTTCTGGTGATTATAGTGTACTTTTGAGACATAGAACGTATGTCTACAATCCATTATTATATAAAAAGTCCAATGAGTACTGCACACAAGTTAAAAGCACTTTAGAGCCCTGTGGAGGGTGGTCCGCCATCCACACCAGGAATAGTATAAAAGTTGAAGTCCAGAGGAGTCACAAAGTAGGGTGAAGGTAAAGGTATTTTACTGAAGATCAAAAGGCAAAAAGATACAACGTTTCAGCCTTCATCATACACGATTATGGCCAAAAAGCTAAAACGTTGCATTTCTTTGTCCTTTGATCTTCATAAAAATACCTCTACCTTCACCCTGCATTGTGATGGCTGTGGACTTCAACTTTTAACATCTGAGAAGAACAACAACATTAAATGTTAGAGATTAAGGCAGACTTATGGACAGCGGTGGGACTTTCTTGGGACATCTAACGTATCTTCATGATCTACTGATACCCATTTATGGAACTGAAAATGTAGTTCAGAACAGGTCTCAAGTAGCTTAACACAGACTGATTTCTAAACACATTTATTGTGGCTTAAAAACAGATTATGGTGAGTGTATTGCTGTGAACAGCTATCGCTATAGTTATACACACCGACACACCAAAGCTTGGAGCTCCTAAAAAAGGACATAAGAGAAAGAGTGGCAGGTGGATTTAGGACCAAAATAGGCACTGACCTTCCTAAACATGGACTTAGGAGTATGTGAGAAGTATGTGTGGGTGTGTTCTCCACATGTAATGCAGATAAGTGCTCCCGCAGTAAGAATGGGCAAGCAGAGACTAAATCAAAAGAAAATTAAAAAAATTCCTAAACTGTTCCAATAAATCTGTACTAGTCCGGATATAAAGAATATATATATAAAGAATATGTTAATTTGGTTTTAATCTATAGAATAGTCTCACTAAAGCAAACAAAAAATATATTTAAAAAATATGGAATCATCCTTTTAAATAGGAAAATGGTATATTTCCTTAATGCAAATACAAACAAAAATGTTACATATTCTATTATGTCGGTGGGATAGCCACAATGATAGCATGATCATATTAACATAATATTCATAATAAAAAAACAATAGCCATTAAAGGAATGACTTTGAAGAAATTATGAACACACTTTGCTTCCTGTGATGGATCTTTCATGTGCTCCGGGATTTTAAAAGGCTTGTCGTAGACATTTCTATAAAGATATAGAACATCGAACATTCTTGCAATCTGCACATGAAGCATTGGATCATCCACTTTATCTAGAAAAAGAAAACCAAGAGCAATAAATCAGACATACTTACTCATACATAATAGAGATATAAAACAGTAAATTCTAGCTTGGGGTGCTGGGTTTGAACACAAGGCAATATTTTGTAGTTTTAACAGGAGATTGTTCACAAAGGCTCCAAAAATGCATTCTATGGAGAAAAATCAGCTAGTCAGATTGCAGGAGAACAGTAGACCCCCATTTAATAGTTACAATAATAAATAAATCAATAAAAAGTCACCCTTAAAGGTCTTGTGTTTCCAGCAAATCCCCAAGATTGGCAGCTGTCTACAGTCAGCTCTTAAATATAAAGAAAAAGGTTGACACCTGTTAGATATTCCTAGTTGTCCTAATGTCTACAGTGGGAGCTGAATATTTTCCTTATTCTTAACCTCTAAGACAATATGTAGTTCAGCACATGCCAGCAGTGACATTCATCAAATGGGATGTATGTAACTGCTTTGCACCTGTTGGAAAGGTGGATTTGGATCAAACTGTTGCACAGCTCATGTACCGTTTAAATACTTGGACAGGCTGACAAGGCATAAACATGAAGTGATTGTTGCAAAGTGATGCAATTAAAAAATATGAAATGGTGGGAGACTGGGGATCTCGTTGCACAGTAACCCACGGAAGACCCTGCTCATTAATAATTACTGTCGGCAAAACTATTACGTTGTCTGAAGAAACATTAAAATAAAAGTATGCATTTGCAAAGGTTAATATAAAGGATAAAACATGTTCACTTACAAAACATTGACGCCACAATTTCTCGCTGGCCCCGGAACACTTTAATGTAACCTCGAACTCTGATGACATCACCTAGTTCCATCCTGGCTTTCTGCTCCTCCTCTCTGTATAGCTCTTGCATCAGATCATCTAATCCCTTAGCGCCAGATGTGCTTTGGTGAACCCTAACCTCTGAAAACAATTAAATAGGATCAAAAGGTAGTTTTCCCTCTGCAGAATGCGGAAGATGTATTACAGATGTGCTCGACCCGATGACATGATTCCAACCTGGCTTTATAACGAAATATTTTAAAAAAACAGTAGTTCGAACTTTATAATAACTATTTTTTTAAAACAATTCTTTAAAACAGTTGGGGTTCTCATCAAAAATAAAAGCAAATGCCAGTGTTAACCTTTTTCTAAGGATATTTTACTTTCAAGTGCCAATGCGGAAAATCTATATCCGCCTGAATGGAAATGACTGAACATTAAGGAGTATTAAGTTACTGTACATTTCATCAGTTTTTCTGTGCTTGGATAAACTAGGATAAAAAGAAGGGCTCAATGTGACCTCATTATGTCACCACTAAAGAATGAGAAAAAGTAAAACAGCAGATTTAAGGAAACCTATTGGCATTTGAGGTCTATGCATGCGATGAACCAATGAGGACTTTTAGAGAATCCCCAAAAATCTGTGTGATGAGACTTTTTCTTCTTTCTTAAATATAGTTTGTTCATTTTTATTTAGAAACAAAGAACTGACACTGTCTCTCCACTGGAGAAGACCACCTGTCACAAGCTTCCATTTTGGTCACATCGGGGTTGACTAATTGGTATAATGAAGCCCCAAAATAGGAGATTTGGAAAAATTCTCCATGTAAGCTAGAGTCACAGTTGTTTTAGCCACAATGTCACAATTCTGACTTTCATTTGCAAACATTTAGAATTTAGGGAGTAACTGTGCCTGCCTCACAGTCTTTGGTGTTAAGATCTGGCCCTACAATATACCCAACGAAAAGTGCACGCATAGGTAGGATTTAATAATAAACAACATAACTAAGGTAATGGTCCTGAAAAAAACAAATTCTGTTGCACAAAAAGGAATGCTGGATTTATGTGTAAATTAAAAGATCAAGTGTTGTTAGAATGTTAAATGTAAACTATACAATGTATTAGTGACAACACTAGCTAATATATAGCTGAAAAGACACACCTAGATTTTGGAGTGCCTAAAATACTTAGAGGGTTACTCCATCCACCGTGACCACTTCCGTGATTTGAAGTGGTTATGGTGGTAGGAGTACGCATGTACAATGTTTCAGCTTCAAATACTGCAGATATTGACTTATTGTTAATTCTGTACTAGGTGCTAATTGCACCCACAGCGCACATGGCATTGGCAGTCCAGAACTCTGGGCCTGGACCATATTGTCTCTCTCCTCTGTCTACTGTTTGCTCTGCCTAACTGGACATTTGCTACTTTCTTGAAAGCTCCAATACTCTGATTACTATTTCGAGCTTTATATAAAACTACCTCCGAGGACACAGGCAAAGTATCTGTCTCCTGGCTGACTGTAATTGCAACAAGCAGAATTCTGGTTTCCCCTCTGGATAAAGGGGATGCAAACTGTAAGGGTGCATGGGGTACTCCTGGGTCTACATACGCAAGCAATTTGCCAATATATAATGTTACCATACTGAATATACCTGCGTTATAATAATGGACAAATCAAAACTTCTGTAGCGTGCAAAAACAATTTTGGTGCGACCATGATTTTATATAGGGTGCTTGTAAGCCTAGGGATGTGTAATTTCAACAATGGGCATGTGTAATTTTAACAACATATTGGTTATTTTGCAAGGGATCCAAAACCTATGCTTTGGCATACGTAGAACTCTAGAATATAGTCCAGACCTCTGTGTTGTAGTTTATCATTGTCTTATCAAAGATTAACAGAGAAAGCAAAGAATATATTATGAAAGTGTGTTAAAAGAATACTCATCAAATGTATACTTACCCCTTCACCCACCCACACTGGCCCCTCATTTCCCTCCTTAAACATCTGTTCATTTGATTAGTCACAAAAATATTGTTTCTGCAGCAATGTTAAGAACATATGTTTCCTATAAAATATGCGCATAAAATGCTTTCAATGAGGCTACAAATTAATTCACAGCCCATGCAGAATAACGCAAGGTAATTTACAAGAGAACCCATTGTTCACCCTAGTTAAATATTTATAGATACGCCAGAATTTGTTCTAACACATGCTGTTTACAGTATCGGAATGTGCAAGAACGGGAAATACAATACAACAAGGGTGGTAAAAATTATTTGATTCGTTACGAATCATTGGAGACTGACAGGGGTATCTAAATACTTCTCACAAGAAATCGCATGTTGTGCAGTTGGTAGACAGGTTTGTTAAATTCTTAAAATTATGTTATTAATCCGTAGAGCTAGAGACTGTCATGTGTAATAACACGTGATGTGACTTAAGTCTGATAAAAGCAGCCACTGGACATTTAAGAAGCTAGGAATTGGTGGCCACAAATGTCTATAAGTAGCTAACAATATTCAGAACCAATATATTGTTTCAAAATCAGTATTAAGCAATAAAACAGCTATAAAATATATTTATGATTATATTAATCAGACTTCACCAAGCATGGTGCATATAAGTCCACCACTAGAAGGCAGTCCACCCCAGATTTCATAACCAATTACATTAATTTTTAAATAGAACCATGCAAAATAAATTAATACAAACTTCTTTACTTCTATGCAAATATGTCCAGGACTATATTGTCCCTAGATTGTAGCTCATATGCCTTCTTGTACATTATCTTGCAGGAAGTTAAAGCCCAGGTGGACGGATTCTCTTCTCCTTTTGTGTCTAATTATATATCCTCTGTTTGAAAAATATTACTTTTTTGCATACAATGTAAAATGCTTTGGATAAGAAGGCTATATAAGAAGTGTTAGAAAATAACAAATAACCACATTCTTTTTAATGCAAGATCATTAATAAAGAGACCAACTCTAATTCTGTTATTCAATGTCTAACCTGATCTGGGTTCGGACGTTGGTACCGTGCTTTTCCAACAGGTGCAGCTGATCACGCCAGTACTATCGTCCACTGCAAGAGTCACAGACAGAAACGCACAAAATGAATTCCATAAACATCATAAGACTTGCATATTTACTTTGTGTTTATATTCAGATTTTTGACTTGGAAAACAATATGATTTAAAACATTTATTTATAAAATCTCAATATGTTCCGTAGCGCTGTATAGTGAGCAGACACAACACAGAATTACATAATATTATTGATAATTAGGAATAACAACTTTTAAATAAGTGTGGAGAAGGATGAAGGAGTGTAAAAAGTGTAAAAATAAACAGAAAAAAAGGACAGTCCACATTGTTTCCCATATTTTGATAAATTTAAGGGTTCACTCCAATCTTCACTGATCTGAAGTGGTCATGGTGCCTGAAGTCTGCATGTGCAGTGGTTGGCTATGAAAAGTTGCCCATATAGAGTTTAACTTGATATCTGCCAGAATTGTAACTCCACGTCTGGCAGCATTATTGTAGTGTCCTTTGCCAGCCCAGAACAAGAGTAATTTCTGTGTGTATTGAACATCTGATGTAAACACGTACAACATGCTAGCGACAAGCGTCCAATGGCGGCAGCACCCCTCTGTGCTGTCCATATCCTCCGACTACATCACTGGAGAGGCATCAGATTGTCAGAAGAACATGGCCCCAGCACTTAAGCAAAGGTTTTACCTTTAATTTGCTTATTTTTAAGTTTGGGGGTGGAAGGATAGGAAGGATTTTTGTATTAAAACACAGTTTATTTGTTTGGAGTAGCCTTTTAAGGGCACTTCTCTATATATTTACTGGGTTTGCTTCCTTTTGACGATGTTAGCACCTTACTCTTTCGAAAACATTTCTATTGTACAGGAATCGACAGACTCCCTGAATCAAGCAAATCCGTTTTCATTAGCTACAGGATCCTTTCCCTGTAATGAAACGAAAATGTGAGTACTAAGAGCAATCAGAATGAACTGGGGTACTGTACATTTTTGTGTGGTAAATTTCCAAGGTTAGACATCACTGCTGTAAAGACACCGTACACAGAGTTTATAAATAATAGTCAATGAAAGAAAGATCTTTAAAAATCACTATTTCACCAAGTTTCATCTTGTGAAAACCATAATTCAGCCATTAGGAAGATACAACCTGTACACGGGGAGGGGGGGCGGTCCCATAGGGGGCAAGCAAGTGACATTGCTTTAGTCACTGGTGTCATCCAAAGCGCGATGCTCAAAGTCTAAAAATAACAGGGATGTCTGAATGCTTGCTGAGCTGGCTAGCCCTATTCCCACCTTGAGTATATCTTATCATGCACTAACAGTGTGTTCCGTGGCACACCAGAGAGCAAACCTGGGACAGAGAGCTAGAACCCTGAATTTGTGACTGCCTCATCAAACCCGAAACTGTAGGGAGATATGGAAAATTGACTTGATATTGAGCTGAAGATGCTGGAGTGAGGGATATTCCTACTGTATATAAAAAGTCAGAATTATAAGTGATGCATTAAAGGAACATGTATTCCTGACACTATAGTGCTGAAGTGATTGCTTAGGTGACCAGCCCCCTAATTGAGCAGTAACGATTTTTCTCACATTTTCTTCTATGTCACGCCAGTCTCGCCAAGGCTGGCACCGCATCCATAGCTGAGATCATCAAACTTGATTATCTCAGCCAATCCAATGCTTTCCCATAGGAAAGCATTGGGAGGCTCTTGTGCCTTGAATCAATGATGCTGAATGTAGGTGCTGCACTGACCCAGGAAGCACCTCTAGTAACTGTCTGAGTGTCTCTGAAAAGGCAGTGTTTACAGTGCTGAGACTGCTGGGATAGGCTATAGACATCAGACCCGCTATATTAAAGAGAAACTATAGTGTTTGGTAGACAGCCACTAGAGGTGGAGTTAAGCCTGCAACGTAATTATTGCAGTTTATCAAAAACTGCAATAATTACAATTACAGGGTAAAAGGGCCTGCGACACTGCACCCAGACCACTTCAATGAGCTGAAGTGCCTATAGTGTCCCTTTAAGCTGTAGTGGTTCTGGTGACTACATGTCCCTTTAATTTGTGCAGCCTATACTTCACTCACAGCGAAAGAAAAGACAAGGCTGAACAGGAAGCATTGCCATTACTTGGCGTCAAATAAATAGATGAGGAGGAAAAGGAAGGGTAGGGCAGCTTGGCAGCGAGCCTAAATATATTAGGAGGGTGAAGTAAGAGCCCAAACAATGGCAGTGAGATGTTACGAAACAGGCACGGATGGAGCCATGGTAGAATGTAAAAGATGAAACATGCTAATCCAGTTTATCAGTCTGATCCAATGAGTGGATTAGAGGCAGGCAGTGTAAGCTTCATCAACCTGACAGCACTCACATAATATTAACTGCATCCAGCAGATAATATATAGAAAGACATTATCGGGGTTAAAAACATTAAGAACCATGCAACAATGCAAACTCATTATTGTTGCTTTGTTTGAAGGGGAGCTGTCATCTTTCAGGTTTAGTGATATTGTGTTTACTTATCCTTATATTTATCAAACGTGGATCAATGAGGTGTGGAAAATATAATGAAATGTAGAGATCCACACCTTGTTATTCTGCAACTTGGTGCCGTCATCGTAGCTCCCTGTCAGTCATTGTTACAAGCGCAGTCCTTTCCACCTGGCAGTCAGCACAGATACAGCATCACCAAAGCAGAAAAGCAGAGAAATGAAACAATGTTTCTTTTTCTCAAATTCATTTGCTACGTTTGCCTTGCCTTGTTTGTACTAGATTACAGAGTCATTTGTCAAATCTCTCAGAGAAATGTAAAAGAAAATGGAGGATCTCATGAAAAAAAGGTTAAAGGACCATTGCGCACCTATAAAGCACTTCAGCTTGCTATAGGGGTGGAGGATCCCATTTAAAAGGAACTTTATAAAAGTGACGGTTTCTATGAGAAATCTGCACTTTTATTCATAACTAATGGAACACCCACTGGCTGTCTTTCTTTCAGTTTTCATTAGCTCCCCCTGCCTCCCACACATTCCTCCTCTTAGACCTCAGATCAGAGCAGTGTTCTTTCTGAACGCTGTGCACAGTGAGCGCGCATGTGCAGGAGCAGACGTGAGCACAAGTAGACTTGCGTGCGCAACCACGAAGGATACCCTAAGAAGCGTCTTAGTTACCTCTGATAAGCTATTTCCCAATGAAGACATTGAAAGTCTCTTCCAGGGAAAAAAAGGTTGGGTTTGCAAAAGCTGCATTTCATAGGAAGATATACCCCCAATGAATACATGCATGTATTCATTGGGGTATATCTATTATATAGTGAGATGAAAAAATATTAGTCCTTTAACACAAGTTATTAGTGATTTTCAATGTTATATTCAATTGTATACATTCCAGATAAATCACAGTTCCCCTTTAAGGTTAATCCCAGTAGCAATATCTTAAAAATTAATTGACTGCTCATTCCAGCTGCTCCCCCCCATGGTCCTCTCCCTGGGGTCCAGTGGCTTTGATGCTCTTCCTGCTCTTCTCTCCTCCCTTGTGCTGTATAGTGATGCAGGGCTGGAATAACATCATGTTTCGGCTCCCGGCATCACCACAGATCACACAGGGTAAAGACCACCAGGGGAGTGGGGGGGTAAGGACCACAGGGAGTAAGGACCACTGGGGAGGAGAGGAGGATGGGAGGGTGGGGGACCACTGGGGAGGAGGGATGGGGGTAGGACCACTGTGGGAGGAGAGGGGGAAAGGACCACAGGAGGGGAGTAGGACCACTGGGGAGTAAGAACCACTGGGGGAGGAAGGAGGGAGTAAGGACCACTGAGGAAGAGGGTGAAGGAACACAGGGGAGGGTGGTGAAGGAACACAGGGGGAGGGAGGGGTGGGGAGTAAGGACCACTGAGGGAGGGGAGGTAAGGGCCACTGAGGGAGGAGGTCCACTAAGGGGTTTGGGAGAGGGAGGACCTAAGGGGGGAAAGGGGGGTAAGTAGGGAGGACCACTAAGGAGAGGGGAGGAGGGTAAGGACCACTAAGGGGGGGGGAGAAAGAGGATAATGACCACTGAGGGGAGGAGATTACCACTAAGGGGGTGGGGGAGGAGGGGAATGTCTACTAAGGGGTTTGGGAGAGGGAGGACCACTAAGGGGGAGAGGGGGGAGTGAGAAGACCACCAAGGGGGGATTACAGGGGGCCAAGGGAGAGCACTAAGGGACAGAAGGGGAGAACACGGAGGGACAGGAGGGAAGGGGAAATCAATAATTGACAGGAGGGGAGAGCACTATGAAAAAGCTGCTCCCCTTTCAGTCCCTATCCTACCCCACAAACCCTCTCTTTTACACTACACACATACACAATGCATCCCCCCCCCACACACACACCCGAAACACACAATGCATCCCTTACGTTCACACACTCATTCTCTTACACACAGAAACAAAATGCACCTCTTACGCAATCAATGCACCCCTTACAGACACACACTGCATTCATTTAAATACACAGAAACACACCTTGCACACACACACCCAGAAACATACAATGCATTCCTTACACGCAAACACACACTGCATCCCCTATAAACACACTACATCCCTTAAAGAAATTGGTATCCCTATACACTACATTCTATAAGAACACACACACATTGCATCCTCTACAATAACACATAAAACATCCCCTGCACACATACACTCCACTTCCTGTGAGAGAACTCATGGGTGGGCCATGTAGCTGGATTTATGGGTGGGCATTGTAGGCATACTCCCGGTCAAGCCCCGGGGGCCCAGACCTTGAGCTATGTAAGGGGCCCTAAAAAAATGGAGCTGCTTCCTGTTCGTTAATTGTTGTGAGCACTGTTACAAACAGTCTCCAGAGAGCCTCTTCTACACCAGACCAGTGGAGCCAGACTGAGCCCATCATCAGGCTCTCGTCCTTATCTGGTGGTAAGTAGGCAATCCAATATATTATTAGTGGCACTAATCTCTAATTTACCTCACATTAAATGGATACTACAGTCACCAGAAGCACTACAGCATAATGTAGTGTTTCTGGTGTCTATAGCCTGTGCCTGTAGGCTTTTTAATGTAAACACACTGTCTTTTCAGATAAAAGACACTTTGTGAAGACTGGCGTTGGCCCATATGGCAGAGCATACGGGCGGGGCATTGTGATGTCACATGGTGGGCAGGACATATGGGGGGGCGGCAAAATTTTTTTTGCCTAGGGCGGTAAAAATCCTTGCACCGGCCCTGATCGGCTCTGCCCATATCCTTTGCTTCATGTCCAGAATTTTGCTTTCTATTCCTCACTACACAAAGGAGAAGAGAGTCTGACAGCTTTCTACTACAGAACTCTGCAAATGTCAATAACCTTATCTAAAATCTGAAATTTGCCATCAGTCTGAGGTCCCCCCATAAATTCCAAACATCTGCTGTCCATCAAAAAGCCACTGCACTGATTGTTAATACATACATTGCATGTGTGTATGACTCATAGCACTGTGTAACATTGTATTTTGTGAATAATAATAAATGACACATGTTAAATAATAATAATGACTTTTGTTAGGTTAAAGGATCACTATAGTGTCAGGAAAACAAAGTGGTTTTCCTGACACTATAGTGCCCCCACCCTCAGGGTCCCCCTCCCTTGGCGCTGAAGGTTCAAACCGCTTCAGCAGCTTACATTATTCCAGAGCTGGGCTCCCTCGGCGCTGGTGACCTCTCCTCCCCTGCCGACGTCAGCGGAGCCGAATGTGCATGCTTTCCTATGGACGCTCTGCACGATAGAGGCATATTATGCCTCCAGCGTGGCAGATGCGCCTCTAGTGGCTGTCCGTAAGACAGCCACTAGAGGCTGGCTTAACCCCAAATGTAAACATAACAGTTTCTCTGAAACTTCTATGTTTGCATCTGAAGGGTAAAACCTGAGCGACCTGGCACCCAGACCACTTCACTGAGCTAAAGTGCTCTGGGTGACTATAGTGTTCCTTTAACAACAGACCCTTGACTTTCAACCTAGTGGTTATGTGTATAAGCAGATGCAAAATTGTCATTTTATGCAAAATAGTTCTGATTTGCTTAGGAAGGCTGATGCTAAAAAAGTTAAGTATAAACAAATATCATCTACCATGGTGTAAAAGGAATAAAAAAAGTGTCAAGAGTGACTTATGGTCTTATTTACTAACACTAAACTGCCGCAAACTTACAAAGGAAAATGCGAAGTTTAGACTACAGTATCAAACACGAAAAAAGTTCAGTTATTTTGCTTTTTCTCCAATTTCAATATAAACGTTACCATCTCACTACAATTCACTGGTCACAATACATTGCAAACAAATATAAATTAAAATGTATATTAAGAAGAGACACTTCACTCACACTGAAGTACTTTTAAACCCCCCAAAAGAATATTTCCGTACCGCCATAGCTGTAAAAGTTATCCTTCTCTCGCACGCTGACTATTGTTCCCAGGATATCCACCTGCTTTATAGGGTGTTCTTTGTAGAAAAAGATACCTGTTAAAGTAAAAATTACTATATTTAGAATTAAAGAGACACTATAGTCAGACATACAGATAGTAAGTACTACAGTTGTGAATTTTTTTTTAAAACTAATTGCAATTCATCTAAATTTTGGGAGATTTGCAAGTTGTCCCAATTCTGTAACTCCTAATCGGCGAATCGCAAAACAAATTAAACCAGCAATGGACCAGTCGTTTCATTTGATTTGTGATTCAGAGTTCCGCTTGTGGTGCCAAAAAAGAGAGATGATTAATGGGGAAAAAAAGCTGATTGACGGTTAGATGACATCCTCAAAGTGTTGATTTTATTCACAGATCAATCGAGAAGTAACCACCAAAGGGGAAAAAAAGGAGCAGTAAAAAATTAAATAAATCTATATTTAAATCATCTGCTCCTCTTTGTTCACCTCTATTGGCTACTTCTTTTTACTTGGGCCTCAATTTAATATGCTTTCCAAATGATTCAAGTCTGTTAGAAAATCAAAGCACACTATTTATTTACAAACTATTTCACAGACTTTAACGTTGACTTCTGTAGATAAGTTTTTCTTACAGATTTGAATCATTTTGAAAGCTTGAGCTGTGAACCAAATGGTGGGTAAATGGTTTATGCCTCCATTCTAGAGGAACATGAATATAAAATCAAATCTTTAACAACAGACTAGCCCATAGGAAAGCTTTGTTTATGAAATTCATACAGAAAGAATTAGTAGAAAAGAAAAGACAAATAGAATTTTTTTTAATAAATTTAACATATACTGCATCTTCTATTTTTTTTTTTGCTTCTTTTATTTTTAATCCCTCTGTTTATACTTTGTGTATAAGTGCAGATTTCATCAGTGTTAGTCTATTTAACACAGGATTCTTTTTTTTTAATTTATTTAAATTCAGTTATTGACAAACAGAAATTGTCACAGTAACATCCACAGCATGCACAACTAATTGCAGTGAGTTATCATAACTGTAAAAATGAACGGTTCTGACAACAGCTGATAAATACATGTTAGAAGCAGCAGTGATTGGACATGGTTATCCTGTATTGAGTTCTTACAGTTGGCTGACATTACATGACACCTACCCCCTCTATCTCAGGAGTTCAGCCCACTCCAATGTACCCATATAACATGAGGAGTAATATAGGTGATGTATGACATGTGGCATGCATGATAATGAAACCGCGATTCAGTTGAAGTAAACATTTTTTATTTATTTTTTAAGCATCAGTACGATACAAACATAAGTAGAAACAAAATCATAGATAAAGTAAGTAACAGTGAAGAGTGAAGTGACTAACCAGGATTCTAACAATGTTGTCTCCTTTAGTAGTGGGTGTAAGCTATGTATTATCTAGGTATTCGTGTCTACGCTTATGACCCGGAGGGTGTGGGATGTTGGTTACTCCATTTTCCCCAAATGCTGGCAATTTTGCTCCGTTGGTTCGGGGTAGTTAATGATATACGTTCGTAAAAATTTTCTGTTGGACACATCTCTGACTTTGAGTGATCTGCCTGCCAGTGCTATATGAGATATTAGGGCCGTGTCTCTGAATTGTAATTGAGGTGGGAACTCCAGCCATAAGTATACAGGATTATTTTTATTGTTTGATAGGTGTATGGGATTTCCTACACAATGTATATATAATATTGTTCTGTTTAATAAAGTGTCACTGTGTAATGAGACGTTCAATTTATGAGTTTTAAACTATTGGTTGAGTGTGTTAGTAATTTCTATAATTTACCAAGCCTAATAATTTAAAATGTGTGACTCCCTGCCAATAACTGTATGCAAACAGAGCATATACTACCCAGACCTGTGCACTAAATGGAATGATTAATGTGTTTTACTGTGGAACATTGAATGCAGTAGCAAGAAATGTGGGAATACACTATTTAGCCCAAATGTTATAAGACTTACAAACGGAGGACTGCTTGCAAACCTATCATCATCAGCAAGTAAAAGACATAACACCGTTTAATGAGGACATCCAATAAACAATGTTTGAGCATTGTACAAACTGTGATTTCTAACAGTTAAGTGTCACTCTAAAGAAAATTGGTCTTCAGCTGCAGTATCTCAGATTACAAGTCTGATTCAAAGCAAGGGTAACTAGGCTTGCAGAATTCTGAGGTCACTGTTTAGTTGGGCAAAATATCTAGAACCCAGAACACTTAGTGAGAAGCTGATTGTACATTTCTTGGTTAAGTGCAATGATATTATTAATATTGTGGTAAATTACAATCCAGTGGCTGAATGATAATGGATTCTGAATGATCCAAATCCAAATTTAATAAAAAGCAGAGAGCTGGTTTAAATGAACAAATGTTCCAAAGATGATTGTATAAAAGTGAGGGTCCCTCTGCCAGCTCTGTAACAGCCATAAACAAGCTAGTTAAATAGACTAACTTCCCATAAATAATTTAAACACTTACCTGGAACCTGATATGACTCCTTTAATTCCAGAATGTCTTTTATATAGAGTTTTGCAAATGCCAAAAACACTGGATCCAATCCCCACAAGAGTGAAGGGATTTCCTCCATCTTACTGGAGCCTTAGCGTGGCATTCACTTACTCGTATCTGCGAAGACAAAATTTAGACAACAGTCGGTCAGTGTTTGAAACTATAAGGGGAAGGGTTTATTCACTTAACAGTGATTGAGGCTTAGATAGCCAAACTGTGACATAGTTAAAGTGTCCATTTTTTTTGCAGCTCAGCTACTTTGGCCTACATTCTGGAATATAGATTTGAATTAACTATAATTCATTATTTAGTAAATAGAGACTTAAAAATAAAGTACAAAATCATAAAACTTTTGTAGAATTGTAATAAGTGGCATATAAACATCAGTCTGGGTCTTTTAGGGAAAGTCAACCCCTCTGCCCACTGAAGTCTATTTTTAACAGTATAGTACTACCAAATACAGGGCATATGATCAATGCAGTATGCATTGTGATGACCTTAGTCTATAGTGGCATGATTTTGGTCCATAATTGATTGCTGCAACCCTGTTAGATGAGGGAAAAACATTGGGATTGCATTTCAGATCCCTATGTATAAACTTTGTTTTCTTCCCTGACCAGATTTATTTGGTGAACCTGAGATTTATTTAAAGGGACACTATAGTCACCAGAACAACTACAGCATATTGTATATTTTACTGGTGGCTTTTTGCAGAAGACATGGTCTTTTCAGAGAAAAGGCAGTGTTTATATTACAGTCTAGGAACACCTCTAGAGGCCACTCCTCAGATGGCTACAAAAGGTGCTTCCTGGAATAGTGCTGCACAGTGTGCAGCACCTCTACGTTCAGAGCATGGAGATGCTGAACTTTGCCCATAGAGATGCACTGATTGAATGCATTTCTATGAGGAGATGCTGATTGGCCAGGCCGGGTTTGACACTACCCCTGCCTCATCTCCTTGACAATCTCAGCCAATCAAAAGCTTTTCCAGTGGGAATGCATTGGATTGGTTGAGATCATCAAATCTGAGTATGTCAGTCAAGGTGACAAAGTGATCACATTTAATTTGCTTCCATTACATATAAAAGAAGATTGCAACTCAAAGAAAGCAAGCCATTCTTACAATATAAAATCAGTATAACAAGCCCCACACTCAAACGCTCACTACTCTCCATTCAACCTCAAGGAATAAACAAAAAACAAAAAAATGATGCACACTTTTTCCAAATGTCAACATTCACTTAGAGGGATGCTATAGGCATCAAACCAACAATAGCTTATTTAGGCAGTTTTGGTGTATTTTTTGTGGAATTGCACAACCTTCCAAAAGAGTTCCTGTAAGGAGAGATCGAATGTTTAATACTTATTTTATTGCACAGTATGTTTAATTTAGAATCTACTGGTCTGATAATAGCCTTCTAGACTCTGCAGGAGCCTCTTGTGTGTAAAGGTCAATTTACAGAGCAGGAGATAACTTTTAAAGTAAGTTAAAGGGACACTATAGTCACCAGAACAACTACAGCTTATTGTATTTGTTCTGGTGAGTATAATCATTCCCTTCAGGCTTTTTGCAGTAAACACTGTTTTTTCAGAGAATAGGCAGTGTTTACATTACAGCCTAGGGATACCTCCACTGGCCACTTCTCAGATGGCTACTAGAGGTGCGTCATGGGGCAGTGCTGCACAGTGTCTCCACCCTCTGCATGGAGACACTGAACTTTCCTCACAGAGATGCATTGATTTAATGCATCTCTATGAGGAGATGCTGATTGGTCAGGGCTGTGTTTGGCTTGTGCTGGCTCTGCCCCTAACAGTCTCAGCCAATCCTATGGGAAAGCATTGTGATTGGCTCAAAGAATCACTTCTGATTATGTCAGTCATGCAAGCAAATCAGGGGCAGAGCCAGCAGCAGCAGACTTGAATAAAAGTAAGGTTTTACTATAATTATGGGGATAAGGGGGGCTAGATGGTGGTTTTAACAGTATAAGGTCAGAAAAACATGTTTGTGTTCCTGACCCTATGCAGGCTGTGTGAGAGATTAGAGTATTGAGACTTCAGGACTATTGTTTGACCAAGTTGTTTGGGTGACTTTAAGAAAAGTATATATTTTTTAAACTATTTCAAAGCTGAGCCAGCACATAATTGATTGAAATTATCTACATAATTTAATGTAAATAAGAAACTGTACAAATATTTACATATATGTATTCACACACTAATTTCCAAACCCCAACTCACTGAACAAACCAAAGTGAAACTGTTTTTCTTTGAAAGAAAATAATGAGAAGAATTTAAAAAAAAATGACTAACATTGAATTTGAACTAAAATGTGTTTTAATTTTAGCAAAACAAATTATAGATTATATGTAACATTGTTGCGTTTCATTTTTTATTTTTATTTTGTATTATTTTGTCAAATAGTGTCCAAAAATGATACATTGTGATATTTTTCTATTTTTTAAAAGCTTTCATAATGCAATTGCAAGGTTACATATTTAACATCAAAATATATACAAACATGTAATAATTACAGTTATGCATACAGAGGGTTTTTTCAATAAACCAGACATTTTATAGAATTAACAAGAATACAATGGCATAATTTAGGACAATTTTCAAACTGCAAACATTGCCCACTTGGTCAGGCCAATCATAGACTAGGTTAGTCATGGGGAACCCATGACTGTCCTAGTATGTGATTTGCCTGGCCAGTATTTTTTTTTTTAGCTTCCATTAACATCTTCCACATTTTCGGCCTTGTCTACAACAGCAGCCTGCCTAGATTGAGTGTCAAGACATCTGGCAGACTAGTTTTAAATAATGCCCCAGATGAGAGCTTCAACGAGATATCCAAAATGTCTTATTTGTTGTTTCCTACGCCCAGTCATTATAATGAATGCAGGTATTCTCCACCACCCTTAAACTAATTAGAATTAAAATTATCTTCACAAAGAACCTGTTCAGCAACATTACGCTGAGGGCAATTGAAGGAACAATGCAGTTCATAGGCAAAATGAAGTGAAATAAATAAAACAAATGTCAAACAAAAAGGTATGCACAGTCCTTGTCTACATCATACATACTTTGAATCAAATCAAATTAAAGTACTTTAGTGATAACCGGAAACCACATTCCGCCTTTTGTTAAAATGCCAACTAACTCACCTTCTCAGTAAGCATTACTCTCAATTTAAAGATGGCTATACTTTTCTGTGTAATAATGTAATATGTGTCCTCACAAATGTACACACGTTGCAGTCAGGATTTTGTGAGTGCCATTTCACCATATATTATTCTGTTGCTTGCCTTGAGTGCAGGAATGCAGAACGGATTGTGTGTTTATTTTATAGAGAGGACACATAACAATGAGATGTTTATGGTAAAATAAGGCATCAGAGGGTCCTGGTCATTAGAACGCATGGGGCCAAAAGGTCTAATTATTTACATATATCACCAGCATCACATAATGGCTTAGTATTCTCCAACAACATGTAAACATTATGTATATTATACATTACATGATTTTTATTTAATTAGTGTTAGGTGTCCTTACTCCTAGGACAACACTGGAACATGCATGTTTGTGTCTGTCCCAGATTGGTGGGAGTTACTCACCCAGACAACAGATTAGGGGTCTCCACACCGCGCACTGTTAGCATGAACGACATTGATCACCATACAGGTGAAGACGTGTTCTGCTAGTTAAAATAAAGGGCAGATAATTCAAAATATATTGATATGCATAATATAGAATTACTTTCATAGACAGGCTATATTATAGTTTATTTGCATAATTTATTTATATAGCGTCAAATACCGCAACTCTGGATACATTGAGCAAATGAGCTGATACAGTAGGTTTTAAGAACCTTTTTCTAAGTTAACAATTTCAAAAGGGAAAAAATGGGAAGGGAAATGCAGCTAGGGTGAAGACAGAGGATCTATGTTATCTAGATACTACATATTATAGAGCCATAATGTTTTTTCTTCACTGGTCTCACGGATAAAAAAAAAAAAAACAACAACATAGAATTACAAACAGAGTAATAATATATGCACGAGTTCTATAGTAAAATATTAATATGTAAAAGTAACACAGAATTCCTTGTGTGAGAAAAGATATTCCAAAGTGCAATGTATGGTTCTAATTTTAGAGATTGTACTTTGAATGTATATGGAAATAGATTAAAGAATGTGAGATATGGACACTTATATGAGACAGCGTCAAATAAAAGTATAGAGCAGCAATTTAAACTACATACACGGTTACTGATTCAGGAAAAAAAAGATGAAAATACTCTTGGTTTTAGAGAACAGAATAAGTCTGTGTTCTATATAGTTTTCTTATCCTATATATATATATGACATTTTACTGTACAAAGTTTAACGTAAGCATACAGCCTTAAATGGGCACCTAAGCACCATAACTATTACAGATACTTGTAGGGGTTACTAAGCAAGAAATCATTGGGTGACTTTCTCTTTCTCTCCTTTTGTTTTTGAGTTATTTAAAAAAAAACAGGCTGTGAGAGGCAGGGCAGGATAGCCCAGAGCATGCAGTCTGTCAAGTTAGATAGCCAATAGATGGCCTGGATGGTAATACTGAAATAAAACATCTGTTTTATATAAAGAGCATGTGAGGGGGTAAGAGAGACATGTTTTTTTGTCAAACCACTTAAAGGTTTAACAGAAAACGGGAGGATGGCAACCACAGACTCCTGACACCATAACCATATACCAGTATATTGAGCTGCAGTAGTTATGATGCTTAGAGTATTCCTTTAAAATCTCAGCAGAGTCACTCCAAGGATGTCTTCCTGAGTTCAACTGCTGAGCATCAGATGGTAGCACCAAAGTTCAATGTAATTAATATCTAAACTGTTCAACGTCAGGGCCGGACTGGCCCACCGGGATACCGGGAATTTTCCCGGTGGGCCGCGGCACCTGGGGGCTGTACAACTCTAACTCCCTATAGAGAAGGAGCCCAGCGGCCGTTTTCAATAATATCGTGGCCACCGGCCGCATGTAGGTGCTGCTGGGTAGCTGGTCTGTTGGCATACTCTGAGGGGGTCACCTTGTGGCCAGCGGACCCATCGCATGTGGTGTATGACTGCTGTCAATATCAGGGAGTGTGCCAGGCAGCCGCCTTACCGGTCCGGCGTCACACTCACTGATACTGACAGCAGTACAGCTGTCAGCACAGGAGGACTGAGCAATTCCCAGCCCAACCACATCATAGAGCAGTGATTACTCTATGATGTGTAGATGCTGGGAATTATGGGAACCGCGAGGGAGCATGGTAGTTAGCTATGCCCCCTCCCTCAGTACTCCTGTGCTGACAGCTGAGATTTACAAGGGTGGCTGTAAGAGACAAAAAGGAAAAAATTGGAGACAAGATACACTAAATGAGTTTTAAAAAAAATCAAAGGAGGGAATAAGAAACACAAAAAAAAGGAAAGAAATTCACAAGGGAGTTAAAAGAAACACAAGAGTGTGTTTTTGTGTGTTTTGGGGGGGGGATGTTGCATTTTCGCCTGTGTCTCCTGCTCTCCCTGTAATTCAGTTCTTTAGCACGGCAGTTTATGCCAAAGAGCTAATTGATAAGTGAGAGAAAGACCTCTTATTAAATAGATTTTCCTTCCAATATATGCATTTTGCTAGCACAATGTACAGATAGACGTAATTGATGTGATCCTGACAGTAATACACATATATATGTGCATGTATATTAATGTGTGTATTAGTAACATATATAGTTATGCCTATAAGGTTTTTGTATTAAAGGAACACTATAGGTTCAGGAACTCAAACATGCATTCCTGACCCTATAGTGCTAAAACCCCTGCCTCCCTAAATATTGTAAAATCTTACTGGTATTCAGCTGCTGCCTCTGCCCCTGATGTGCCTGCTTGGCTGACATTATCAGAAGTGATTCTGTGAACCAATCACAATGCTTCCCCATAGGATTGGCTGAGACTGTCAAGGAGACAGATCAGGGGCAGAGCCAGCACAAGTCAAACACAGCCCTGGCCAATAAGCATATCCTCATAGAGATGCATTAAATCAATGTATCTCTATGTGGAAAGTTCAGTATCTGCATCCAGAGGGTGGAGACACTGAATGTCAGTCACACCGTGCAGCACTGCCCCAGGAAGCAGCTTTAGTAGCCATCTGAGGAGTGGCCAGTGGAGTTATCACTAAGCTGTAAAATTTTCTATGAAAAGACTGTTTACTGCAAAACGCCTGAATGGAATGATAATACTCATCAGAACAAATACAATAAGCTATAGTTGTTCTGGTGACTATAGTGTCCCTTTAATTTTTTTTTAAATGCATTCTAGGAGGGGTCACTGCAAGCCTGATATGCTCCTCTTATACTACTACTTATAAGAAAACCTCACACGCTTACATGTACGCACAAGAGACAATGATAGAAAATAGATAATACGAAATTCAAGCAAGAATGATTGGTTTTAAATAGTGGGTAAGGCAGATATATGTTAGATTACATAGAGGAATACAAGATTTAGGAAAAGTGAAAGATGAACTTGCAAATGGACAATGAAAAATATACTTACACTAAAATGTATTCCCCCCCCCCCCCGTCTAATCCATTTTCCACAGTAGCGTACTTTGAAATAACATTATCTAGCATTCCTGTGATAAATATTGTTTTGCTTGAGTGTGTGGGTTAGTAGAAGCAATTTAATGTGTTTCTTTATTATATCAGCAAACAAAACCCAAGGTGGAAGGGAAAGTTCTGAAGAACATTTGGAAACGAGCAAAGATAAAATTATGCAGCTATTACAAAGCTTTCTGATGTTCCGCCCTTGTTTGCCAGAAGAGGATCAAAAAGAAGTGACTGATATATATTTTCATACTGGTTTGGTAATACACATGCAGCTACACTATTTCAACATTCAGATGATTACAAAACTCTACAGGAAATAAAAGTTGCGCAATTTCTTCTGAAGATTGGAGAACTATATTACTTCTATTTATCCAGGTCCTAAACTATCAAAATTGTACTTTAGTTCTTCTAATAAAGTTTCGTGTGGATTTTAATAATCCCAAAAAACCCAATAACTGACCTAAAAAGGGATGCTGGATATGTGTGTAAACAAGACGATCAAGTTTTGTTAGACTGTTAAATGTGAACTATACAATGTAGAGAAGAAAAGACACACATAGATTTTGGAGTGCCTAAAATACTTTAATGGTTACCACTACAAAATGGTTTACCCCACTACCAGGAGACGGGGCCAGTGCACTGTTCACATCATGATCCTTAAAGTGTGTTGCAATGGCTATGATAATTGGAGTAACCGTTTAAACTGCAGTAGCACATATGGCATTCTGGGAACATACTCTCCACATTGTGGGAAACATAGCTGTAGTTTATAAAAAAATACAATTATATGCTGAAATTTATAGGGCTGAATAATATCAAAATCAATATATCTGTTAGGCTAGCAATTTGACAAGTACAATGTAAGGATTACATTTTAACATTTTTAGGGTGTCACCAATTTTCATGACAAAGAGAATGGTCAATTCATCGCAGAAAAACTGTTTTATCAACATAAATAGTGTCAATTAAAGGGACAATAACATGATTTTTTTTTTTACTTTTATCCATCCTTACCTTCAAATGAGATTGCAGATCAGTTGTTTGCTTTGTAAGAATAAGTGATGTGTCTTGATTGTGTATCAAACTTTTGAAGTCTTTACATGGTTCCCAATGTGCTGCTTGCGTTTTTTTCAACCTTGTCGAATTAAAGCATGTTTTTAGATGCATATACACAAACATACATGAGGGAAAAATACTATTGTATACTGCACTATACACATACCCTACTTACAAAACTGGTGGCTCAAAGAGATAGGAGAGTGTAAATCTGGGTTCAAAAAACTGCAAGTCTTGATGAGGATTCTAAATATTCTATAAAAAAAAAAAACAACAAAAAAAACCCACACTCACATATCAGTGACCACCTCCAAAAACACGTTTTCAACACCTTGAGAATCTAATTTCAAATATTGTGTGGCGGGCAAACATGTTAGTTTAACTAATTCAAAGTGAGAGCTTACATTCAACAACCAAATATTTATTCACACACACTAGTCACAAAGACACTACCCTTAAAAAAATCACAAGCAAATGCTAAAATTTGAATCACAGCATTTAACTCTAAAATCCTAACGTGCAGTAATTATTACTTAAAAGTTATTTCATGTTTTAAAGGTCAGTCAAAGTACCATAAGCACTTATCATAATTTGAATTTGCTTGGTTCTTAGAGGACTCTTAGCGGACTCATTTTTCTGAAAGTGTTTGAAAATCACTGCCACTAAAGATCGCCCATAGCTGTCAATCAAGCAGCCTGGAACACTTTTCAAATGTTTTAATATTTTCCAATAAATGTTTAAAAAGTATATTAAAATATCAGAAAATATATAATTTATAAAAAAAAAGATACATCCATATATAAAAAAAATATCAAAATATTAACACATTTTTCAACATATTAACCCCTTAAGGACCAAACTTCTGGAATAAAAGGGAATCATACATGTCACACGTCATGTGTCCTTAAGGGGTTAAAGGAACACTATAGTCACCTAAATTACTTTAGCTAAATGAAGCAGTTTTAGTGTATAGATCATTCCCCTGCAATTTCACTGCTCAATTCACTGTCATTTAGAAGTTAAATCACTTTGTTTCTGTTTATGCAGCCCTAGCCACACCTCCCCTGGCTATGATTGACAGAGCCTGCATGAAAAAAAAACTGGTTTCACTTTCAAACTGATGTAATTTACCGTAAATAATTGTATCTCAATCTCTAAATTGAACTTTAATCACATACAGAAGGCTCTTGCAGGGTCTAGCAAGCTATTAACATAGCAGGGGATAAGAAAATCTTAATTAAACATAACTTGCAATAAAGAAAGTCTAAATAGGGCTCTCTTTACAGGAAGTGTTTGTGGAAGGCTGTGCAAGTCACTGCAGGGAGGTATGACTAGGGTTCATAAACAAAGCGATTTAACTCCTAAATGGCAGAGGATTGAGCAGTGAGGCTGCAGGGGCATGTTCTATACACCAAAACTGCTTCATTAAGCTAAAGTTGTTCAGGTGACTATAGTGTCCCTTTAAATCATTTGAAAAGTTTATGCAAAACTATTAAATCTCCTGAAAACGTTATCGAAAAATATTAAATCGAGGCCTTAGTTCTAGGTTGCTTATATCAATTTTGTCCTATTGCATGTGCAACATGGAAGGCTCACTTCACACAATAAGGGGGCCTCCATCCTGCCATGCCTTGTCCGTGCCTTTCCCGATACTAAAATACAGTTTAGTCACATAACAGTTAACCAGGCTATTTATAGCTGAAATAGCTGCAATTTGGATTCTCGCAGGTTCTAATGACATTCTAATAAACCTATGGGATGTGTAGACTGCTCTCTGGAGGATAAACTACTTATTCTGTAAACTCCTGCTGGACAGGATAAGATCTTACTCCATAGACTCCAAGTGTGGTTGGCATATGCATCTGAGAGACTGAAAAAGTTAAACTTTTTTTTTTTCTCAAATCAATTTTGCCCACCATTGTTCTCAAGTTACTAGTTATTAAAGGGGCACTGTCACCATCTGGGGACTTTGCATAATCTGCAAAGACCCTTGACGGTGACATCACCGCTGAGCGTCTGGTGGCCAGAGAGGAGCGGGTGGCAGGCAAAAGTGAGTTTAACTTACCTGAACTGTCCCTTGTTTTTCAAACAATATTGAATAAATTGCAATGCTGAATAAATCAAAGCCATTGTTGAATCAATGCACAATTTCAGAGACCAAACACACCAGTAATGTTCAGGTAGGTACATATCAAATCTATATATTTGTTAGCAATTTCATTAGCACAATGTCAACATTACATTTAATAACTGCCTTAATTAAACCTTTCTACCATCATGGGAAAAATTACATCACCCTGGACACAGAAGTGCTACAGAGGTTACTTATGTCTGCTACATTACTAAGCCCAATAAACGCTGTTATGCTTATTGAGATGAGGAAATAAGGAACTTTGACGACAGAACTTTAAAGAGATAGTCCCTGACTTCCAGATACGTCCAAGTGCCCCAAGTTCAAACTTATCTGTATATTACCCTACGGGCGCTGCATTTGTCCAAGATTTTAAAGCAGCACTCCAAGTACCATAATCACTACAGTGCGCTATATTAGTAAGGGTACCAGGAAGAACTTTCCCCACCCCATTGTAAGGAGTCAAACTGTTTTAAAATGGTTTGACATTTTACCTGGGATCCTCTGAGCACACTCTCCATGCCTACACTACCTCATCCAGACAGCTGGAAGGTCACACTAGCTAGCTCCTTGGCTGAGAGTCTGAGCTAATTGCTCTGGGACAATGAGCTAAATCCTACTGTGTAATTTTAAGCTCAGACAGAGCGCTTCCAGCTCTCTGACTGAGGTAGTGGAGGCATGGAGCAGTGCCTGGCACACCCCAGGTAAAAAAGTCAAATCACTCTAAAATAGTTTGATCCCTTCGGGGGTGCCAGGACACTCCTGCCACCATAACCACTAAAGCGTGTGGTATTGGTCTTACTTCAACAAATATGTATTTTTCCTACAATGCCACCTTGACTGATAGTAGTTGACCTAAAAAATATATTTTTCAATAAATTGCATAAGTTGAGACTGTGAGACAGTTTTGCTGAGGAGCACAGTGCAACATGAAAAAATATACTGCCTTATGGAAATCTGTAAATAGAAATCATCATGTTTGCTTGGAATGTGTATTTGACAATAAAACAATGACAATAAGTTTGGAACTTTGTAATGAGCAGATACGACACTCTGTGTTTTTTTTTGTTTTGTTTCTTATGCCTCACCTTTTGTGAGAGTTATGTGAATTTTTTTTTTTACAATTTTCATGGTGATTTCTAAAAATGTTTTAAATTTTAACTTAAAGGACCACTCTAGGCACCCAGACCACTTCAGCTTAATGAAGTGGTCTGGGCGCCAGGTCCTTCTAGGGTTAACCCATTTTTTCATAAACATAGCAGTTTCAGAGAAACTTCTATGTTTATGAATGGGTTAAGCCTTCCCCTATTTCCTCTAGTGGCTGTCTCATTGACAGCCACTAGAGGCTCTTGCGTGCTTCTCACTGTGATTTTCACAGTGAGAGCACGCCAGCATCCATAGGAAAGCATTGAGAATGCTTTCCTATGTGACGGGCTGAATGCGCGCAGCTCTTGCCGCGCGTGCGCATTCAGCCGACGGGGCGGATCGGAGGAGAGGAGGCAGAGAGCTCTCCGCCCAGCGCTGGAAAAAGGTAAGTTTTACCCCTTTTCCCCTTTCCAGAGCCGGGCAGGAGGGGGACCCTGAGGGTGGGGGTACCCTCAGGACACTATAGTGCCAGGAAAACGAGTATGTTTTCCTGGCACTATAGTGGTCCTTTAACTCCCAAAATGCTTTTGTACAGAATGAAACCATTACATGGGTATTCACTAAGCTCCAAATTAAAATCCGAATTGAAAAGAAAAAAAAACTGAGCTAAAAATAGCTGATCTTGAAAAATTCTTCATATTCGCTATTCTCGCTACTAACCTATGTTTTGGAAGAAATTGTGAGTTTAGTGAATAGCCCTGTATTATTTGTAATGGATGAGACTGTAACCTCTTCATCCTATTGTTCCTGCAATCTTTTGTAATTGTCTCATTTATTGTTAAATCTACCCCTCCTATAATATCGTAAAGCACTACGGAATTTGTTGGCGCTATAAGAATACCAATAATAATAATAAGGTTAACCCTCCACAGATATGAGTTTGACTGCCCATATGTGCCATGTTTTCGAGACACACGTGACGTGTTAGTGTCACAATGTTTGTTACACGCTGTCAGAAGGAAATCAGGTTTTAAAACTAGTTATTGAGGAGGAGGGGTCCCTAAAACCCCAAAATCTCTCTTCAGCAGCACTTTAAATTTCCCATCCAGCAGCAGGAAACTATAGCCAGTGTCTGTATCTCCCAGCCAGGCCTCAGTAAATAATATATTAATAAATGGCATTATAGATAGAGTGCCAGCAGCCATGTTACTGCCATGTTATTTATCAGAATTACAAGGAAATTAAATTCTCCCCTCTCTCCTCTCTCCTCTCTCCTCTCTCCTCTCTCCTCTCTCCTCTCTCCTCTCTCCTCTCTCCTTTCCTCCTAGTTATGGCTAAACCTCCCTCCCTGCCAGGCCCTGCTTTTATACTCCAGTTTATAAATAGTATCTGGGCGGTTATTCCCCACTTCACTATTGCACCAGGCTGTGAGTAAGAGGACATGACACGCCAGTGTCTGTTACATGTTTTGTTAATAAAGTTCGATGGAAGGAAAAGAAAAAAAAAAGGCAGCAGTTACCAGGGAAACGCGGGAGCGCGCAGCAGGCCGGCTGAGTGACTGAGTGAGTGAGTGGCGGGAGCGCGCGGTGCGGGCTGGTTAGTGAGTGCACACTTACTGGCGGTGGGTGTCACTTACCGCGGCGGGATCCCGGTGAGTCCCCGCTGAGCCTCTCCCCGCCCCCTCCTGCTCACCGGACGCGGGCCTTGCTCCTCCCCGCTGGATGGGCTGGGTATCAGCAGTGACAGTATCCTCAGTGAGGGAGGCCCAGGAGCTGCCCGCGGCCTCCTCCCGACAGGTGTCCTCCTCCTCCTCAGCCAGCCGGGTCCTCTCACTGATACCCCCAGCCAGCCGGGTCCTCTCACTGATACCCCCAGCCAGCCGGGTCCTCTCACTGATACCCCCAGCCAGCCGGGTCCTCTCACTGATACCCCCAGCCAGCCAGGTCCTCTCTCTGATACCCCCAGCCAGCCGGGTCCTCTCACTGATACCCCCAGCCAGCCGGGTCCTCTCACTGATACCCCCAGCCAGCCAGGTCCTCTCTCTGATACCCCCAGCCAGCCGGGTCCTCTCACTGATACCCCCAGCCAGCCGATACCCCCAGCCAGCCAGGTCCTCTGATACCCCCAGCCAGCCGGGTCCTCACTGATACCCCCCAGCTGGGTGCCCCAGCCAGCCAGTCCTTCTCAGTATGTACCCCAAGCCAGTCCTCTCCCACCCCCCTGCCGGCTGAAGTCCTTCTCCCCCAAGCCGGCCAGTCCTCCCCCCAAGCCGGCCAAGTCCTCTCACTGATACCCAGGGCTCCAGAGGGGGCGCTTTGACACTCCCCCCATCTCACAGCATTCAGCATTGGCCATGAGACCAGCAGCACTCCGGTGAGGGAGCCAGCCTGCACTCAGACCAGCTGCCCGGGGGACCCCCCTGCCCCCCATCACCGAGGACATGTCTTTCTTTAATTTCCGTAAGATCTTCAAGCTCGGGGGAGAGAAGAAGAAGAAGCAGTACGAGCACGTGAAGAGGGACGTCAACCCGGAGGAGTACTGGGAGATTGTCGGGGAGCTGGGGGATGGAGCTTTTGGCAAAGTGTACAAGGTAAGGGGAGCTCTGGGATGGAGCTTTGGTAAAGTGTACAAGGTGAGGGGAACTTTGGGATGGAGCTTTGGTAAAGTGTACAAGGTGAGGGGAGCTCGGGGATGTAGCTTTTGGTAAAGTGTACAAGGTGAGGGGAGCTCTGGGATGGAGCCTTTAGCATAGTGAATAAGTCTTTGGTAAAGTGTACAAGGTGAGGGGAGCTTGGGGATGGAGCTTTGGTAAAGTGTACAAGGTGAGGGGAGCTTGGGGATGGAGCTTTGGTAAAGTGTACAAGGTGAGGGGAGCTCTGGGATGGAGCCTTTAGCATAGTGAATAAGTCTTTGGTAAAGTGTACAAGGTGAGGGGAGCTTGGGGATGGAGCTTTGGTAAAGTGTACAAGGTGAGGGGAGCTCTGGGATGGAGCCTTTAGCATAGTGAATAAGTATTTGGTAAAGTGTACAAGGTGAGGGGAGCTTTGGGATAGAGCTTTGGTAAAGTGTACAAGGTGAGGGGAGCTCAGGATAGAGCTTTGGTAAAGTGTACAAGGTGAGGGTAGCTTGGGGATGGAGCTTTTGGTAAAGTGTACAAGGTGAGGGGAGCTTTGGGATAGAGCTTTTAGCATAGTGAATAAGTCTTTGGTAAAGAGTACAAGGTGAGGGGATCTTTGGGATAGAGCTTTGGTAAAGTGTACAAGGTAAGGGGAGCTCGGGGATGTAGCTTTGGTAAAGTGTACAAGGTGAGGGGAGTTCTGGGATGAGCCTTTCACAAAGTGAATGTGGTTTAGGAGAATGAGACTTTGCTAAATTGGACATGGTTCGGGGAGCTCTGGGATGGAGCTTTGGTAAAGTGTACAAGGTGAGGGGAGTTCTGGGATGAGCCTTTCACAAAGTGAATGTGGTTTAGGGGAATGAGACTTTGCTAAATTGGACATGGTTCGGGGAGCTCTGGGATGGAGCTTTTGACAAAGTGTACAAGATGAGTGTAGCTTGGGGATGGAGCTTTGGCAAAGTATAAGGTAAGGGAGAGCTCTGAGATGGAGCCTTTACTGTAGTGTTGTGTTTGGGGGAGGGGATGCTGGGGGAAGGAGCCTTTGACAGAATGAATGTAATCAGGAAGATGGAGCCTTTGGCACACTGAATGTTATCACAGGGATGGAACTTTTGGCAAAGGCCTCATAGTTTGGGAATAGTCTTTTGGGAAGTTAATGTGATGCGTGGATAATGCTTTTGGCAAAGTGTTAAAGGTGACGAGCTGAAGGATGGAGCCTTTGGCACATTTGTCAACTAGTTTTTTATTAAAAGATTTAAAATTTTACAATAAAATGAACAATCTATATAAGATAAGTAAAAATATTGATACAACAAACACTTTAGTGACTGGGCGAATGGAGCTTTTTGCAAATTGTGGTGAAGTGAGCTTAGGAGGGAGCTTTGGGAAATGTGTGCAAGGTGATCAGTTGGTAAGATTTTACAAGCTGAAGGGTGTGCATAAAAATAAAGGAAGGTGTTAGAGAAAGGTTATATGAGAAAAATGTGCTGTCATTATAAGGCAGACATGGACAGACAGTGACCTCATCCACAGATTATACATTTTACCTCCCACATCCACAAAAAGTATTGTAAGAAAATGCTTTTGGTCCTCCTAGAATTATCACCAATGCAGCTTGCTTTTTTAAAGACTTGACATCTTCAGTCATTTGCTTATGTGTTGTTAATGGGAAGTATTCAGCTAGTTTTTAATATTGTTTATATGCAGGGCTTTTAGTCTTGTGATACTGGCCAGCACTGCATAGCAATACTTCAATTTAAATGAACTCGCTAAACACCTGGAGTACTTTAGCTTGTTGAAGTGCTTTATGTACCAAGAGTGTGTACTCCTTTATATAATTTGGACAAAGTTATGCAGTGTTTCCACGCTATTTTTAGATATAACCCCAATGAAATGTTTTTAAAGGAATACGCTACACACCTAAAGCACTAGAGCCTGTTGGAGTGCTTTTAAAGTGAATTGGACAAACTAATGCAGCTTTTGCACACTGTTTTTAGATACAGCCCCAATTAAAAAATGCATAATTGAATGCATATAGTTTTACAATTGGGTATGTCTACTAAATTGTGAAAATAAATTAAAGTAAACATTTTTCCATTGGAGTGTTCCTTTAAAATTGCAATAGTCTATGCAGGAAATTGTTAGAAAATTATTTCATAATTTACAGAGTATTGCACCTTTTCATACAAGTAAGATTGTACATCATTTTAGATCAGTTCATAGCTTCCAGCATAGTTTAAAAAAAAAAAAAAAAAGTGAAAAATTCAATTTAAAGTAAAATAAATTAGTAGCTTTTGGCTTAAAATGACACTATAGTCACCAAAACAACTTTAGCTTAATGAAGCCGTTTTGTTGTATACATCATGCTCCTGCAGTCTCACTGCTCAATTCTCTGCTATTTAGGAGTTAAATCACTTTGTTTATACAGCCCTAGTCACACCTCCATGCATGTGACTTACACAGCCTTTCTAAACACTTCCTGTAAAGAGTCATCTAATGTTTACACTTCCTTTATTGCAAATTCTGTTTAATATATAATTTCTTATCTCCTGCTCTGTAACAGCTTGCTAGACCCTGCAGGAGCCTCCTGTATGTGATTTAAAGTTACATTTACAGAGCAGGAGATATAAACCTTTTAATATAAGTTACATCGCATTGAAAATAAAACCATTTTGTTTAAATGCAGTCAGTGTCAGTCAAGCCAGGGGAGGTGGGGATAGTGCTACAAGGACAGAAACAAAAGTGATTTAACTCCTAAATGGCAGTGAATTGAGCAGTGAAACTGCACGGGCCTGATATATAGACAAAAACTGCTTTATTGAGCTAAAGTTATGGGGACTATATTGTCCCTTTAACATCTTTATGGCAAGGCTTAGAAAAAAATCTTGGTATCCTTAGTGTTGGTATATGTGGTTAAACCTGGAGGGTTTAATATTTTTTTGTAATATACGTTTTTATTGTTTTGAAGAGACATAAGGAAATGGGGTACAGAAAGGAAGAAGGGTAGACGCAGGGGTTACATCTTAGAGTGTATACAAATCCATTGTCATTCTGCTAGAGTATGGGCATACAACAAGAGGTTAATAATTGACATTGATCGTTTCTATAGAAGCAGGCCGTTGCATCATATTTTTGAGTCAGGGAAAACTCTTCCTGGCTCCTCCAAAACCCTTCCCTAAATTGCAAGATGATGCATGTTGCCCATGAAAGGGAAGTGATGTTGTTATATGCTGGAATAATCCTGTTTTTAAAATAAAATCTACAATGTTCATTATATCATTTGCTTTGCAGAAATAAAGCAAATAAATAATTATACCAGTTTTCCTTAAAGGACCACTATACTGCCCTGAGGGTGCCCCCACCCTCAGGGTCACACTCCCGCCGGGCTGGATGGCGAGGAAAGGGTTAAATCTTTTTTCCTAGCACCGGGCGGGGAGCTCTCCTCCGCCTCCTCTCCGGCTGCATGCGCAGCAGGAGCTGCGCGCGCATTCAGCCTGCCTCATAGGAAAGCATTCATAGTGCTTTCCCATGGACGCTGGCGTCTTCTCACTGATTTTCACAGTTAGAAACACGCAAACGCCTCTAGCGGCTGTTTAGAGGCTGGATTAACCCTATTATAAACATAGCAGTTTCTCTGAAACTGCTATGTTTATAAAAAAAAAAAGGGGGGTTAATCCTAGAGGGACCTGGCACCCAGACCACTTCATTAAGCTGAAGTGGTCTGGGTGCCTAGAGTGGTCCTTTAACTGATGGATCTGGACTTGAAAAGATTGCCCCCTCCCCATTTGTTTGAACAGGCTTATCAAATCCACCAGGAGCCAAGTAATTGTCGTAAGCATCATTGCCGATTTGTTTCAAGGAGGAAGTCTATCTTTGCAATATTTATTTTGATGTCAATTAATTGTTATAATTGGAGAATAGGTCACTGAGCTTATTTTCTAATTGAAAAATGGGTTGCCAAGCTATATATATATATATATATATATATATATATATATATATATATATATATATATATATATATATATATATATATATATATATATATATATATATGCAATTTGGGTTCCCATACGATATTCGGCCAGTTCCTCAACACTCGACAAAGCTCCAGGGATAAATGTGTGACTTTTACACACATGGGTGCTGAGGAAATGGTTGGTTGAGGATGTGGTTTTAATGTGCACCTCAAGTTGATTTACTCTTCTTGTCATACGAGAGCTTCCTGCTTCTACTGAATGTTTTTCTGCAACACAGGTTGCAAGGGACCAATGAAAGTGTCATTTTGTTATGGGAAAGTGGTAGAATGCAGAGCAACACTGCAGGAAGAAACAAAATCCGGGACAGAGAGGAAAGATTGATCTGTTTAACAGTCCCCACCCCCTGCTTCCTTTTCACCCTTCCCTGCCAAAGAGCTTCTTATTTCAGTCATTCAATCTGTTGGTAAATGTACAGTTTATGCAGACATGTGATTGTCTTGTGTTAGAATTGGTAATGTTGGAAATGCAGTGTAACTCTGCCAATGTAAAGCTATAGGGGATTATATGCAAAACACCAAACTGTAGTGAGTGGCAACATTTAGTGAAACAGGGCTTTTTACTAAAGTTAAAATTCATAGTGGATTTCGAAGGCCATAGTAGCTGACTTAGGGAATTTTTGTAGTTCAACTATTTTGACTTTAAAGTGGACATGTAATGAAAAAAATTCACTTACCTGAAATCGCTTCCAGATACACTGAATACACTATATCACAAAGATACGTGGTTTATTCAATGTAAAATATATTGATTTACTAACCTTTCCTCAGTTCCAGCGCCACTTAGTGGGTGTCACTCTTTGTTTAATACTCACCGTGGGGCCGTCCTCCGCAGTGTTGTTTGATTTGCCCTGCTTGGGGATGCATTCTCCTCAGTGAGATCGGAAGTTTGGCTTTGTTGCCGGTGTTCTATCAAATTTCCCTACCCGTGAAAATCCCCTACGCTCCTCACTTCCAGTGAGGGGAATCAGCTGGATCCTGTGCTGCACATGCGTGCTAACACTTCTGCTACTCCTCCACAGCAAGGTCCTGGAAGGTAAGTAAAACTAGTTTTACACTTTCATTATAGTTAGTGCATTCACTAAGCTTAGGACATGTGGCATTTAGGGTTAATGTTAGGGTTAGGATTAGGGACTTGTTCATATTTAGTGATATTTCACATTAGGGGAATATCATTAAATTGTGCTTTTTCACACTTTATTTTAACCCTTACCCCAAAGGGTTAGGGTAAGAATAGAGTGTGAGAGAGGTTAGAATCACTTACCTAACCCTAATTTGAACCCTCACTTAACCCTAAATGTCCCATGTCCTAAGCTTAGTGAATGCACTAACTATAATGAAAGTGTAAAACTAGTTTTACTTACCTTGCTGTGGAGGAGTAGCAGGAGTGCTAGCACGCATGTGCAGCACAGGATCCAGCTGATTCCCCTCACCGGAAGTGACGAGGTAGGGGAATTTGATAGAACAACGGTGTCGCAACAGAGTGACCACATTATTGCACTCCTATACTCCCTAGCTGGCACTAGAAGCGCTGGCTAGGGAGTTACCATAGCGCATGTGCAGTGGTTGCTATGGGTGGATAGCAGAGTGAACTCTTCTGGGAGGTATTTTCTGCTCTCCCTTGTCAGTCAGTTCCTTGGCACGCCAAGAAATTCCATGACAGCTGGGAGAAAAAAACTATATATTTTTTTTTTTTTTAAAAAAAGGGTTTTCTCCTGATCTATAAATTTGCTAGCAAAACTGCAAGCACAATGTATAGATATATTCTTATGCTCAATCTAATGAACATAGGTTGTTTGGGGCATGACCGGTCCGCTTTAAATGATTACATTACTTTGGATTTCCTAATTACTTTTAATAACCATCAAAGCACTGATGTGGAAAAGGTCGCCAACTCTGCTATAGTCACAGCTACACTATTTTAACTTAAAGTTTGCGATTTTGTTTTTGGTTCACTGCAGTTTATTGGTAAAGCCCACTAGATCTTAATTTTCTAAGTTATTTATATATATATATATATATATATATATATATATATATATATATATATATATATATATATATATATATATATATATATATATATATGATAGAGATGCACTCTCAGGACTTGAAAAAATAATTAATTTATTCCAGTAGGTATAACATCAAAGTTTGCCGACGTTTCGACCCATTCGGGTCTTTCTCAAGGTCAATGTACCTGTGCTTACAAGCCATTTATATAGGACATAAAAAGAAGTACTCACCAATCTGTGAAGAACCCCCTGAATCCCTCCGTGCACACCCGGAAGTGAAACCGGAAATAGAACCCGCAATCACATGATCCATGCATAAGTGATCATGTGGTGTTGCTAAGATACCGATGGGAAAGCAATTAATAATAAGATCGGTAAATATCTCATAGATGTGCAAGTGAAATGTCTAATATCAATCTATTGGTATGTATATAAAATCTAATTAAAGTGCAAAGTGCATAAATCCGCAAAAATGCAGCCTAATATAAGAAAGTGAGCAAAGATCATAAGATCAAATATACTGTGTAAAGTGTCACCATATATCTAAAGAAGTGATCAAAGATAGAAAATGTTATGTTAAAAACATTTCACCAACCATGTCAAGTTTAGAAGGCATTTAGCTGAAGCAGTCTATAGCATCAAAAAACTAGCAGGCTAAATAAAAAGGAAATAAAGCCATTAGAATAAAGGCTCCAAAAACCAATAAGGATCACAAATATACTTAGAGAAAAAGGAAACCATACGATTATTCAAAGAACATTATTACTAAAGAAACATAGAGAGCACGATACAATTGGAGTACTTGGATACTCACATAGCTCAGTACCTCACAGTTGAGCACCCCAGACATCCGGTACTGTACACGCTACCCAAGATTCATAAAGACCCACTACAACCACCAGGAAGACCCATAGTTTCGGCTAGGGGTGGCATAATCGAACCAATTGCCAAATATATTGATACCTTTATTAAAGATAGCATTATGGCTTTGCCTACATGCTCACGAGACACACGGGACTTTATGTCCAGAATCCTACAAACACCATACGTGGAGTCGACATCCTTATTAGTTACGATGGATGTCCAGAGCCTGTACACCATCATACCCCATAGGGAGGGTGTACAGGCTTTGAGGGAGATCCTGATCAAATCTACCATATATGTAGGTCCGCCAATTGAATTCTTGTTGGAATTTCTAATGATTGCACTTACATGCAACTATTTTTAAATTTGAAAACCAATTCTATGTGCAAGTATCCGGCACTGCGATGGGGGCGGCAATGGCACCATCATATGCTAATGCCTTCATGTACATTTTTGAATGTGATCATATTTTGGAAAAATTTGGACAACATATTCAACATTATTATCGGTTTGTAGATGACCTGTTCATGATTTGGACAGGTACCAGGATAGATCTGGAACAAATGATTCATGAGATAAATCAATCTTCTACATCTGTTATACTGAGTCATCAAATTGATGAAAAATCAATTAAATTTTTGGATGTCACCATCTATAAAAAAGAAAATAAACTGGAATTTACCTTATACCGTAAAAATACGGATCGTAATACTCTCTTATCTGCCTCCAGTTTTCATCCACAACAACTTAAGAAATCACTCCCGGTCTCCCAATTCTTAAGGACATTAAGATATAATACAGAAACCGAAAAACGAAGAGTTCAATTGGAAGAGATGTGGGATAGATTTCGTATGCGAGGTTATCATCCACAAACTCTCCAAATAGCACAAACTAAAGCTTTGAATATATGGAATCAAGAAAGATTGAATGATAAAATTAAGAAGGTACCAAAAGAACCAAAAATTTATCTTCCCATGACTTTTCATACTGGAACATCGAAAATAAGACAATCTATCCAAAAACATTGGGATATATTACGTTCAGATAAATCACTACCTCATACATTCATGAGCTCTCCTGTTATCAGTTACAGAAGAAATAAAAACTTAAAGGACCTTCTGGTGAAGAGTGACCCAGAAATTTGTTACCGTAAACCGAGGAGTATTTTGAAGAAAGGTTGCTATAAATGCAGTGGATGTGTGACATGTAGTCACATGGTCAGTGGCACGACCTTTGCTCATCCCCACAGCGGTCAGAGAATTAAAATATCTCATTATATCACTTGTACTACTGACCATGCGATATACATGATCACATGTCCCTGCAGACTTTCGTACGTTGGTAAAACCGACTTGACGTTGAGAGACCGCATAAGGGGACATCGGTCGACCATAACAACAGCATTTAGAGATCAGTATAGCGATAAGCCAAACATTTCCTACATATGCAACATAGACTTCCTTTGTTACGTTTCACGGCTATTGATCATGTCCCCCCAATGTCCAGAGGGGGTGACAGATCAAAGAAATTACTTCAACTTGAGGCACAATGGATCCATCGGCTGGACACAGTGACACCAAGAGGACTCAACGAAAATATCGTGCTCTCTATGTTTCTTTAGTAATAATGTTCTTTGAATAATCGTATGGTTTCCTTTTTCTCTAAGTATATTTGTGATCCTTATTGGTTTTTGGAGCCTTTATTCTAATGGCTTTATTTCCTTTTTATTTAGCCTGCTAGTTTTTTGATGCTATAGACTGCTTCAGCTAAATGCCTTCTAAACTTGACATGGTTGGTGAAATGTTTTTAACATAACATTTTCTATCTTTGATCACTTCTTTAGATATATGGTGACACTTTACACAGTATATTTGATCTTATGATCTTTGCTCACTTTCTTATATTAGGCTGCATTTTTGCGGATTTATGCACTTTGCACTTTAATTAGATTTTATATACATACCAATAGATTGATATTAGACATTTCACTTGCACATCTATGAGATATTTACCGATCTTATTATTAATTGCTTTCCCATCGGTATCTTAGCAACACCACATGATCACTTATGCATGGATCATGTGATCGCGGGTTCTATTTCCGGTTTCACTTCCGGGTGTGCACGGAGGGATTCAGGGGGTTCTTCACAGATTGGTGAGTACTTCTTTTTATGTCCTATATAAATGGCTTGTAAGCACAGGTACATTGACCTTGAGAAAGACCCGAATGGGTCGAAACGTCGGCAAACTTTGATGTTATACCTGCTGGAATAAATTAATTATTTTTTCAAGTCCTGAGAGTGCATCTCTTTATCCTCTATATATTTTGTCTACATGGGATTGCACCCAGGCGATATTGAGCTACACATTTGAAAGGGTGAGTGCCAAGAAAAACATTGTTTTATATATATATATATATATATATATATATATATATTTTACAACACCGGTGATAGCTCTTTCTTGTTTACACTTATCAGTTTCCGATATATGGAAGTTAAAATGGCTAATGATTTTACTGTTTGACACAAACAAGCATAGAACATTTTCAATGCTAAAATAATTCAGATGGGTTACAGAAAACCTAGATCCATGTGTATATGAAGAGGGATCTATCTTTCTGATTACAGTGTTTTACCAGTATATGTTTATGGTATCATAGGGAGGTATAACAGATGTAATCTTCCCTGTTTGATACCGCAATCTTACTGTGATTGCAGTGTTCTCTTATTCCTTGCAATCTTACAAGAACACATTGCCCACTGGTATGACAGGATAATACACAGCATTATTTCTTTAACAGAATTTCCTCAACAAGAGGAAGTGTCACTGGCAATTATTTACTAGCCTTTGATTAGTAATGTGGCTGTCATTTAGCTTAGGGAACACTATCAGTATACAGCAATCTTCACTCCCTCTGCTAGAATCTGCCTTGAGGTTATAAATATTAACACCAGATTGTGGTTTTGTTGTTTGTTTTTTGTGTGTTTATTTTTTTTACATTTTGTTCCTGACTAAGTCTTATTTAAACATGTTCACGTTTGTACTTCTGAACCATTAAGAAAAGTGACATATCTAGCAACAATCTTTTGCCTTTGGATCTATAGCTTGTAGTTTGAATTTAGTTATTTCTCTTCGTCTTGAGGTACATATCATAACAAGATACAGTGAGGAATGTATAGTAAAGCCGCTCGGTCACCCTTTTTTTTTTTTTCTTGTTTTTGTGGTGCTCTGCTGTGCCCCTCTGGGTAACCTAACTTTATTTTTTTCTCTCCTGGAATTACATTGCTTTAGAAAGTTAATACATAAGGAAGAGTAGGGACTATGCTTCCTTATTTAGAAACTGCGGGCTGACACAAGCTGGAGCTTTAATCCAAAAACCTAATATACAGGGATATAATTTCTAATTAGTGGGGTAATAGCTGCTTGATCCAAGGAGATATCTGACTGCCATTTTGGGGTCAAGAAGAAATTGTTTTCCTAGTTTGTTGCAAAATTGGCAGTGCTTCAAACTGTGTTTTTGCCGCCTTTTGGACCAACGGCAAAAACATATGAGGAAGGCTGAACTTGATGGACGCAAGTCTCTTTTCAGCTATGTAACTATGTAAGGTCAATGTCATTTGTCATCTTTGTCATTGGTTGCCACTTCTTACGCACCTCCTTTCAGCAATGACTCTTGCAAGATCCCGATGAACTGGGCATGCGCGCATGTACAAGGGAAGGGAAAGATACTTCTGGGGAGCGCCATGGTGGATTTACCAAGATGGTGGCGCTGTGAATGAAAACCTGACCGGTAAGAAATGGAATTCTCGGTGACCGCTTGGCCGTTGCTTTAAAAAAGTTAAAAGGAGAATTTATGGGAGGATTTGTTTTGTTAAAAATGTGGAACATGAAGAGATAATCTTTGGAAAGGTTAGATCCTAAGCTGTTGCAGAATGAAAACTCCCTTGATGCTTTGGAAGCTCCCAACCAAGGGCCACTTAAGTGTCAGTCCGCGAGGAATCAAATAATTGATTGACAGTGTTTCTTTAAGGCTTGTATAACACCATGGAAGTTGTAGTTCAAGAGATCTGCCTGTGGCCTGCTCTGCCATTTTATTAAAAAAATAAATATTCAGTCTTTGTTAAATGCATTATATTGAGGTAGTAATTTGAAACCGCTTCACTACTACCAGTCTTTAGGTCCTCATTATCTATTTTCCTGCTAAGAATATGTGAAAGCAACGTGTCATATAGACTCCCCTTTAGAATGAACTAAAGCATAGTCTAGAATTAGACTCCTGTTCAGGAGGCTTAAGTTGAGTTTCAGTTGAGTTTAGTCCTCTTACCTAGGCCATTAGAATATCAGCCAGGTTCCTTCAAAATTCAGGAAAAATGCTTGTTCGCCCTCTCTTGTCCAAGAATATAACTAGTGTTTATGGCAACAGAGTTGAAGAGTCGTGAAGCTGATTTGTAAATTGTATGGTCTGTTGACTAAATGTCGAGTTTTTGGTGAACTGACAACCAGCCCTCAAAAAATAGACTTAAATTAGCATTGGAGAACAAAATACTAAATTCTGTGAATTAAGAATTTACCTTTTTCTTGTTTTGCATATAAATCAGTGGCCTCACCACAGCTGGTTACATCAGTGTCCTTGTTAATTATCTCATAATTTTAAGGAATAAAATAATAATTTGTCTTCTATATGCCATTAGAGAAATGGGAGTGGTTTCAAATTAACAAGATTTCCTAGATATCTTCCTGTCCAGACGTTTCCTGTGCTGCTTTGAAAGAACTGCAAATATTGATGTAAAATAAAACATTTACATTTTGCAGCAAGCATTCTCTTTATATTACTAAGATAATCCTATGATAAGATTTTCATACTTCATTGATTTTTTTTTGATTTTTTTTTTTTAGGGAAATCAGTCTGTAAATTTGGCAGCAATTTTTGCAAAACAGTTTATCAACACGAAAGCATACTTGTGTCTTTGTTTAATACTGTATGATGCTCGGAAGGAGTTGCAGTTTCATATAATGAACTACTCATGTCGGGCATTTGAAGTAGAGTATCTCGGGTTGATTTGAAAACTATTCTTTCCTTCCCCTGATTGACAAAGAAGCCCAGTGCAGTTTTTGCATTGGATGTAAAGCAGTGTTTAATTGTTGCTTTTTGTCTCCACATGGATTTTTATTTATTTACTAAACTTTTTTAGCAAATCCCATTGTAACATAGGTTCAGATAATCAAGGATTGTAAAATGTGTGCGTTTGTAGTAACCAAAGAAGGAGACCCTTTTTTAGATACTGGCCTGTGACCATAGTTTACTGCAGTAGCCGTTGCCTGTTGCCTGTCGGTTTACCAATTAATACAGTGTTTGAGTTTATGTATTTCTGTCTGGGACAGAAATTACACATGAGTTAAGCATGGGAAATGTTTCATTTGAAACATGCTTAGTGACCCATTCAAGTGTAATAGAACACCTTGAGCTCATCCCAGTATAAAGGGGTTTCTGCTGCACTGGACGGCACGAAGACAGCATTAGCATTTATTAACACAAATGTATTCTTAAAGGAGAAGTTTTATTGTGTTTTACAATTTATAATAATCTCATATTGCGAATTTCTAATTTGTGAAACAATTTGCAAGGCATGTCATAGGAGACACTGGATTTTCACTTGTTTTTTTTTTAAATTTTTTTAAATCCAGTGTTAACCATAAATAAATATCCAGTATAAATCACAATAGAAGCTGAATTGTTTTTCCCACCGAAAATGCTGTATAACTTTAAAAAAAAAATATGCTGTATGTATGTAGAATCCACCATCTCCCCCCCTCCCCCCCTTTTTTTTTTTCTCTCTGAAAATATTATTTAATGGAACTAGGGATCAACCAATATCATTTTTCCAAAGACAATACAGATTATCATTAGCCTTTTGAGCCGATTGCTGATAACTACTGCCAATATCATGTGTAGTTAAAGTTTTACAGCACAATTTTTACACGTATCTGGGCTGATACCAATTATTGTAAAATTATAAATATCAGCTCTAATTTTCATCACAGCAGATAATCAGTCTTTCTCTAAAATGAACATGCCAAACATCTATAGCACTTGAGCTTGGGAGGGTTGCAAAGGCTGCAGACACAATCTGCTTAATGTCAACCTGATTTTAGATATCCCCTCAATGAAAAGCATAATTAATTGCATGTTTATTTTCATTGGGAAATATTTAAATGACCACTATAGGCACCCAGACCACTTCAGCTCAATGAAGTGGCCTGGGTGCCAGGTACCTCAGGTATTAACCCTTCAGATGTAAACATAGCAGTTTCATAGAAACTGCTATGTTTACATAGGGTTAATCCAGCCTCTAGTGGCTGTCTTCCAACAGCCACTAGAGGTGCATCTGCGATGCTGGATGCAGAAATACTTTCCTATGGACTTTTTAAATGCGTGTGCGGCACTTGCTTCACTCGGGAGCTGACGTCGGCTGGGGAGGAGAGGTCACCGGCGCTGGATTAAGGTAAGATGCTGAAGGGGTTTTAACCCCTTCAGCACCACGGGAGGTTTTCCTGTCACTATAGTGATCCTTTAATAGCAAGTTTTTTTTAATTTTTTTTTTATTTGGTCTCTTTAAACATCCATAATGGTAACATGAATTTAAGCAATTAGAGGGAATGGTGTCATATAAAATAAATATATGGAGTTATTTCATATGACTGTTATCGAGATCTAAAATGGCAATATCTTTTTACTCAATACCTAAGCGGGAAAAAAATAATCCATTGACGTTTCCCTTACCCTTCTCTTAGCTGTAATACAAGGCTATATGTTAAGACATTTGACACATCTGGAGAGCCGTGGTTCATAAAAATAAAAAAAACTGTTGATTTAACATTTTGAATAATCTAAGTAAGATGTGTTGTCCAGTTGTGACAATTACTATTAAAGTGCTCACGTGGAGAGACTGCATCTCTAGCTGTGAAAAAACAACATAGTTTAAGCCTAAGTTGGCAGTGGGAGACCTTCTAACCGGTTTCTAATTGGTTTTCTTAGTGTTCTGGTGCACATCACGCCTCTAAATATGACAAAGTAATGTGTATGTTACAAACCAAATGTGGTGTGAGATATTTCACCCTTTCTGCAAACAGCACATGCTGAGTTATACAGCCTCAAACTGTGTAACCACTTAAGTCTGCTAAGATGTCAGTGATCACACACTGCCAATTAAATCCTCAGTTTACATGTTAAATTGCACTTTGGCTCTTTTAATATTACCACATGCATTGCAGAGCTATTCCCAAACGTGTCTAGTAGTACTACAGCGTCAATGTTACATTTTCAACTTAAAAATGTTTGATCTAGTTTTATATAATGTAATAGAACGCTAAAGATGCAGTTACATGATTTCTACATTAACTTTCTTTACACCATTTATTTTAATAGTAATAGTCTTATTACTAATATTACTAATATTCTTTTAAAATAGTCAAACATTTACCTGGAACCAGGTGTCAAGCCTCTTTCAGATCTTGGTTCAATCAAATGCTTCTCATATTGCAGCAGTGATGGACCTTCAGCGCGTGTGCAGATTCTTCACATAGAGAAGCATTGAATCCAGTGCTTTTCCATTTGTAGAAATGAATCTAGGCAGTGTCAATTTGCAAAAGGCTGGACCAGTTTTATAGAACGTAGAAAGGTGGAATTATGCAGGTAAGGAGACAAAGCTAAGTAAAGATTGGTGTGAAAGAGCTGTCACTAGAGGGGATAAGGGGGAGAAGTTGCATTGAGGCACACAATCCGAACGTCTACTTGCAGACCCACTCACAGCGCTGCCTGCAAGGTAAAAAAAAAAAAAAGATTCTGTCTGTTGCTATCGTGCAGAGTGGGCCAACGACAGGTGTACTTTTTGCACAGAACTAACTCTGCTTCAGATTGCCTAGCGTTCGTTCTCTGCATGATGGCAACAGACAGAATCTTTTTATTTATTTTATTTACCTTGCAGGCAGCACTGTGAGTGGGTCTGCAAGTAAGTAAAATGCGCATGGGGTGTGTGGCGGCACGAATATTTAGTTTATTGCTATGTTATGTTTTGAGTATATGCCCACTACTTGCTGTTATTTCATTCTGTCATCCTGAGTTGCTAGCTGATTTTGCTGTAATAATCGAATTTTTAAAGGGCAGTCTTTCAACTTAAAGGATCACTATAGGGTCAGAAACACAAACATGTAAAAATCCACCATTTATATGGCTTGCCTCTCCCTAGCCCCCTCAGAATGAGTTAAAACGTACCTTATTTTCATCTCTCCACGGGTTTGCCGGCGCTGGCCCCGCCCCCTTGGTGACATTATTACAATTGCAGATTTTTAGCTAATCCAATGCTTTCCCATGGTTAAAATCGGCATGGGGGCGGGGCCAATCGTCGTTTTGGCCAATCAGCACCTCCTCATAGAGATGCATTGAATCAATGCATCTCTATGAGGAAAATTCAATGTCTCCATGCAGAGCGTGGGGACTCTGAACGACAGGGCTGCTCACTGTGCAGGCCTGAGCCAGGAAGCCTCTCCAGTGGCCTTCTAATGAGTGGCCACTTGGAGGTGTTCCTAGGGGCAAGGCAAACACTGCCTTTTCATGAAAATGCCTGACTGGAGCTATTATACTCACCAGAACAACCACATTAAGCTGTAGTTGTTCTGGTGACTATAGTGTCCCTTTAAGTCATTTTGGGCCAGAGATGCAGCCCACATATGAATATAGAGCCATTTCTTCACTGTTTATATTTTGCAGTTTCTGCACTTACTGTCAGGCAGACAGCCAGTAGAGGTGTTCTGGCACAAATAGATTCAGTTAGTGAAACACTTTTATGTCCAGCGTCCGCATGCAAAGTATGTTGACCATGAACGATGTGCGCCACCAGTGCTTCTCATTGAGAATCATTAGATTTAATGTTTCTCTAGGAGAAGCATTGGATTGGTGGACCATGGCAGTTGGAGCGCATGCACCATGTGTTTTAGGTGCTTTTCTATGAGAAGTATCTGATTGGACAAAAGTCATCAGGATTGATGGCGTCATTGGAACAGGATTGGGCTGACTATCTAGGAGCAGGAATAAAGTTAGCCCCGAAGGAAGTGCTGAAGTAGGAGCAAAACACATCAGATTAATTTACTTCTGCTTGATGCCCAAGTTGTGATGTGATTACTAGAATGAAGGTTCCCCATATTTTTTCATGTTGATCGAGATGTTATTTCTTTCTTCAGGAATCTAGCATTTTCATTCTCCTTTTATAAAGCGGCACTGTCACAATCTGGGTACTTTGCATCATTTGCAAAGACTCCTGATGGTGCATTGCCACTGGGTGGCCGGTTCCTGAGTGGAGGGAACAAACACAGGTGAGTTTAATGTAACTAAACCTGTCCTTTGTGTGTGCTACCATCTTCTTTCGGCCGGGAAGCACCAGGTACAGAGGTCACATTTGTACTCTGACACATATGCAGAGGGACAGAGCACTGAACAATGGAATTAAAAATTCTACTGGTTTATCCAAATTGCACTTGTTGTGTGCGCGTGCATTTAGGTTTATAAAGTATGGAAGCTCTGTATGGCAGGATGGGGCCGATGTACAGTTTTATAGTAGACTTGTTGGTACAACAGATTGTATATATGAGGGTGTGGGACTGATCTAGAGCCTTAAAAGAATGATATATTGCCATTTGCTTTCAATCTAGGTTTTTGGCATGTGAAATCTAAAGCAGAATATGTTCCACCTATGTGTGTGTGTGTATATGTGTGTGTGTGTGTGTGTGTATATGTATATATATATATATATATAATTTTGTCATTTCTGCTTGATGCTGAACAAAACAGGAAAAAAGAGAGCTGGGTACTGCTACTTTATAGTTCCATTATTACATATATAAGAAATGCAGTTTATATTTAGAACATTCATGGGGGTTGTTCATTGTATTGACTGGGAATTAACTACACAGCCCTATGACTCTTTCTTTCATTGAGCTCACAAAAGCAGAACATCTTTATATACAGAGCAGTACCTCTTTACTCAGCCTTACTTGCCCTACTAGAACAATGGTGTCTCTGTGGCCAGACAAAGCATTTCTGAGAAAGCTCAGGAGAATTGTACAAGGAAATCCCTATATGTTAAATGGATGGACAGCAGACAGGATACATGCAGCCGCTGTTATATTGCTTCCCCTGTGCTTTGCAACAGCCAAGATGTTCAGCATGGCTACTTTGTGCATGAAATTAAGTTTTTATTACAAAAACCCCAATATGTGCATAAAAATAATAATAGAAAGGGGATTACACTTTCCTGTTACAGGGACATATACTGAATAATTGATGAATGAAAAAAGACACACTCCACTCCAAATTCAAAATACATTTAAAAAATAAATAAAAAAAAATCGATATTTAGTATATACTGCCAATTAAAACTTTCATGCATTTAATAATGTTCATTTTGTTTATTTGTATATTAAAACAGCTTGAAAAAGTTACAGATCTCTTGTCTGCGTTGTCTGCAGCCTTTGTAATCCCTCCCCTTCCTGCCCAGACCTTATGTGGCTGTCCATTCAGTGCAGCCCAATGAGAAGTCAGGGCAAGTCAGGTGCTCGGAGCAATTGCATCCTTCATGATTTTAGTTCCACTGAGCTAAACTATCAGGAAGAGTAACGGGACCAGTTGTCTGACAGCCAAAGGGTGTAACAAGTTTAACCCCTTAAGGACCAGAGTTTTTGCGATGTTGTACGTTAAGGACCAGAGCGGTTTTAACACTTTTGTGGTGTTTGTGTTTAGCTGTAATTTTCTGCTCTCTCATTTACGGTTCCCACACAAATTATATATTGTTTTTTTTCAGGACAAGAAGGACTTTCTTTACATACCATTATTTGTATCATGTCATATATTTTTTGCTTTAATAAAATATGGTGAAAAATTGAAAGAAAAACAAACAAACATGTTTTTGGACTTGTACTTGAAAAATCTTTTAATTATCTACAAAAGCTAATGAAAAGACCTGCTAAATAGATTCAAAATTTTGTCCTAAGTTTAAAAGCACCCAGTGTTTACATGTTTTTTTGCTTTTCTTTTGCCAGTCAGAGGGCTATAAGTACAAGTAGGAAATTGCTCTTTCATTATATATATTTTTTACATTTATCAATAGTGACATTGTAACACTGTTATCGGTTATAAATCCCCGAATCACACCCCCACATGTACATATTTTTTTAAAGTAGACAACCCAGGGTATTTAATATGGGGTATGTTCAGCCTTTTTTAGTAGCCACTTAGTCACAAACACTGGCCAAAGTTAGCATTTATATTTGTTTGTGTGTTAAAAATGCAAAAAACGCTAACTTTGGCCAGTGTTTGTGACTAAGTGGCTACTAAAAAAGGCTGAACATACCCCACTTGCAATACCTTGGGTTGTCTTCTTGCAAATGGTATGCCATCATGGGGGTAATTCTCATTCCTGGGCTACCATACGCTCTCAAAGGCAACATTACCAATCTGATAAATTTCAATGAAAAAAATTAAGCATTATATTTGACCCTGTAACTTTCAAAAGCACTATAAAACCTCTACATGTGGGGTACGGTTATACTCAGGAGACTTCGCTGAACACAAATAATAGTGTTTCAGAACAGTAAAACCTATCACAGCAATAATATCATCAGTGAAAGTGCCGTTTGTGTGTGAAAAATGCAAAAAAGTCACTTTCACTGACCATATCATCGCTGTGCTATGTTTTTACTGCTTTGAAAGACTAATTTTTGTGTTCAGCGAAGTCTCCCGAGTAAAACAGTACCCTCCATGTACAGGTTTTAGGGTGTCATAGAAAGTTACAGGGTTAAACATAGTGCTAGCAAATTAAATTCTCTGGACTTTCGGCCTGGGTTCTCAGGCTTGTCCCTCAAATTGCAATCAATAAAATTACTTAATTATGGAATATTACATAAATATGCACGTAGAATTTAAATATATATACATATTTATATATTTGAAGTCTATGTGTATATTTATGTAATTATGTATATGGACATGTGTATTTCGTATTTTTTTTATTTTTTTTTATATACATAGATATATATAATTTCTTTCTAAGTGTATTTTGATATAAATATATGTTAATATCAAAATTACGTTAGAAAAAATTACACACACATATATATTTAATATTATTAAAAATTATTTTTACATTTTGTAATTTATTTTTATATACGTATTATATATATTTTATAATATATATAATACAATACACAAGATCCAGCGCACTCACCTATCCACTAAACAGCAACTTCAATGTTGAAAGATTTTATTTGTTTTTTTAAAAACACCTTATCTAGGCAAAAATAATGGGGGTTTAGTTACATTATATGATCATACATTGCATAAGCCTGCCACAACGTCAATAAGAAACTTGCCATTCCTGATTTCGTGCTTGCTTTCGGTATCTTTAGAGATATTCTATGCACGGCTCATCCCAATAGAAGGGAGGAACTCGATCTATATATGCACAAGCTGGTGGACCTCGGTAATAAGTATGGTGGCTATACTTTTTACGATTACCACAAGTCCTTTTCATCAAAAGTGTCCGCCACATTGTCTCAGTACGGCATCCAGATGGATTGGAGCCAACTGGACAATGAGCTGTTCCTCAGACATTTCGCAGGTCTTAGGACCCCAGCTTGTGCCATATGTACATCTCCCGCTCACGCAGCTAATTTCTGCCCGCTCTGTCCGGACAGCGCTCCCTGCCCATCCTTGCATCATCCCACTAAGTCTGAGAAACAGACCAGAGACAAACTGGGTCGTCCAGTGGTGTATCTAGGTAAATCTCAGATTTGCAATAATTTCAACGAAGGCTCCTGCGGCTACAGCGCCTGCCGCTTATTACACGTATGCTCACATTGTTTCAGGGCACATGCGAAATCCATGTGCCCTAATAAAATGTACCAGAAACCTTATTTGTCTCCGGTAAACGTTCCTTTACTTGCATATATGCTATCCACTCACCCCTCTAAACACCTTGTTGATTTTTTATGTACGGGTCTCACCCAGGGTTTTCACACAGGGGTCATTTACATGCCAACTGGGGTATTAGAGTGTCACAATTTACAGTCTGCCGCTAACCACGGCTGTCACCACACTGTTACAACTGGAAGTGGATCAAGGATTTGTCATTGGGCCTTTTGTTAACCCCCCCTTTTCCAGCTGGAGAACTAACCCTATCGGGCTGGTTTCCAGCAAAAATTCTGAGAAATTAAGACTTATCATTGACTTATCCGCACCCCACTCCTCTGCCATCCCCAGCCTAAACTCATTGATTCCATCTGAGGAATTTTCCCTACAATACTCCACTATTGACGACGCTACTGCAGCTATCAGATCTGCAGGGTGGGGGGCTTGGCTCAGCAAGACTGATATTGTGAATGCTTTTAAATTATTACCTATACACCCCTCTCTGTGGCACCTGCATGGCGTCAAGTGGCAAGACTCCTACTACTTTTTTACAAAGCTCACTTTCGGTGCCAAAAGTAGTCCCAGGATTTTTGACACATTTGCAGAAGTTTTGTGTTGTCTTCTCCCCAATACCTGCAGGTGCCCAAATGTGATACACTACTTAGATGATTTTCTTTTCATCGAATCCAATTCCACCCCCCCACGTAGCCTAGACAAAGCAACCAAACTATTCACATCCCTTGGTGTTCCCGTGTCACCCACTAACTCTGAAGGACCAGATACATTGATTAACTTTCTGGGTATCCTGCTGGATTCATCAACTATGATGGCCAGCCTCCCTAGAGGTAAGGTAGTTCACATCCTACACGATATTAGCCACTACATGCACAGGGGATCCTGCAATCGTAAAGAACTACAATCACTTCTGGGTTCACTAAATTTCGCCATGCGCATAATCCCCCAGGGCAGGGCTTTCATTTCTAGGCTCCTCGCCCCTGTTCCCCACTTTCGCCAACGACCATGTCCGCATATCCTTAGACTGTCCTGCGACCGCTGACCTCCAGATGTGGCACAAATTCCTCTCGGAATGGAATGGGAGGAGCATGTTCCTCCCGCAGTTTGATTCACAGTCACCGGTCATTTGGACAGACGCAGCGTCATCAGCAGGATATGCGGCCATCTTCAGCACAGAATGGATCTGGGGGACCTGGCCGGCAGAAACACAGGGCATTGAGGGTTTTCACACTAACTCAGCCCTATTTGAAATATACCCTATAGTTGCTGCAGCCGTCACTTGGTGTAGGTTGTGGAAAGGCCAGTCTGTACGCTGCTTTTCCGACAACCTGGCAATATGCCACACTATCAACAAAGGTCGCTCTTCCTCCTTGACGAATATGAGTTTCCTTAGGAAACTGACTTGGCTGGCAGCTACCCATCAGTTCCACATTGTATGCTCTCACGTTCCTGGCATCTACAACACGGCAGCTGACCAACTCTCTTTCAGTTTCAGGCTTTCAAACTGTCCTCGGCAGCTCGTGTAGCAACCCCAGCGCCAACTTTCCAAGAACTTGTCATGGAGTAGACGAATTACTTCAGCACAGTAAAGTTCTTACCAAGTTAGCCTTATCCACCAGCACCCAACACGCGTATCACATAGCTTTTCACTTGTACAAACAATTCATGTCTGACCGTCACCTAGCCAACTGGTTTGAGGTTTCTTCACTGATAGCTTTTGCATCTTTTTGCCACCTTAAATTTAAGTTTTCACATAATACTATTAAGCTATACCTCACGGGCATACAACACCATATGTATTGCTCCTTCCCTAACCACAAAGGGTTCTTAACTTCTTACCCCATCCGAACACTACTAAAAGGCATAGCCAAAGCAGACGGCCCTGCAACTCCCAAGAGACTTGCCATTGACATTAAACTGTTCAAATCCTTGTCCGACCTTCTTGACCAGGCTCCATTTGAACCCCATACGAATGCGGTCATTAAAACTGCTATTTATCTAGCGTTCTATGGGTTTCTTAGACCAAGAGAATTCACCATTAGTGGCCAGCACCATAGCCAAGGGTGGCTCCTCACCTCCTACCTCAGGAAACACACCGACTACTACGTTCTGACCCTACCTAAGACCAAAACAAGTCAGATGGGGGAACCTGTGCACATAACTTACTACCCCACAGGAAACAAGTGGTGTCCGGTGCAAGTACTAGACGCTTTCCTAGCTACAACGCCAACACGCACCACAAAACCACTACTAAAGCTACACAACGCAATTCTAACCACAGCAAAATTCATGCTGCATGTCCCTATGCTCATCACCCGACTTGGTCTCAACCCTAGCAACTACTCGGGGCACTCCTTCAGAATTGGAGCGGCCTCCACGGCATCTAGCCAAGACATCCCAGCACACGTAATTAAGACTCTGGGTCGCTGGAAGTCTTCGGCTTACACCACTTACATTCCTAACCCAGTCCAAGAGATTAGGAGGGCTTTCATTAAAATGTCTATTTAAATATGTAATGATGTATTATGTTTTCCGATTAAATGTTATCTTTGATTTATCTTTTTTGCCCACTTTATTTACCGGCCTACAGCATACATCGGTTTCGGCACACCTCAACCGACTATTTCCTTGTTATGTTATTTTCTCTCCACCAGTGTATTTCATGTACAATGAGAATGCCCCGAACACAAATATGTGTGTGTGTGTGTGTGTGTGTGTGTGTATATATCTATCTCTATTTATCTCTATCTATCTCTCTCTCTCTCTCTCTCTCTCTCTCTCTCTCTCTCTCTCGATATCTCTATCTCTATCGAGATAGATATCTCTATCTCTATCGAGATAGATATCTCTATCTCTATCGAGATAGATATCTCTATCTCTATCGAGATAGATATCTCTATAGATATCTCTATCGATATCTCTATCTCTATCGAGATAGATATCTCTATCTCTATCGAGATAGATATCTCTATCGATATCTCTATCTCTATCGAGATAGATATCTCTATCTCTATCTCTATCGAGATAGATATCTCTATCTCTATCGAGATAGATATCTCTATCTCTATAGATATCTCTATCGATATCTCTATCTCTATCGAGATAGATATCTCTATCGATATCTCTATCTCTATCGAGATAGATATCTCTATCGATATCTCTATCTCTATCGAGATAGATATCTCTATCGATATCTCTATCGAGATAGATATCGATATCTCTATCTCTATCGAGATAGATATCGATATCTCTATCTCTATCGAGATAGATATCTCTATCGAGATAGATATCTCTATCGAGATAGATATCTCTATCGAGATAGATATCTCTATCTCTATCTCTATCGAGATAGATATCTCTATCTCTATCGAGATAGATATCTCTATCTCTATCTCTATCGAGATAGATATCTCTATCTCTATCTCTATCGAGATAGATATCTCTATCTCTATCTCTATCGAGATAGATATCTCTATCTCTATCGAGATAGATATCTCTATCTCTATCGAGATAGATATCTCTATCTCTATCTCTATCGAGATAGATATCGATATCTCTATCTCTATCGAGATAGATATCTCTATCTCTATCTCTATCGAGATAGATATCTCTATCTCTATCGAGATAGATATCTCTATCTCTATCGAGATAGATATCTCTATCTCTATCGAGATAGATATCTCTATCTCTATCGAGATAGATATCTCTATCTCTATCGAGATAGATATCTCTATCTCTATCGAGATAGATATCTCTATCTCTATCTCTATCGAGATAGATATCTCTATCTCTATCTCTATCGAGATAGATATCTCTATCTCTATCTCTATCGAGATAGATATCTCTATCTCTATCTCTATCGAGATAGATATCTATATTTTTTTTAACTTTATTTTATGATTTTCCATTTGCAGGGAGACTGCCTCTCAGCACACAGTCCCCCTGCAGGCAGATACACAGGCACCTATTGCGGTCATGTGATCGAGCGGTCCTGATCTGCCGCGGGGAGACTGTCTGGGCAGATACAGTCCCCCTGGACCGGGAGGAGCGCTGATCGCCATCATCGGTGCTCAAGGGGATGTTTCCGATGACGGTCCTGAACCGTCATAGGTCGTCAAGGGGTTAATTTATAAAAAGTGCAAATGTCAGTTAAAATCTGCACTAAGATAAAAAAAACAGGAGAGAGTGGGAGTGTTCCTTTAACTTAGAATAATGGTTTGTTTTTGTTACATTTAAGTTGCCAAATGAAGCATACATGATCATCATACCTTTTATATTCTTTCTTATTCTCTTCTTTCAACCAGGCTCAGAGTAAAGAAACTGGTATTTTAGCAGCGGCAAAAGTTATCGATACAAAATCTGAAGATGAGCTTGAAGATTACATGGTTGAAATCGATATTTTAGCCTCATGTGACCATCCACATATTGTCAAACTTTTAGATGCATTTTACTATGAAAACAACCTCTGGGTATGTATTATTTCATTGGGATGATAGAATTTAAATAATGAGTTTATACACTGTGTTCTAATGTGTCAATAATGTTCAGTACTCTCATGTATGCTTAGCAGCACTTTAATTTAGAACAATATTGAAATCCTAAATAAAGGATACTCTGTAACCACTTTATCCACAAATAGCCTGTTTAATCAACACTAACCCTGACAGAACAAATGATCAACTTTTGTACAATGATGTGTGCTTTAATGAAACACTTTTGACGCCCAGTGTTATTTATATGAGGCAGTCTCTGGCAATTTCCTGAAGGAGAGGAGCACAGAGGACAATCTCCTTCTTCTCAGCTTTGGTGTTAAATAGAGATGTCGCGAACCGTTCGCGAACTTCCCGCGAATGGCTCGCCGCGAACCGTTCGCGGCGAGCTCGGGTCAGCTGACACATTCCGGCCAATCTCCAGCAGACCCTCCCTCCCAGACCCTCCCACCTCCTGGACAGCATCCATGTTGAAGCTGCCTTCAACATGGATGCTGTCCAGGAGGTGGGAGGGTCTGGGAAGGAGGGTCTGCTGGAGATTGGCCGGGATGTGTCAGCTGACCGGAGCCGTTCGCGGCGAGGCGTTCGCGGGAAGTTCGCGAACGGTTCACGACATCACTAGTGTTAAACTGTTCATAATTGGTTTAACCCCCTTAAGGTAATTGCCCAGAACCTCTTGACAGACTGTAACTTTAAGGAACACTATAGGGTCAGGAATACAAACCTGTATTTCTGACCCTTTAGTGTTAAAACCACCATCTAGCCCCCTGACCACTTCTTGCCTCCCTAAATATAGTAAAATCTTACTTGTATTCAAGTCTGCAGCTGCTGCCTATGCCCCTGTCTGCCTCTGGCCTGCCTGCTGTTTGCTGACATCATCTGAAGTAGTGGTCTGAGCCAATCACAATGCTTCCCTATAGGATTGGCTGAATCAAGGTGGCAGATCAGGGGCAGAGATAAAATTCATAGGGCAACACTATATGATCAAAATGTGGCCCCTTTGTGTTAATATTGCACTCACAAAAAGTCAGGGAGCCCATCAAGGTTTCTTTAAATGCTCAGCTACAGGCATCCTCAGTGTCCCAGGGTACATGTCAAAAGGAAAAAACTGGACATAGTATAGTAATGTTGGAAATATAAATAAACACTTTAATTGAATACACTTACAAAAAGTGAAAGGTAAAAATGCCCATCAGTTAGTCTCTGTGTCCCTCTGTATCAGCTGAATGGGAGACCAGACTAAGCAATGGTATGCAGCTCTACGCGTTTCGTCTTAGTATTTTTCCAACTTTATTTATATTTCCAACATTACTATACTATGTCCTGTTTTTTCCTTTTGACATGTACCCTGGGACACTGAGGATGCCTGTAGCTGAGCATTTAAAGAAACCTTGATGGGCTCATAATACTGACTTTTTGTGAGTGCAATATTAACACAAAGGGGCCACATTTTGATCATATAGTGTTGCCCTATGAATTTTATCTCTGCTTTTATTCTTTAGGTGTATTTTATATTTGCATTTTGAGGACGTTTGAGGAATCCTCTTGTTACAGCCTGATATATAAAGGAAGTAATTACCTTTTATTGTGTGTGTGTGTGTGTGTGTGTGTGTGTGTGTGTATATATATATATATATATATGTATGTATGTATATAATATTGTTTGCTAGATCAGGGGCAGAGCCAGCACAAGTCAAACACAGTCCTGGCCAATCATCATATCGTCCTAGAGATGAATTGAATCAATGCATCTCTATGAGGAAAGTTTAATGTCTGCATGCAGAGAGTGGAGACACTTAATGGCAGCGTTGCACACTAGGCAGCACTGCCCCAGGAAGCACCTATAGTAGCCATCTGATGAGTGGCAAGTGGAGTTATCACTAAGCTGTAATGTAAACACTGCATTTTCTCAGAAAAGACTCACCAGAACGAATACAGTAAGCTGTAGTTGTTCTGGTGACTATAGTGTCCCTTTAATGGAGATGAAGTTATTATGATGCCCGAATTGTTCTTTTAAATGGCAGTTTTGGTGCATAGATCCTGTCCCTTTTCTTGAATAATGTGAAATATTTCTGTTTTTGATAAAGCATGTTTACATTTGAGTAAAAACACATCTCTACTGGCTGTTGGTCTCGAGAGTCAGTTCCTCTTTACATCCTTAGATTTTATTTTTTAATTTTCTTTACCTTTTTTTCTTTTTGATGGACTTCGTATTATTAGAAGATGAAAATAATAGTCTCAAAAAGAGAATGAGACTCAAAACTGGTTTTAAACCGAGTAAAGGAAAATATCATAATACATATTGTAACTCAGGAAATCAGCACTGAGTACTGGTAGTAAAACTTGCCAATATCCTAAACAAGAAGAACTCTCTCCCAGTTATCCCCTAGACCACATAACTCGGTGCTGAAGATGAAAAAACCCTGACGAAGGTGCAACTAATGGACTGAAACGCGCGTCTTTCCTGTCCTCTACACATGGTGGCACAAGGTGTTTAACTTTTTTATTTTGTGTTTTTTTTTTTTTTTTAATCTTAAGCACTCGTTTCCATTTCTCATTAGGGACAGTATAGAACACTCTTGAAGGTGTTTGGCGTAGGAGCAATAGGGATTTAACTCTGGATCTGCACTGTCCTTTTTACTGCTGTTTTTCAAGCATTCTCTGATGACTCTTGAGTTTTCTCTACATTCTATTAGGGACAGCATAGAACACCCTCGAAGGTGTTTCACCTAGGAGCAATAGGGCGGATTCAGTTTTATATATATATCCCTACTGGTAGCCTCCTCTGGCATTTCAGATTTATCTGTATTATAGCCACTAACTCGGTCCCAGTGTTGGTGTCAGTACTTCATTGAGTCTTTCTATCTCCCCTATTGACTTTGGTACGCTTATCCATACAATTTTGAGTCACAATTCGGATCGTTCCATACATAGTGCCTTTTTATTCGTTACAATAAAGTATTTTTTAATTTTTCGGCATTTTTTGGAACCCTTATGTGATTTATAATATTGGCAAGTTTTACTACCAGTACTCAGTGCTGATTTCCTGAGTCACAATATGTATTATGAGATTTTCCTTTACTCTGTTTAAAACCAGTTTTGAGTCTCATTCTCTTTTTGAGACTATTATTTTCAGCTTCTAATATTATATTTTGGGTACAAGCCCTTCATTTGGTGGATCTGGAACCACCATACTGACCTTTGTGTGTTCAGTTCTCACATTCCGTGAGATTTGGACCCATATTTATCCTTTTGTATTTAAGGACTTCATATTATGTGTCATGACACATAGCATGATTACACTGAACCCTCCTAATCATAGGCATTGGAATAGTGGAGAGCAGTGTTTGCTGCACTTGTGCCACCTGTCCTCAATCCGTCTGATTTCACGAAAGTCACCATGTGTGCCCAGCTATTTACACTGCAGTCTGAGGCTTGAATCTGCGAACCACTTATAAGCTGAGAGTGTCCGCTGACACTTTCAACCTATCAGTAGCCCCCAATTTACAAAACCTGCTTAAAACCTATTTTTCCCAAGCTGATTTTTTTTGTGAATGGGGAGCTACTAAAAGGTTAAGATCAGTACAGAGCAATCAAGTGCCGAATTTAAGGCTTTGGGGTTAAATCATTCATTAACAATTTGTCGCTAATTGGTTTTATTGATGTTTATTGTAAAGACAACTACAAAACAAAGGTAGCCATGACGAAAGATGCTGTGATATATATATATTTATGTTTCCACCAGATTCTTATCGAGTTTTGTGCTGGCGGAGCTGTAGATGCTGTCATGTTGGGTAAGCCTGATCCTGGTAAAATGTCCAAAAGCATTAATATCAAACTGTTATTCAACCAATTCTGCCAAATGTTTGATTTTTGTTGTTTTCGCTAAAACATACTGGTGACCCCTTTTTTCTAAAAATTAGAATTCTGCAGAGCAAATAATATTAATAAAATACCTCCAGGACGGTGTTTGTCATTGTGCCTGATTCCTTCCTCTTCATCTGACTTGCCTGCCAGGAGTTGTCTCACGTTTTTTAGATTAATACTGTAAAGATGAATTATATTTAATTGTTTTGGAGCTGTTACATACTTGCTGTCCAGCATTTCAGCATTTCTGTTCTTAGAGTTCTGGGTCCTCTGGTCTTGCCCCACTGTTACACCATTGGCCCTGCTTGGGGACTCTTTGCCCCTTTCCTGTGATGCTGACCTATTGGTATTAATACCAGCACATCCGTGTCAGAACGGATTGACATCAGTTACTCGGTTCCTTTATTACCCTGACCAGCGAAAGCTTATATTTGTTGCAGGGATGTCTGTGACAGAGCAGGAGGTGAGCATGTGAGAGGGTTCTCCTGCTCTGCCCTAGCTGTCAGTCCTCTGTATAGATATCTTTGTTAAACACTGGTTGACAAGATGGGAGGGAATCATATATTTGTAAATGAAAATCTGTGGTGTAGCATTTAAGCTTGTACAATGTATAGAATAAAGGTTCTGTTCTTTAATCTTAAAGCAAGCTTGTGTGTGCCATAATTGGCACTTCAACATTATTATTTTGACTTTGTGTTGCCTTCCAGACTGCGCAGGCATAATCTAACTCACATTTTGAGTCTCCACTTTTGTAACTTTACCCAAATTCATGAACGCTAAAAAGTATTTTTTGCAACCAAGCTCTTTTTTATAGCCAGGTAACACGACTTGTCTTGCTACTTAGTGGAGTGTTCCCTGTACAAAGCGGTGACATTCCATTTCTTAACTCAAAGTGTTTTTTGTGTATATTTGCAGAGCTGGAAAGACCTCTTACAGAACCTCAGATACGAGTTGTTTGTAGGCAGACTTTGGAGGCAATGCGGTATTTGCATGAAAACAAGATTATTCATAGAGATCTAAAAGCAGGAAATATACTTCTTACGTTGGATGGCGATGTCAAATTGGGTAAGCATTCTAATATTATAATTCACTAAATGTTTGTCAGAGCCATCAACCACACTTAAACCTGTAATGTCCACAGCAGAACTTCTTAAATACAGCACATATGTTTATTCTACAAACAATAGGCTAGATTAAAATTATATAATAAAAACAATTGTGGAATCCTATATTAGTCTTCTGCTGGCATGATCAGAATGGGGGAATTACACAAACAAAAGCAATCAAATGCTCATCAGAAAATCTGCTAATGGAAGTGCCTGGATTAGCAGAGAGTTGTCACTTCCTGGTTGCTGGAGAGGCTTTTCATTTTATGTTTCATAATGTACACCGTAGTAATTACAGCTTATGGTAATGTGCCCATGCAGATATTTTTGGCAGATAATTAAGAAGCGAAACTCTCTTATCATAAAGTTACCAGCAGAAGGGGTGGGCTGTGGATGTCAAGGAATCTTCAGTTTTTTGTCAAAGTGATTAAGAGGTGTTTTTTGTTTTTTTTGTTTTTTAAAGGGAATGTTCCCCACAGCCTCCTAGAACTGTATCCACTGCAGTTAGTTATACCTGTAGTATTCGTTTAATGCATTTATAATCATAATAAGGTATCAGCTTAGGCATGTAAATATTTCCTTAGACATTTATCAAGCCGCTTTGCCTTCTTGCAACCACATTACTATGTGTTTTTCAGCAAAGCCAAGCGCTATTGTTTTTTTTGCAAAAGTGTTGTTTTTATTGAATTTAAGCCAATCATTCTCAGCTAGTCTTGAAGTTGCTATCCTTTAGAGCTCAAGTAGATTTCCTACTCTTGGGTACTGTACTGTGTTTTTTCCAGGAGCACTCTGAGCAATATGCCCTCGGGTATTTTAGGAACCAATCATCTTTATTCTTTGTTTCTACTTAAGCACAAATGTACATGCTACATTTTAAGCTTGTTAGTGCATCATTCTAATTATTTGCACAGTTATAGATATTGATTTATTGCAGTCTTTCTAGAAAGTAACTTGGTCATCCCCGTGCACAGCTCTGCAGACTGTGTATTTGCATTAAAAATGTGTTTGGAGATGTATGTATGTTGATACAGATTGGGAAAAAAAACCCCAAAAAACTTTTTAGAATGTTCTCTAGTACTGCATTTTTAAGATAATGTCATTGCATTTTAAACTGGTTAATAATTTTTTTTAAAATTCTTTGATCTATCCACAGCCGATTTTGGAGTTTCTGCAAAAAATACTCGGACTATACAAAGAAGAGACTCATTTATAGGTACACCTTACTGGTAAGGATTTTGCTTTCTACTGGTTACACATTTGTCTCTTAAATGATTTACTGTGAGGGGCTAACCTGTTACAAGCACTTCCTGCCTGTCATTGCCATTCAATGTTTTATGAAACAAAGCAGAAGTTTGTTTTTAGTGTATATGAGAACCCTTTGTATCATCAAACCTCTCAAATACCTGACAACAAACTGGGGAGATGGAACCGAACAACACTGCACACCCATAACCACTATAATTTGCGGTAGTGGTTATATTGATTAGCTCTTTAAAATATGACTCTGTCTTGTCTTTACAAAAATATAAAATTGTCTTGTCCGTATGTATTTTTCACAAATAGCATCAGTTGTCACATTGTCGTCTGTTTTATGTTTTAATGTTTACTCTTCTAAACACAGGGTGATGTTTGCTTTTCCTGTGTAGCTAAATGACTAAAGATGTCACAGAAACATGGCTGAATGTGCAAAGGAGAGGTCTCTGAATGAGTGCGTGGTCATAATGTAGAATCAACTATAAATCCTGTATTGGATGATTTTTGTATGCCATAAAGAAATGTACATAAACTTAATGTCATTTCATTGCATCCCTGGTACTTTGTTAGAGCAATTTCTTGTGCCTGAGTGGAATTCATTTAGTAACATGTTAAAACTTCGGTAAAGGGGTATAGCAGAGTTTAAACCAGTCTGCAAGTATCTAATGAACAGAGCAGATGAATAAAATGTGTGTAAAAAAAATAAAATTGTTTTTAAAAAGTCAATTTAAATGTCACCTTCACATGCTCTTTCGAGTATGGTGACCACTACTAGAATTTGTCACAAGTAAACAATTTATTTTACAGACTTCTAGGTTTCATGTTATTGCTATTTGGTTAAATTAATGTTTATTCTCCCTAGGATGGCTCCAGAAGTGGTAATGTGTGAAACGTCAAAGGACAAGCCATATGATTTCAAAGCCGATGTTTGGTCACTTGGTGTTACGTTAATTGAAATGGCTCAGATTGAACCCCCTCATCATGAGTTAAATCCAATGAGAGTTCTGTTAAAGATTGCAAAATCAGAACCCCCGACCTTGGCACAGCCATCCCGATGGTACGTTTTTATCATATAATATTTATTGCATTTTTTCTGTAAGGAACAATGGAAACCTGGTGGTTCTTACCTAGTTAAATGTCTGTGCTAAGTGTATAAAAGTAATAGAAATAGAGAACGTTTTACCTTAGACATATTTGCCGTTTGCAGATTACTTATACTTTGCAAACACTTATATGCTAGCCGTGAAATGTGGGTTGTCCAAACAGACAGTGGTGCTAATTTATAGCTTATACACATTTTGTAGAGGGCAAGTTCATTTTAATATAAAACTTTATTATTAAGATGAACAGGATTTTGTAGCTGTAAATCAGAATCATATAATGTTGTGAAGTAATTGACTACAAGGCTAATATAGTCCTCAAACCAACTTTAGCTTAATTAAGCAGTTTGGGTGTATTACAGTTCCCCTGCTCAATTCACTGCCATTTAGGAATTAATTCACTTTGGTTCTGTTTATGCTACCCTAGCCACAACTCCCCGAGCTGTGATACACACAGCCTTCATGAAAAAAAGGTCAGATCTTACTTTAGAGGCTTTTATCTCCTGCTTTGTAAATTGAACTTTAATCACACACAGGAGGCTCCTGCAGGCTATTAACGGATATTAATAATAAATTGTAAATCAAACAGAATGTGCAATAAAGGAAGTTTTAACATTAGATCTCTATTTATACGAAATATGTAGGAAGGCTGTGTAGGACATACAAGTGAGGCAGTGGGTAGACCTACATAAGCAATGATTTAACTCCTAAACAGCATATAATTGACCTGGAAGACTGCAGGGGCATTATCTGTGAACCACAGCTGCTTCATTAAGTTGTTGTGGTGCCTTTAGTATCCCTTTAACCCCTTAACACCATTAGAGCATACTGTGCCACCCCCCCCATTATGGTGACATAGTACACAATTTACTTAGCTGGACCGGCGATCCTGGTGCCTCAGGAGACAGGCAGTACCCCTGCTTCCTTTCCGCAAATCACATGGCCGCAAAGCAGTCTGAGACTGCCCTCGGTGTCTGAAAAAAAAAAAAAGTTAAACACACACATTTAAACAATATATTATACATGATAGATATATATATATATATATATATATATATATATATATATCTCTATATCTATCTCTATATCTATATCTATGTGTGTGTGTGTGTGTGTATATATGTATATGTATATATATATATTTAATTAAAACACCTGATTAGCATATTATACAGATATAATGTAATTCTAAGTGTATTTTGGTATTAATATATACGTATATTAATACCAAAATACAGTAAGAATTAAATATGTTTTATATATGTATAATATGCTAATCAGGTGTTTTAATTAAATATATATATATATATACATATACATATATACACACACACATATACATATATACACACACACACATATATATATATATATATATATATATATATATATATAATATATATATATATAATCTATGTGTGTGTATATGTATATGTATATATATATTTAATTAAAACACCTGATTAGCATATTATACATATATCAAACATATTTAATTCTTACTGTATTTTGGTATTAATATACGTATATATTAATACCAAAATACACTTAGAATTACATTATATCTGTATAATATGCTAATCAGATGTTTTAATTAACTTCTAATAAATTAGACATATATTACAAAATATACATTAAAAAAAAAAAATTAATGTCAGAAGCGTATTCTGATAGAAACATAGAATGTGACGGCAGATAACAACCATTCGGCCCATCTAGTCTGCCCAATTTTCTAAATATTTTCATTAGTCCCTGGCCTTATCTTATTGCTAGGATAGCATTATGCCTATCCCACACATGCTTAAACTCCTTCACTGTGTTAACTTCTACCACTTTAGTTGGAAGGCTATTCCATGCTCTACCACTTTAGCTGGAAGGCTATTCCATGCATACACTACCCTCTCAGTAAAGTAGTATTTCCTGATATTATTATTATTTTTTTTTTTTCAATTCTTTATTTTTGCAATGACAGAGGTAGTGGCATTCCCACTGTATATAAGCTTGAGCAAAAGCCAGTTCAAGGTTCAGATGGTATTGGTTGTTACAGAACATAAAATTCAAAGCATATCATACTTTCTCGTGTGGTATGGTTACTATTTTGTCAAAGTATATTGATATTAAAGGGAAGAGAAAAAACTTAAGCAACAATAGATACCAAAGGCTTTTGTAAGGATAACATGGTTGCCTGATATTATTTTTAAATCTTTGCCCCTCTAATTTAAAGGATCACTATAGGGTCAGGAACACAAACGTATTCCTGACCCTATAGTGTTAACACCACCATCTAGCCCCCCTGGGCCCCTCATGCCTCCATAAATATAGTAAAAATCTTACTGTATTCAAGCCTGAAGCTGTAAATCTTCATGCTGTTAGACTCAGAAAAACAAGCAGTCTGCTGACCTGTGGTAACCTGATCCAATCACAGTGCTTCCCCATAGGATTGGCTGAGAATGACAAGGAGGCAGATCAGGGGCAGAGCCAGCATGATTCAAACACAGCCCTGGCCAATCCGCATCTCCTCATAGAGATGAATTTTATATAAAATGTATATTTATCTACTATATTTAGATAATTTTATAAATTACAATTCAAAGGACTTGCCTGACAACCCAGGCAGAAAGTCAATTGAATTTCATTTACAAGCCCTATATTTAACCCTGTAACTTTCCATAAAACCTGTACATTTGGGGTACTGTTGTACTCGTGAGACTTTGCTGAACACAAATATGACTGTTTTAAAACACTACAACTTAATGATATCAGTGACAGTGCAGTTTTTGTGTGAAAAATTAAAACGAACTTTGGCTAGCTTTTGTGACTAAGTGGCTACTACAAAAGACTGGACTTACCCAAGTCTGAATATCTTGGGTTCTATACTTTTGTGAATTATATGCCATGATTGGGGTAATTCTCATTCATTGGCTGCTACATGGTCTCAAAGGCAACATAGGCCACCTAACCAATCTGGCAAACTGAAATGGGAAAGCCCTGTATTTGTCCCTGTAACCTTCCAAAACCCCATAAAACCTGTACATGGGGGATACAGATGTACTCATGAGACATCGCTGAGCACAAATGATTTTTTTTAGAGCAGTAAAACTTAAAATGACAATGTTTTCATCAGTGAAAGGGCATTTTTGTTTGTGAAAAATGCAAAAAAAAATATATATGAACGCTAATTTTGGCCAGGGTTTGCGACTAAGTGGCTACTAAAAAAGACTGGACATATCCCGTTTTGACTACCCTGAATTATATACTTTTGCAAATGGTATGCCATGATGGGGGTAAATCTCATTCCTGGGCTGCCATACAGTCTCAAAGGCACCATAACCAATCTGGCAAATTTGAATGTGTAGAAAATTAAATGGGCAAGCTCTATATTTGACCCTGTAACTTTCCAAAATTCCATAAAACCTGTGCATGCAGAGTATCGTTTTACTCTTGAGACATTACTGAACACAAATAGGAGTGTTTTTTAGCAGTAAAATGACCATGATGTAATCATTGAAAGTGCAGTCTTTGTGTGAAAAATGCAAAAAAACTAATATAAAAGCTAACTTTGGCCAGGGTTTTTGACCAAGTGGCTACTGCAAAAGACTGGGCATACCCTATTTTGAATACCCTGGGTTGTCTACTTTTACAAATGGTATGCAATGCTGGGGTTAATTTTCTTTCCTGAACTGCCATAAAGTACCAAAAGCAACAGTCCAGCAAACCAACCTGACAAATTTCAATGTGTAAAAAAGGGAGAAAGCACTATATTAGACCATGTAACTCTCTAAAACCCCATACAACCTGTACATAGTAGGTATTTGTGAGACATCACTGAATACAAATATGTGTAATTTATTGCAGTAAAAACTAACAGTATTATGAGATCAACAGTTAAAATGCCACACAGAACTTTAAAAATAACTTAATTACTTAATTTCTCAACATTTTTTAAAATTGCATTCATATTCATTTGTTTCATATATAAATACTTGATATAAAATAAAAGCCCCGTTTCCCCTGAACAAAAAGATCCCTATCCCCTTTCCCCTCTCCCTCTTAATAAAATTGTGAACTACCACCTGATAAGGGTGTCCTTTTAATAAAATTGTGAACCACCACCTGATAAGGGTGTTCTCTTTAATAAAATTGTGAACCACCACCTGATAAGGGTGTCCTTTTAATAAAATTGTGAACCACCACAATTACCAAAAAAATCACTGCATTATGTGATGTGTAATACGATTGTATAGTATCATAAATGCACTCAAATAATGTTCTGAAAGGGCTATGAAGCTGGAAAAATGAGCTGTAGTCTCGGTATAGATGTTTCTTCTGATAATAATCTGTTTTGCCTGCTTATGCAGTGTGTATGTGAATAGGATTAATGTTATTCCCTCCACAATAGCATATCTATAAATGTGCAGAAAAACACACCTATTCGGGGCTCTAGAAAACTGACCTAATATGGAACACTAAAATACACCACTGTAATGTGTAGCTGCACTCATATTATCCCACAGTTGATTTTAGACAGATGTTACCGTTCACATCTGAACAAATGGAAATTAATTCACCATGATAACCTAGAATTTGACAGCGTATAACTTTGTCTTGGTAACAAAGCACTATATATATCATACATGCAGCTGAATTGTGTTTTCTGTTTAACTGTGAGATATCTTGAAAAATAACCCAAACCTACAACCTGCCTGCTTCTGTTACCTGGCCATGTAAACTTGAACATAATATCCCCTCTTCTCTGGATCATACTTGGAGAATATCATGAGAAAATCTTAAAGTACCCTTTCTCATAAAATGTTTTTATTTCAGGTCGAGAGACTTCAACGATTTCTTGAGAAAGTGTTTGGAAAAGAATGTTGATAACCGATGGAGTACTGCACAGTTGCTACAGGTATTCTGTTTAAATGAAAGACGTTTTATGTTTTACTTTTTAAATTGCAGAAACTACTTCAGATTAAAATAGTGATTATATATAGAAGCCGCCAACAAAAAGGTAAATGCAACCTTAAAAACCCTAATCCCCCAACCTGACATTTAAAAGATAAAGGGACATATTCACTAAATAGCAAACTGTGCTGAACAGTTGCCCAAGACTGTAAATTGACAGTGAAAGCAATTCTCCAACTTGGCTACTATGGATCAATGTATGTGTTCTAATTCTTTGAACTATGATAAAATAATTTTTATTGAAAAGTAAAAATAGAAGAATTGGGAAGATTCCACAAAATAGAAGATATGTGAGACACCGGACACCTTTTGTAGGGAAACATGTTTATATGTAGATTCTGATTACTCTCCAGCCCAGTAAGATTGTCTAAATGTTGCAGTGTTTCAAGAATTGTTGTGTAGGTTATCATTGTCTGTTGTGTTGTCTTAGGATGTGAAGGCCTTTTACATATTTTCTAAAGCAAAAACTTTTTTATGTTTATTTTAAGCATCCATTTGTATCTTCTGTGAATTCCAACAAGCCAGTCAGGGAACTCATCGCTGAGGCCAAGGCTGAAGTGTTGGAGGAAGTGGAAGAATCTAAAGAGGAGGAGGAAGAGGAGTCAGAGGATACTTCTTTGGTAAGTGTTTATTGATTTATGTTTTTAAATCTCTTGAGTGCTGGAAAGAGCATAGTTACATATATACAGACATTCGTGTATCACTGCTCTCATCGTATGCTTTTAGTTAAGAAGAAAAACCCTATGCAGGAAATGCAACACTTTTTAAAAATTTTAAATCTATAGATGTAAAATAAGGACTCAATCTAATTAGTTTGAATCAGAATAAAAATTGATTCATTTAATTGGGAGGGTGAGGGGGGGAACCTTTTTAAATGATTTATATACAGAAAATTGCCGCAGACTTAATGGTGACGTCTGTAGATAAATGATTTGAGGGTCTTTTATAACAGAATTGAATCTTTTCTGGGTCTGTTTCAAACAAATTAAATAGAGGCCACTAAGTGCAAAACCATATAAAATTTAAAATTGCACTGATTGAATGGACACTCTGTTATGTAATCATTCCAGTTTAGTGTCGTGGCTATGCAGCTAAGATTTGTATGTTGAGAGCAGTTTGGCCAAATCTAGGTCTCTCCATGATAGCAATAGCCTATGCCCCTCTTCCAGTCGACTGATAATACAGGATTTATGCTTCCTCATTGTCCATATCTGGCTCATCCAGCATGAGTGGCAGTGATCGGCTGAGAATACCATCCTAATCCATTGCTCCACCTATCACTGCAGTCCAGGTTAGATGCACTATACACTGAACTGTAGTGGTTATAATGCTTAAAGTATCCATTCTAACAACATTTTTTAGGGAGGGTCAGCCAGGGGGTAATTGTTTAAAAAGTTAACTTAAATTTTCCTTATGTAAGTTTTAAACTAGTGCGTACTTAGTGTTGCATCTGGCTACATGACATTGTCATGTAATCATCTGTGCAGTGTACAGTTTCTATGATTATTTACCAGTATATACTTTGCCCTGTTTAATTATTTCTGTTTGTAAGAACAGCTCATTTCTTTGGTAACTTTAAAACACAAGCCAGCTTTGTACATCCTGAGTTAATGTCTATATTTTTCCTTTAGCCTGTACCTGACAACAAGAGAGCTTCTTCTGACCTGAGCATTGCTAGTTTGGATGACGACAAACTCTCCCAAAATGCTTCATCTTTAGAAACGGTTACTGAAAATGTTGTTCCTGCTGAGATTAAAAATAAAGTTTCTGAACAAGGTGTTTTGGAACCATTGGCAACGAAAGTATGTGAAACTACTGCTAATATTTCTGAAAAGCCGGACAATGAAAATGTTTCTCCAAAAGAGAGCCATATACCCACTGAAGAAGTCTCTCCATCTAATGAGGTTTCTGTTAAAACAAGTGAAGTTGAAGTCAAGTCTCCGTCTTTTGATGAAAATAAAGAAACCATTGATGAAACCACTCCCAAAGAAATTCAATTGGTTCCCGAACAAGATATTGATGATAAATCTCTAGCAAATGAAGATATAACTGCAGTTGGTGAAGTAAATGCTAATACAATTGTGGTAGCAGAAAAATTAGTAGAAACCGAAGAAATACAGAAAGAAGTAAAGCCAGAAATTCCAAAGAGTGAAGATGCAGCATGTACTGTAGTTGTTTCTGAAGTAATAAATGACCTACCAAATAAAGACTTTTCAGATGAAAAGAAGGAAGAGTCAGAAATTCCCAGTGAAGGAGTGGCAGTCATCGAAACGTCTGAGTCAGTAGGCAAAGGTGAAAATGAGAGTGAAGCACAATCTCAGGTTCCTAAAGAAAGTGTTGAAAATCTTGAAGATCCACTTCACGTATGTCTTGACATGCCTCATGTATCAGATGATGTGGTCAAAAACGAGGAGACTCTTGAAGAGCCAGAAGAAATACACATTATAGAAACCACTCCAGTGGGTGAAGACACTTCGAAATCTGAATCTACCAGTGAAATAAGCGATGTCCCTGAACCTGGTAAAGTGGATCCGGTCCCACAGCCAGAACAGACTAAAGAAAATGTCTCAGAAAGTAATGTCCTTGTTTCTGATGATTCTGCCAAAGATATGAGCGAAAATACAGTTGTATCTTCTTTGCCTGATAAAGAAGACATGCAAAGTACACCCCAGGAAAATGTTAATTCAAATGTTGCTTCAGACGCAGCTGCTACAACAAAGCCTGAACCCCTGCCTTCTGTGCCTAGTATCAGTATTGTTTCGGAGGAAAGCAAAGAGAACGATCACGTAATCTCAGCAGAGAAACCAGAACAGTCTCAGTCTGTAGAACCGATAGAAAATCCAAAGGAAAATGATTCAGATTCTGGTACGGGCTCCACAATTGACAGTGGAAGCATGGATCTAAATTTGTCCATATCAAGTTTTCTTACCAAAGGCAAAGAATCTGGCTCAATATCTATACAGGTAATACACTATTAATATTCTCCTCTGTCTGAAACAATGTATAATGTACTCTTAATATATTGACTGTTATATTAAGTCAATTGGCCCATTATTGGGCAACTGGAAAAACTAAAACTCATGGTAGGCCTCGGGATAATTGCGATGTGTACATCTATAATGCATGGAAATTATGGAAAGTTGAATTAAATTAGTATAAAAAGCAAGCAATAATGCTGGTGAATCCAAGGAGGAAATATAGAAAGAAAAAATGAATGCTAAATAATAGGGACATTAAGTAGGGAGTAAGTGTGGTTATCTCATAGGAAATGGCTATTGGAATCTTATAGTATGTCAGGTGAACAAGATAATTACTGTTTATAACTAAAGCAAAGTTATAATTTTTTAATGTAGACTTCTAAATAAATAAATATATAATACGTGCACACACATAATTGAAGTGTTTTTTGTTATTTGGAAAAAGAATGCAATTTGGTGACATGTATATCTTAAAGGGACACTATAGTCACCAGAACTACTACAGCTTAATGTAATGGTTCTGGTGTCTATGGCATGACAATGCAGCCTTAGTATTGTACCAAATTTGTAATTAGTACAAAATTGATGATCTCAGCCATGGAGGCGGGGCTAGCCGCAACAAGACCGGTGTGGGAGACAAGGTAAGTAAAATCACCTTTAAACTCTGGAAAAGGGGAAGGGGGGGAGGGGGGGGAACAGGGACCTAATGCTGCATTCCAATACAGGTTTGTATTCCTGACCACTGTAATGCTCCTTTAAGATTAATAGCATATTTCCAATGACCTGGATCGCCAATAATGCAAAGTAAAGCTTTCAGTATGCCCTCATCACTAAAAAGAATGAATTAATTAGAAGAAAGATTTATGGCATGCTACATTTAGTTGTTTAGAACTCTTTACATATGCTTTCATTTTGTCTTCATGTATATTCATATTAATGAATATTAAAATGTCTTCCTGTATAAAGAAATAGCTTGCCTTTCTTACCAATTCCTCCTTTCTGAAATCCATTTTTATGCATTTTTGGTTGTATTGTCAGTTGTGACGTAGTGCTTACTTTTTTGCAACTGTCCTTTGCTTTTAAAAAAATGACTGACAGAAAGAAAGAGAGCTGCTAATGCAGGCTGAAAGCGAATGTTTTTTTGAAAAAACGCACGTTGGGTCAGATAACTAGCAATACTACCAAAGGTTCATAAAAATCGCAGAAACGGAATGCTTGGAAAGGTAGGCAAGGGATTTCAGAAAAATGTCAGTACACATGGATTGGAAAAAAGAAAATAATGTTATAATATAAAGATTATATTAAGATATTTGTAAAACTTTGTATTCCATTAAGCTCCGCCCATTGTCAAAGATCAAGTTCCCCATTAAGAAAAGTACTCGCTACATTCTTTTATGTGAACTAAAAAAGGTGATTTTTCATGTAATCCACAGCAACGTAACTCCCAAAGGTTAGCCTTCAATGCTGTAAGGTTTTTATGTCTGTCTATTGTATATCACATGTAAAGAGGTTTTTGATGGATGCAATTTTATATTTTAGGACAGTAGGAGACAGAAAAAAACATTGAAGAAAACTCGCAAGTTTATGGTTGATGGGGTTGAAGTGAGTGTCACCACTTCTAAAATAGTTACTGATAACGACTCTAAGAGTGAAGAAATGAGATTCCTCCGGTATGTATCCACATATTCTTTGTGCCACTGTTTGTTTTATTTATATATTGTAGAAAATGGCCGGGTAATTGACTGTGTGCATCTCTGTGTTTGCATTTAACCACATTATGACAAAGACTTTAGGCAAATTCTATATTATATCGTGGAAGATCAGCCTGTTATAAATGGGTTACTTTTCTGCAATACAAACACAAATTGAGGTTACACAGGACAGTGTAGTGTGCATACAGCATTCATTGTGTATTAAAAAAAAATCATAATGCAAATAAAGGTTTTCCGCAAAATGGAGAGATTTAAAAGCTATATCTTAAAGTATAGGCAGTTTTTAAATGGCAATTCAGTACAAAGAACATTCCTGACGACAACCACTGTAGGCAAAGCTATTAAGCGAAGCACAGTAGGTTATCTATTTTGATTTGGAATTTCTAAGAATATACACAAATTAAAGTTGTAGCCAGTAATGACTCATATACTTATTTTCATGAAGGCGGCAAGAACTGCGGGAACTGCGACTTTTACAGAAAGAAGAACAAAGAGCACAGCAGATTCTTAGCAACAAACTATTACAACAGAGAGAACAGATCTTCCGACGTTTTGAACAGGAAATGACGGTAATTTCCCTTTTTCTTAGTCCTTACACACGATAAAATAAACACATCATTTTATTCATTGATAAAACACGGGTGAAATAATTAAATAGAATAAAAATAAAGATATATGTAGAATATAGATTTATTTTTTCTTTCAAAACAAAACTTGTATAAAACAAATTGCCCTTTTCCCAACAGCTATACTACTTTTATTTTCACTCGTCATCTATTTTATGTAGTGAATAACTTCTGGTATTCCCATAATAATCCTTCCAAGCAGTACTGTATTTTCAATATGAATTAAATCATGACAATCCCTAATTTATTATCCTGTTAGCTGGAAGTGAAGAATGTTGCCAATCTCTTTAATTGGGAAGAGAACTTGTTATATCCAAATTTAAAAATGTCCCTTCCTACCCAGATTAAATCCTTAAATTATGCTGCAAATTCAAAATAAACTAACTGGATTGCTGCATAGTTTAAATTTAGTAATTAATATCGGCTGTTGCTAATCTACAGATTAACTGAAATTAATCAAGTCTGTTATTGTCTATATAAAATATTTGAGAAAAATCTGCAGAGTACCCCAAATTAATGCAAATGATCAAATACTGTGCTAACCTACCTCATGTGTAATTAAAATCTGTTCTGGCCTACCTCAAATTATATAATTATAATTTGTTCTGGCATGCTTCAAATATATAATTAAAATCTGCTGTGACACAACCCAAATCATATAATTAAAATGTGCTGCAGCTGGATACTCATGTTTGTCTCTTCCTATTTATTTGTATGATTAATGTTTGCAAATGTATTCTTTGATTTGTAACAAGGCACTACAAAACATGCATTCCAAGAAGAAGAATTCATTTCAGGAAAAAGTCTCTGATCACGAGTCTCCTAGATTCCACATTTGCGGGGGAAAAAATGCTGGGAAGTGCATTGCAAGCACTTGGGGGGGAAAGAAACAGGCAAATTAAGATTTGTAATTAAAATCCTGCTTTGTCTTCTAAAGATGTGCAGAACTAGAAAGCTATAGGTATATTAAACTTTTAAATGTTGACTTCTCTGTCTTAATTGTCTAAGAATCACTTTATAATGTAAAGGGGAAAGGACAGCTGTGTCCGATGCAAGCGAAGAATGTCATTTCTGTAGTTTTATATTAGAAACGAAGAATGTCAAAACCAGAAAATGGGAGTAACAGTTTTTTTTTACTTTCTATTTTGGGGTTTATTCACTAAACACTACATTGTAGTGAATGTAAAATTGAATTGCAAGATTTAGGCTAAAACAGCTAAACTGTGTATATAGTCTGTCTGGAGAATCATTTTCAGTTCATGTTTTCCTAAATTTTGCAATTTTGGAACATAGTGAACTGGCATGGTTGTTGTTGGACATTCAAAGTGAATTTCAATTTTAAGTCCTTTTTAGTTTTATTAGGATAGTACCACAAAAATACACTCCATTTAGTGTTTGAATTTTGGTTTAGCGTATATTCTGTTTCATTCTTCCTTTTCTTTTATGAGGAAAAAATAACAGGATTATTAGAATTATTAAAAGTAAAAAAAATCTCCCAGACAGGGGCTAGGACCTGGCCTCCTGCTATACAAATGGCTTTGAGATTACCAACTAAAAATCATTAGTTTTCACTTTTCTGATTTATTTTTTTATTTTATTTTTTTTTTCTGTTTTGAGATGTGTACATCCCAGTTTCTAAACTAGATAGGACACCGCTGCGCTCAGGCTTCTGGTCCACAAGACATGCTCTTCAAAATGATTGAATGTTATTCCACAAGGACCTGCGTGTCCAAATGCAAAATTAAAATAGATATATAGATAGATAGATAGAGAGAGATATATATATATATATATATATATATATATATATATATATATGTATGTATGTATATGTATATCTATTATATATAACGTCATACAAAGTGTATTTTAATATTAATATAAGTACATATATTAGTATTAAAATACACTTAGAATGACGTTACATATATATGTATATATATATGTATAATTACAATAATAAATAAAATAAATAAAATATTGAAACAAATTTAATATAAATTATATATTCATATGTAATTTCATTCTAACTGTATTTTGTTATTAATATATATATAGGTAACAAAACACACTTAGAATGACATTCTATCTATATATAAAATACAAATAACCGCAAATATATATAGTTACATAAAAGAGTACATTAGTATACACGTAGAATTTAAATACCTATAAATGCATATATATATATATATATATATATATATATATATATATATATATATTACAATTCTATGTGTAATCTTTTAACATAATTATGTGATTAATTAAACTTTGATTGTCATGCCTGACAACACAGGGAGAAAGTGCAGAGAATTTAATTTGCAAGCACTATATTTGACCCTGTAACTCTCCAAGACACCATAAAACATGTACATAGGGGGTACTGTTTTACTCGGGAGTCATCGCTGAACTCAAATATTAGTGTTTCAAACTGGTAAATTGTATTACAACGATGATATTTTAAGTAAAAGTGAAGTTTTTTTGCATTTACAAATGAACGGCACTTTTATGGACTATATTATTGTTGTAATATGTTTTACTTTTTTAAAACACTAATATTTGTGTTTAGTGAAGTCTCCCGAGAATAACAGTACCCCCCATGTACAGGTTTTATGGTGTTTTGGAAAGTTAGAGTCACATATTAGGCTTGCGTTTCATTTTTTTGACACTGAAATTTGCCAGATTGGTTATGTTGCCTTTGAGAGCGTATGGAAGCCCAGGAATGAGAATTACCCCCATGATGGCATACCATTTGCAAAAGTAGATAACCCAAGGTATTGCAAGGGGGGTATGTCCAGTCTTTCTTAGTAGCCACTTAGTCACAAACACTGGCCAAATATTAGATTTTTGCTTTTTTTCCACACAAAAACAAATATGAACGCTAACTTTGGCCAGTGTTTGTGACTAAGTGGCTACTAAAAAAGACTGAACATACCCCACTTTCAATACCTTGGGTTGTCTACTTTTTCAAATGGTATGCCATCATGGGGGTAATTCTCATTCCTGGGCTTACCACACCATCTCAAAGGTAACATTACTAATCTGGCACATTTCAATTTGAAAATGGAACGTTCTATATTTGACCCTGTAACTTTCCAAAACTCCATAAACCCTGTTAATGGGGGGTACGGTTTTACTCGTGAGACATCGCTGATTACAAATATGTGCATTGTTTTGCAGTAAAACCTAACAGTATTATAACATTCACAGCTAAAATGTCAGACGGAAATACAAATTTAAAAACAAATCTTATTTTCTCACATTTTTTTTAAATTTTATTCATAAATTATGTTCCATATATGAATAGTTAATGATAAATTAAAGCCCTGTTTCTCCTGAACAAAATGATATATAATAAGTGTGGATGCACTTAATATGAAAGAGGTGAGTCATGGTTGGACAGACCTATAGCGCAAATTCCAGTTTTTGTTTACGTTTTGTTTTGATCAGAACGTGCACTGTTGACTCCGTCCTGAAGGGGTTAACCACTTAAATAATCTTCATTGAATCTGAAAGATAATTATGTATGGTAACACTGCAAACAGACGGACAGATTTTCACCTTTACAGGTAGATTTGCAGGTTTTTAAAACTTTTTATATATGTATCTTTTTTTTTTTTTTTCATCAATCTTTCTTGTATGGGTGATACAGAATAAAGAAAGGGAGATGAACACGTTGTCCACACGATAGGGATTTCACGTTGTGAGTTTACATCTCCTAGATATGACTGCCTCATTTTATATTAATTCAGTAGAATGTAGACTGCTAAACTGTTGATTAAGAAAAAAAATAAGAATTTAAAGAATATAAACATGCTAAACTGTTGATTAAGTAGAATTTAGAAGCCAGACATGCTGAACTTTTGTGTCACGATTATGAGTAGACATATACTAAAAAAAAATAAAACATTAGAATAAGATTTATACTGATATGACAAACTGGTAACAAAGTCGCTATAATAGAGGTCTGTTATATATCCAAACCCCAAAAGAGAGGAAACACTTACTGATTTTATGCTTGTTTTGTTTCAGAGTAAGAAACGTCAGTATGATCAAGACATTGAAAATCTTGAAAAGCAACAGAAACAAACCATTGAACGTTTGGAACAGGAGCACACAACTCGTTTGAGAGATGAAGCTAAGCGTATTAAAGCAGAGCAGGATAAGGAGCTTTCTAAATTCCAGAATGTGTTAAAAAATCGGAAGAAAGAGGTAAGATCTTACTTTAGCTTATGTAGGGAAATACTGACTGCCTTTGTAATCTTGCTTTGATATGTCTGAGGTTTGTTCTTTACACTGTTAAATAGTTCTTGCACTTCCCCTTAGCTTTTCTGCGCAAGCAGTCCTTTATTTTTTTATTTTTTTTTATTTTGCACTTTAGTTATCACTGATACCCTTCTAGTGAGCTTTGCATGTATTATGTTGCTCTCTCAGAGCAATCTTTACATGCGGTGTGACCTCTTTTCAAATTAATATTTCGTTCTTTCACTCAAATATGTTTTGAGAAGAAAAAAACAACAAATCCGTTAACATTCATTTAAACAATAAAATAGAACTGTGGATGTTCACAGCAGTAGTCCAATGCTATTAAATATCTAGGGGTCATATTTCTTTTAGGTTTTGCTGTAAAAACTGCAGGATAAAGATAAGATGTGTGTTGGCACCCAGCAGCAAGTGGCCCACTCTAGCTCTTTTTTGGAATATAACTTTGGTCATTGTCCACCATGCATGGCAGGATAACACAGAATGCTGAACACAAACCCCTTATATGTGGTTTCAGGAAACTGGTACATACATTTGTTTACAGTGTTATAATAACTTTGACTGTGAAGTTTTATGTATATGAAATGGTATTTAAAAAAATAAAAATGTTGTGCAAGTCAAATGAAACTGAAATGCAAGATCATATTTCCCATCTCCTCTACCGTATTTGGTGGCTGTTCTTATTTCTCCTTTAACCCCTTAAGGACACATGACATGACGTGTGACATGTCATGATTCCCTTTTATTCCAGAAGTTTGGTCCTTAAGGGTTTAAGGAGGAGATATCTCATCCCAGGAGTTGTAATGTTATGTTTACATGCCCTCTGTGTCCATGACCACTTCTGCTTTTTGAAGTGGTCATGAAGAAAGGCATCTGGTTATTTGCACATGTCAGCCCATAACTTTCACTACCTAACTTATTATTTTTTTTATAATGTTTCAAAGCGATGGACCTAAAGAATAATGGCCGTTAGTATGACATTATTTGTTAACAAAAAATGGTTCTGAGGGCTGGAGTAACACTTGTGCACATGTTTCCGAGGTCTGAAAATAAAATTAAATGCAAAATTAACACTGCTTTATTTACCTCTGAAAACTAATCCTCAATTTTAGCTCTTTGTCAATCACTGTTCTAAACCTGCTTTTTGTGGTAATTGAGCATGCAAGGGAAGAAGGAGAAACAAAAAGTGCTTGCACTATTTCATGTCTGAGCTGGATAAAAGAAAACAGTTTCACATGAAAAGGGTTTACAAAATAGGTGATGTTTCAGTGCTTCATTCAAAAGTCTAATATCCAGAAAAATTACTGTTCCCAATTTAATTGTGCAACCACTGGTGAGAGGGACATTTTTCCAACCCATCCTGTCAATGTTATGTCTTGTACATCTTTCAACTAAAGTTACAGCACTGTTTATTTCCTCTGTGTGTTTGTCCACTCTGCAGTGTGTGAAATTAACTGTTTGTTAATAGTTTTAACAGTACTTTATTTCCAGGTTGTATCACAAAACTGTCTTTATTTCCAGGTTGTATTACAAAACTATAGTCAGAATGATTTATTTTTTGGAGTAAACTTTAATTTGTGTACTAATTTTATTTAATTTTTTCCTCCTCTCTTTTACTGCACATTTTTGGGTTTTTGAGTCTATATTTTTTTCTCTAACTTGGTGGTTGGGCCTCCTGCATTTTGGTGATTATTTTCATAGGATTGTCCTTTGCACAACTGGCAAAACGGATGCAGGTGTTTGCTTCCTCTTTTGTAATGTAACATAGAAATTTACATCTGAGTACACCAGTTTAACATAATATATGTATTCCTTACATTTGATCTGTCCTAAATAATTTGATCAGCAGCACATTGTATGTGCTTATTTTCTTTTTATTTATTTTTAATTAGTAAACATTATTTTATTTAAAATGTATTTCCCTTTACCAACCTGGACATATACAGTTCCAACACGTTAAAAAAAAAAATCACCCAACATTTTTTTTTTAAATAGCGTTTGTATTTGAACTAAAAAGTACTTCAATTAAACACAAACTGAGAGAAATTAAGATTTCATTAACAATAGTGAGTACTTAGCTCGCATAGGCACTACTTAAATTACACAGGACTTTGCTTTTTATTTATTTTGTCTCACAACATCCAATATAAATGGAACACACTAAATTCTTTAAAGCACTTGAGCTAGCACTGTCAGACAATCAGTGCTTTACACATTTGTAAATTAATTTAACATTGCTAACATGGAAGTGGAGCTAGAAAATAGACCAGCAAGGGGCTGGGTCACGGTCGCCTGGAAGATCCTCAGTTTGTGCCAAATTTAAATGGTTAACGAAAAATTGGGGTACAGGCACGCAGTTTCCTAACACAATAACTACTAAAATAAGGTTATGGTGCTCTAAAGTGCCCTTTTAAACATAAAACAAATGTTGCTCTATAAATTTGATACTTTTTTTCTCACTTATTAAACCAGCAAAACCTAAAAAATGTTTAATTTTTTTTTTTTTTTTTTTAAAGAAATACATTTCTAGTTTTTAAACTGGTGCAAACAGGTGAATTATTGATCTAGACTCATATTCCTTTCTTACAGGATGTGGTGGGGCATTTAGAAAATTCTATTTTTTTTTATTATATATTTTTGGTTCTCAAATAACTGCTTTGCTTAACTGCACCTTATACATTACAGTCCTGCACATGTTTTCCTTTGTGTGTCGTTCTTACAGGGGCCCGTACATATCTGTAATTAAACATACTGCTGCCTGGCCTGCCTTTTACTTCTGCAAGATTCCCTGTTCCCGAGTCATTAATAAGAATTCCACACATGACATTTCCTGGCTGAACACTAAATGCCAATCAGAATTTGGCTAGGATTCAGTTCATGGTCAGGGAGCAGAACATGCATATGTAAGAAGAAATTAATGCCCAAACTGGGTTTGCTGTAAAGTTCCGAACATGCATGTTGTAGAACACATTTACACATATGGAGGGTCTACATTTTAATGGCACCACATAAGAAAACTGTTCATAAAACAAAAACAGTATTTTAAAGGTTTATTAATTTGATTTTTAAAGTATAAAATCTTGTCCCAATGTTACTCTGTACTGCCCTGGAAAATTAATGGGTTTAAGTGACAATAATTTATAATTCTAGATTTTCATAAGCCCTTGGACTGCCACTTATGTGGCAGCATTTTAAGGTAGACTGTTACCTGGCCTTTATCTAGGACTATCAGCAGAGATATTGGCTAACGGTATACCCGTATATTCATTAATAAACATCCGCTAAAAAGCATGAACTCTCTCTCTCTTTCACTTTCTAACTAATCCACAGAGGTGCAAACTGCAAGCATCTGTCAAATGGTGATGTGGCTTCTAGCTAACATGCTTGCTACAATTGCTTGCTCTACAGAAAAAGGGTTATTATCCCCACTCTCTGCATGCTTACATTAGGTAATAATTGAAGTGGAGAAAGCCTCAAAAGAGCAGAGAAAGGATCTTATGAAACGCAAGAAAGAGGAGCTTGCACAAATCCAGCATGCTCAGGTAACTGCAGTCCCTTTGTTTTTCTAAACCCAGTGAAGAGGCTTATTGCTTTCCTTGAGTGAGCTATCAAAGCTACCAATCTGCCATTTGATGTCCAACTAACCCCACATTGATTTCTGAATTTAACTGCTGTGATCATATTGAGTTTGAAGATCACATTAACATTTCATATTTTAATAATGATTGATTTTGTTTGGATTTGACAAATTCTGATTGACTAATAAGGCGTAGTTGTATAAAATCTTTGTGTTGTTTGGTACCTTCATGATTAAGGTTTAAAGCAAACCATGTCTAAATCCATTGGTATCTTTTTCCCTGATGTAGCAAGCATATGGTAAGTACCTTGCAGTCAGAGAACAAAAATATGTTTTGTAAATTTTGTTTAATTGACTGTTTGATCTACTAGTAAAACAAATCAGTATAGGTCTTTAATGTCAGATTGTGATGACAGAGTGGAATGTCCCTCTGCTTGGTTAGGAGCACTTTAAGCACTTCAGCTTGCAACATTGAATGTCCTAGGGTGCAGGGCAAACCTTCCCCCAGCCAAGGAGAGCTCAGTCCATCAACATCAGGAAGGCTTTGTTATTATTAAACAAGGGCAGGTGTACAGGAGCTATCTGCAAATAACCAGGTTTGCTGTAGTTGGGAGGCTGCTTAGTGGAGGCACTCCTGCCAAAACGGACTCTGTCTTTTAAAACCTGGCGCCACTGTAAAGAGTATGAAAATATATACATTGCACTGATCAGATTCCTAGCAAAGTTTAGATTTCATTTTATTATTGATGGTGCAATTTTGTTCCTGTGTACATTAGTCTTTGAGGTATATACAATAACTGTTTATAAAATATGAATGTTGGCAGCATTCTGTGAGCCACTAGCCAAGTCTGTTTTATTGCATCCTATGACTTGCCAGCAGATAACTGTTGGAGTTGATTGCTAAGGAGGCTCATTATAATAATGTCTCTGTTCTGCCTCTTATTGGGGCTGTACTGTATTCTGATTCATAGGGTGTGGCCCAGGTCATGATTCAATCTTTTCAGTTGTCTTCGTGTACGCTATTCAACGCTCAAATGCAAGATGTAAGTGGTGTGCTGCAAGGTGTGTAGTGTGCAGTGTGAAGTCCTTGTGTTCCTGTCTGCACATTAGAAATGATTTACAATGTGTGGCCTCTTGGAAAACTTTTCAAAAGCCCTTTTATCTAAGCATGTGTGTATGTGCCTCTCCTGTTATTCCTGTGGAGTCTATTCATTGGAAGTGACAATCCATATTACCGGTTTCAATATTGTTACCCTGCAGGGTTCATCGATATGTGGGTAGCACGCGCTAAGTTTGCATAATTACCTGCTGGTGTTGTCATGGTCTGTGCTTAAATAACTTAATACAGGCAAAATGTGCAAGATGGAACCACTTGACTTGAAATAAAATATGCTGTTATTTTAACTATATCACTCTCGGAAGGGAATGCATTTATCTTTTGACCATCTTAGCACCTCTGTCTTTCATTCAACTGAGGACAGTTAGCAGCCATGGCAGATTTATACCACTTCCCATAGTCCTCTACAGTATGGCCATGATTTTAAAGTAAGTTTGGGTATACCCTTCATATGGGGCAACACCAGTCAGGCAATATTTGTAGCCTTTATATAAAATTTGGTATTCCCACAAATTATGCCCAACAAGAGTATTACAGTACTCACGTGGGTTAGCTGCAATCTGCTAAAAGCTCTCTAAAACAAGTTCTCATCCATGATTGACTACCCTCAACACCGCAGATGTCTGTGGACAACATATCCCATGATTCCCAGACAGTCTTTTTCTAGCTTGCACCTGTTGTCCACCAAAGCTTCAGTGCTGAGGATAGTCGTCATTGTTCTAGGCTGTGAGCGGTAATTGAAACCGCATGGGGAGAAGGAATAAGCAGTGGAGAAGGAATAAGCAGTATGTCGTAAACTTTACGTTGGTCTGAAATTTCCTCTGTATAGACTCCTGCTGTGCATTATTTCTTTCCATATGTATGTGAAAAATGCAAAAGATCGATAACTCAGCCGTTTACTTTCTTTTTAATAAGCAAAATGTACGATAATTTTTTGGTTCCTCTTTCACCAGTGGGGGGTAGGTATCAAATTATTTGTCATAGTTGCTATTATGAAAATACATAGAGCTTTACAAAGAAGCAGCATTTACAGCCTCCTTGATCCATTGAGTTTTTTCTTTTTCTTTTTTTTTTCTTTCTTTCTTTTGCATGATAAATTATTCAGTTAATTCAGCATTATTTTTGGTGGAATAGCTTCTAAATAACACCACATTTGAAATTAAAGCTTAACCTTTAAATACTAAATTAAAATAGTACTTAACAGTGGTTCTAGTGATTTAAAATAACTGTATGTGTATGTTCGGTGGTCCTGTCTGGTGAGATTCACTAAAGAGAGGGATTCTAATAGTCCGTAATATGTTCTAATCGAAAAGACACTGTGTATCGCTTTTACATGCAGTGTGTAACTTATTTACCAAAAACTTTTTAATTGTATGTCTAGCGATACAGTGTGTCAAGTTGTAAGACACTCAATGTAGATTTAATAGCTTGCACGGTGATCAAAGTGAGAAAACAAACTTGTAAAGAGAGGGACAAGTTTACTATATGATAAGATAGATCTCCAAATAAATGAGACAGCACCCATCAGCTGATAGCTTTAAGTGTAGAGACAGAGTGGGAGGAATAAACTTTTCCTGCCTTTGTGGGCACATACATTTTAGTAAAAACACAACAATGCAGAGCTTTACAGCTCTTTCCTTCGTCCCCGCACACTGTCAGCCGCCCGCACACCGCAGCTGACCATGAGCCGCCAGCTCTCCTGCCTGCCTCAGCCCCCCCGTGAGCCGGCTGCCGGCCTCCAATCTGTCAGCCGGTCCCCTTGGGGGTTAAACAGGCTCACAAATCCAAATCACCAGAACAAATTTTCTGGTCGCTGTGGCGACCTGGTGCCTGGAGTCGTCAAACCCTGTCGTAATGCAAAGCCAGGAACAAACTGAAATATCCCTAAACCAAAACACAGTAAAACACTGGAATTGCCGGAAAAGTACGCAGTAGTGAATACTAATCACTGAGTGTATGAACCATAGTGGGTCAGGTAGAGGTAGCTGACTAGAATGGAGCCGATCACGTGGCTATTCAGACTGTATAGATTATATACTTGCTACTCATTTTATTTTATTTTTTATATTTTGGGTGGGGGGCATTTTTGTTTCAACATGGCTTTTAGTGAAACAATAGGAATGAGAGGTTAGCATGAGTATGGCTATGTGATGGAACCATGTAAATAATGAAGATACAAATAAGCATGTTTATATTTGCTGCACAGCTGTGAACATACAGAGTAAATGTATTGCCTCTATGGACAAGCTGAAGATATTTTTTTGCCCTAGAGAAAAGTGTTTCCCCAAACAACAAAATTGAGACAAGTTGTTTGCGCTCTGATTGTTGGTAACAGCCGATGTCGTATTATGTTGTTGCTCCCTTTTATACTGTTTTGTATAAATGTAGGAATTGAGTTAAATCCTGACAGTCATTTTTTACCCCTAGTTGCAGAGTGTTGATTGGCTGCTCTCTTGGTGCAGCGTGATTGGTGCCTGAGGTCTGGCAGCAGCCAATTAGCTAATTGTGGCATAAACACTCATGTTTGTAATCTAATGGGAAGAACAATGCTACCCAGTTATCTCTGATGTGTAGAAGTATTTTGATTGTAGCAGAATGCATTTGATACCAACCCTCTCATCGTCACTTTTTGAGATGCCTTATGAATGTGGTGCATCTCAAAGGTGATTATCGGTCCTGAATGTGAGAAGGATACTAGTATATAATATATTGTACATAATCTGTATTCGTGGTAACATTTATAGATCTGACTCTTGGTTTGTGATAGTTTTTATTTTATTTTATGTTTCCATATTTTTTTGACAGGTTGTTAATAAACTGTTTACATATGATAAACAAATTAATGACTGCCCCTGAACTGATTTCATAAAAAATAGTTGATAATGAAGCATTTTATAATATAGGTAGAGCCTGCCTTACAGGCCTGCGCTCTGGCTGTTACTATTTTTTTTTTCTTTTTCTATAAATATGCTGAAATAAATAGACCTATTCTAAAGTTTCAATTGACTGGAAGGCTCCTTTTGAACCTGTTGTAGTTATGGAAACAAGACGCCTACTGCTTCTCTTTTCCTATAGTTCTCTTGTAATGTTATCTGCAAAGAGTTACCACTCTGTGGACACTATTATTATTCCTCTTTAAGACCACCTTGCTTACTTTAAGTTCGCTATGTTAGTTTAGTTACTAAAATATTTTTGTTTGTGTGTTTTGCTTTGTTTCACTTTAATCATTTGAATCCTGCATTAAAAAAAACAAACAAAAATAATTGTTTACGTACTTATCAAAAGTAATATCCAAGTAATTTATGAATTCTCAAATAGGAGCAAGAATTTCTTCAAAAGCAACAACAAGAGCTTGATGGTTTTCTGAAGAAGATTATTCATCAGCAGAAGATGGAGCTGGCCACTATAGAGCGAGACTGCTTGAATCACAAACAGCAGCTGATGCGAGGTAGTCTCAATAAAGATCTAAATTTGCCTTGTGTTGGCCCGCCTTTGTATAGCTGTGACTTTAAGCGTTCTGTAGGTTGTGAAAAGCCTCTTATCTCTAGATTACACTTTTGAAATTAGAAATCCAACATGTTCGTTTAAAGGGTTACTCAAACCATTTCTAATCAAATGTTTTTTGTTATTTTTCAGTTAGGATGCACCATTGGACATTATTAACTTGGTGCCCCCTTATATTTTTTAAAATCACTAATAAAGAAGCTTTAACTTACCTGGAATACAGTGCCAGATAAAGATAACCTACCTTACCTTCCCTGCCCCCCCTGTAACTCCTTCACTCTCTGTAGCCCACACAAATGCTACTAATGAGGAGGTGATGGAATGTGGGGTGGGCTACGGGATAAAGTCACAAATCAAAATGCGTGGGGCGGTAGAGATGGGAGGGAGATGACATACAAATATCCCTTTGCAGGCACGCCCCCCCCTGCTAGGATAGTAGCTGATTACATCTGTCACCAGCACACAATACATTCTGAAGTCAGCTGTAATCTTTGCACAGAATTATCATTAAGCAGCCTGGAGTTCTCAGTTTCCCAAGTCATTTGTGAAGGGGGCTCCAGGCTGCCTAATTCACATTTACCAGGGCTGCAACAAGCCACTGGCACAAAATCAGTTTTCTGAATTTGTAGTGTTTCATACTTTATTTGTGCCTCCGTAAGCAAAGATCAAATTCACTTAAAGTCCAGATTTTGTGCTGAGATTGTGATCATTTTCAAGAAAACTCAAAGAATACAAGTTACAAAAGTGAATTCTTCAACAAATCCTCTCCACTGGACATTCATTTATTGTGACATCTGGCATTGCAAAGCTTGTGCTGGGTTCAGCAGAAAACAAACATGATTATTTACTAAAGTGAGAATTGTTAGAATTTCAACTTGCCAAAATTGCTGAAATCAAAGTATTATTGATTTTAATCATTTTCCAATTCACTGCTTTGGCCCTAAATTTGAATTTCATTTTGAATTTCACTTTGAATTTGCATCAATTCTCATTTTAGTATATAATCCTGAGAATATGCTTTAAAATCAACAGGGCCGTAATTTGTCTTGGTCTTTGCGCTACTTGTTACAGTGTACCTGCCAGTGTGCCATGTTTGGAATACATTTAATGTTCAAATCAGTACACGCAACTGCCGTGTTGAACAAGCAGACATAAACTACTCTCCTAGCTTTTCTGTCTCCTGGCATCCTTCCGGGATATAGGTGATTCCCATTTTTTTCCCTGAGTGACCAAGATCCTTATGGAACACATGCAGCTCTTGGCCACCACGAGTAGGCAGTGGCAGATGGCAGGCAATTGGTTTTAATTTGGATGCAGTGTATAACACATACTTGTTGCAATTTATGATTTGATTTTCTAAATGGCAGATTTTCTTCCCTAGTCGGTCAAAACAGTTTATCTTCAATGCAAGGTTTAAATGCAAAGCAGATAGTTTTCCGTAGTTCCTATTACAGATAATCAGTTACAAATGCATTTTAAAACTGTGTAGGTTGATAAAAACACGTTTTCTTCGTCTCCTTTTAGCCCGAGAAGCGGCAATATGGGAACTGGAAGAAAGACACCTACAAGAGAAGCACCAATTGCTTAAACAGCAGCTTAAGGATCAGTATTTCATGCAAAGGCACCAGTTACTGAAGAGACATGAGAAGGTTTGCTGACATTTGTTTATTTTTAGTTTGTGGTTTTGTTTTTACACTTCAACTTTGAATAATAATTTTCACACACCATGTGCTATAGCCACTGCAGTGGATAATGGGAGTGGTACAATATGTATTCTTTCCAAGCTCCCGTTGCTATTTATGTAACAAACATTCTGTGTTGGGGTCGTGTAACGTAATAGATTAATTTTACCTTTAGTAAAGCTGGTTAAAGTGGGCTTGACATCTTTTACAGTGCTCTCCTTGCTTTTGGCTGTCATCTTGACTTAGTTCATTTTAAAGGAATACTCGGGGCACAATAACCACTTTCTTGGAACAAAGTTGTTATGGTGCTATACAATCCCTGGCACGGACTTACCTTCAGGAGTTCATTCGTTAATAAACGGTCAGCTCTGCCACCTCCACATCCGCTTAAATCCGAGGCTTGAAACAGGAAGCCTTGGACTGGAAGCCTGAGAGCGACCCTCAAAATAAGGTGTAAAGAAGGAGAGCAAGCTCAGAAAATGTGACTCGGAATCCATAAATAATTTAATGCAAAAAGTCCTTAATAGCACTAGACTGAGGTTTGTAATGGTGATTGTAAGTGAGCACATAAAGTATAAATGTCCTAGTAAATTAAAAAGCATAAAACAAAAGTTGCAGATCTTATTTCATACCTTTATGGCTAATGTAAGTCAATGAAAGATCATTTTTACTTTAGGGACTCTTTGTTCGCTTAGTATTTAACATTTTTAATGCACGCTTTATAATTGTTACCTTGTTAATTATGTTTATTTTTTAGGAAATGGAGCAAATGCAGAGATACAATCAACGACTTATAGAAGAATTGAAAAACAAGCAAACACAAGAAAGAGCCCGACTCCCTAAAATTCAGCGCAGTGATGCAAAGACTCGTATGGCCATGTTTAAAAAAAGTTTAAGGATAAATTCATCTGGTTCACCAGAACAAGACAGGGAAAAGATTAAACAGGTAGTTATCTATTTAGATTGATGTCATCCGCCACATTTATTCCTTGTTTAGCTCTGATCTCTTTACTGTGGGGACTTTGCTGTTTTTGTTTAGGTGACCACCTTAATGTGATGTTAGTTTTTCACTGCAGTTTAATTTTGTACTCGGCAGAATCACCCTATCATTTGTGCCTTTTTTATCTTTGTAGTTTGCCGTTCAAGAGGATAAAAGACAGAAGAATGAAAGATTAGCACAACATCAGAAGCACGAAAATCAAATGCGTGATTTGCAGCTGCAATGTGATGCAAATATCCGGGAGCTGCAGCAGTTGCAGGTCTGTTGTATTGCTAGTTTACATTTATAACAACTGGCTGTGCTGTTATGAATGGTTAATGAATTAACCAGTGTCATGTCCATGGGTGAATGCTGGTGGAATGTTTGTTTCCTGCCCAAGACTGTGGTGGTGTCCAGACTATTCATGAACTCATCTGCTGTACATGTGTTCCCACCATAGCTACTACAAGACTACTGCATGCACCTCAACTTTTCTGCAAAATATTTCCAGAGCTTCCTACTAGATATATCTCCATATATCTCCTTGCAGTGGCATTGGAATGGAATGATGACTGGAAAATTTAAATTGCTGGGATATAATAACATTTTATATATGAGGGATCCGAGGTTGTTGAGAAAATCAATAAGGGTGGGTCATATTAAGGTATGGGGAAATACAGTGAGTTGTGGATGCGATTCTGTTGTAAAGATGGAAAAGGTTGTGAGAGATGGAATATGGAGTAAGAAAGATAGTTTGAGGAGTAATAATATTTCACCTCACCGGAGATACAGGGGTTCAGACAGAAGGACCAGGAACACAAAGTGGCCGCGTATGCGGACGACATGCTTTTCTTCATAACAGATCCCCAGGGTTCACTACCGGCCCTCCTGAGCGAGTTCACAAAATACGGGCGGGTATCGGGACTTAAACTGAACCAAGCTAAATGTGAAATACTGGCGGTACACACCACAAGGAACACACAAAAGCGACTCCAGGGCAGATACCCCTTCCACTGGTGCACGGAACAGATGCACTACCTGGGAATATGGATTCCTTGCATTCCGAGCGAAATATACACCAGGAACTACACACCTCTCCTCTGCACCATATTGACAGACCTGAAGACGTGGGCCTATGACCATATTTTGTGGCAGGGGCGCATAGCGGTGGTCAAAATGAACATTCTACCCCGACTTCTCTACTGCTTCAGCACTATTCCCTGGCACCTACCCCCGGAATTCTTCACCACGCTCAAAACCGCGGTAACTCAATACGTCTGGAAGGGGGCGAGAGCACGGCTCAGTCATGACAAGCTGTACCTACCCAAACCATGGGGCGGCTTGGCACTGCCAGATTTTCGCAAGTACTTCCAGGCAACGGTGCTCCAGCGAGTAAGAGAATGGCACACGGCCCCAACAAACAAACTATGGACGAGTCTAGATAGAGAAAACACAAACAAGGCCCTCCACACATATGTCTGGCATGGTTCGGCAGCAGTCAAACACGCCCTGGGTAAAGAATCCCCCGTCACTCAGACGCTGAAAACATGGGCCACCTTGAGAAGAAACCCACACACATCCCCACAGCCAAGCCCCTTGATCCCCCTGACACACAATGAGTCCTTGGGAGGAGGGCTCCAACCAACCGCCTGGCCAGTAAACGACGAAACTGACTACATCCCACTGAACTCAGCCCTGACCAATGCAGGTTTGCGCAGCCTACGAGATTGGGCCACCGCAGAACACCTAACGATGATGCACCAATTCCATTACGCACAGCTGAGGCACTTTTACCACAACATACCCAATAAGGCAGCGGTACACAGGGAAATGTCATGGTTTGAACAACTCTGCGTGACTAACCCTGAGGCGGAAGGCAGAGTGTCGGTCATATACCAACAGCTGATCATAGGGGACCTCTCCAGGAACAACGCCTTTAAGCGGCAGTGGGAAGAACTAACAGGCAGAACTTTCACGGAAGCCCAGTGGGAACAGATACTCCTACTGCAGCATAAGAGTTCAATAAGCACCAGGTACCAAGAGGTTAACTTTAAGTTGATCTCTCACTGGTACAGAACTCCATCACTACTGCACAGGATTTTCCCAGGGGTCTCAGATTCATGCTGGAGGTGCGAAATCCATCCAGGCACGTTACGCCACATCTGGTGGGACTGCCCCAGGATCGAACCATTCTGGGAAGAGATGAAACTAGAAATAACCACAATCCTAGGAGAACCACCGGACTTTAGCATGGAAGCCGCACTCTTGCACTTCACCGAAGGAACGTTAGCTTAATATAAGCGATTGATACTACGACACCTGCTAAATGTCCCACTAAGGTCGAGTGGCTCCAGAGAGTAGAGGAGATCCACACAGCCGAGGCAAGAAATGCCGACATGCTCAGGAAACGTGACAAACATGTTGAACTTTGGAGACCGTGGTACACATATATTTCACAAATGATAGCGCAGGAAGGAGGGCGACAGGAAATCTAGTCAGCGAGATGCCCGCGCGTACCTCGCCACCCTTTCCCGCCCTTAGCATACGAACACTAGACGATGCACTAGATGCGCACCACACCATTGCTCACACCCTGTTGCTGCCCCCCCCCTACCCCCGAGCGGAGCCGGGAGCCACCCAACGAATTACGGAAGTCACACGATAATGACACACAAGGCCACCATACATCCACACAAAAAAAGGAGACACATATACCACCACAAACCAACACAGAAATAGGAGACACATATACCACCACACAGACCAGAAGAGACAATCCCATGATGTGGATCACATCTAGCCGGGGAAGCAACCTCATGACAAACCTACAACCGTAGACAAGAGCAACATTAGGACACCACACCGCCCCCGCCCAAGATGAGGATGACACCCACAACATACGGTAAGAACCTAACACAGTAAGGAGATGGGTAAACCAACCGAACACAGACAGACACGGAAGCACAGCCACTACTACAGATAAACACTTCAACCAACCACTTGAATAACGTCATAGACTCGTAAACAATGGATAGATACGAACGCAGCAAACAGCAGAAGGAACCCCAGAAGTGCCCTGACCGGATCACCTGGGATTAGTTTACACCAGGGGGATGGTGGAAGGAAAAGGGTGACTTCGACCTGATGCTAGACTATACGGACCCACACCCCAAGACTGAGACAGGGGCCACAATAGATCAAATTCAGCCTCTATACAGGGACGAATAGAAATAACTATGCACGCACCAGAGTATTCACAATCTCCAGGTGACGTTACTAGATACTCATAGCGTTATAGACGGAAGCGGAGAGACAACGGAAACGAGGCTAACCATACTCTAACCTCGGGGACCACTAGGGGGCAGGCGCAAAGTATGGCTAGAATGCAGAGCATGGACCATGCCAGATTACCTGACCTAACGTGGTTATGCGCTCTTACCTCTTCCCCACCGATAGTTGAACCTAAAGCACTACATTACCCAATATAATGCAGTCATAAGATGATAAAACAAAGGACCTTCGAGTCCACATCTACTTGGGCCCAGTTTTCATGATGCGTTACTCAGTTATACTTAGCACATGTTGTGCTCCCATTGCCATAATTACTATGCCAGTAGAGACCTGCAAGTCTCATTGAAACCTGTTATTGATTGAAATGCAAATAAAAACTATATTTACAAAAAAAATATTTCACCTGAATTAAACCCTTCTGTCACTTACCTAATTCCAGCGCTGATGTCTCTAACATGTAAAATGCTTTCCTATGGGGTTTTACATAACACTGGATGTCCTCATGCATAGCGTGAGAACGTCCAATGTCAGGCGACCAAAAGTCGCTCAACAACCTGGAAGTTCCTCTAGATGGAGTAAACCCTCAAAGATAATTATTGCTGTTTATTTAAACTTAAATAATTACCTTTGCACAGTTAAGGAATCTGGGACACTGTGTCTTTTTAATGTGCATAACATTATGACAGTAATGTTGGATGTTATATTGGGGTCATAAAAATGTTTTGTTTTCCTCATTCAGAGGTATAAGTTTAATACTTCTATGCTATGTTTGTATTACATTGTTGCATTCCCATGTGCAGTAGGCATTTTTAAATTTTATTTTTGTAATAAGTGAGAATTTCATCTATCAGTGTAGATCTGTGTTATGAGATAAAACGGTCAACTGAAAGCTTGGTACATTCACGTCCTTAACAAAATGAGTAGATCAAGCGTTTTCTTTTGACTTGCCCTATCTAACATGCCTCTCTACCTAAGATCTTCTATTTTACAAGATATATATGGCTTGCGATGTTTTTGTTTTTTGTAGAATGAGAAATGTCATCTGTTAATTGAGCATGAAACACAGAAACTGAAAGAGTTAGATGAAGAACATGCACTGGAGCTGAAGGAATGGAGAGATAAACTAAGACCCCGCAAAAAGGTAATCAGTACATTTATTGTACAGACCTCTTCCTCATTAAAAAGAAAATAAATCTTAAATATATTCTAATATGTACTCTAAATCATCATTGAAAGATGAGATTGGAATTGGAAACCATATTTGTGTAAAAGTCTGCCCCTTCACCTAATGCTCAGCTACCTTCTCCATTATATGCTTCTTAGTCTGACGATACAGCACCTTTACTAATTATGGGTATGAAGGGCTTCTCTCACTAGGTTGGTTTGCTTTTCCTTTTTTGTGTTGCATTGTAACCAGATTTGCTAAACTAATGCCATTTGCCAAGTTGAGAATATTAGTTAGAGAATTTTTCACCTCTTTTGATTTAGTCATACATGTGATATCTCCTCTAACATTAAATAATGTCCCTTTCATTCTTTTCTTTTGTGATGCCTCCACCTTTATGTTGCATAAGACTTTTTTTTCACTTGTATTGTATATAAATTCATTGCGAATGTCAACTTTCTCCGTGTCTCATCTTCTATCTAGATTAGTTTTTCAGTACAGGAATACTTTCGTTTTATCTGTTGTGTGAAGCAGGTCTTAATATAGCTCTTTTTCATTAATCGTGGTTGTTTTCTAATACAAAGAGCCATTGTTTTGTAGACTTATCATTTTATCTTTAGAATGTCCTTATGTTTAGCTGGACACTGTTGCATATTGTAAATGTAACTTACACTTTGTTTCAAGGAAATAATGCCATTGTTTTCTAACAGGCACTTGAAGAGGAATTTGCACGAAAGCTTCAAGAACAGGAAATGTTTTTTAAAATGAGTGGCGATTCTGAATGCCTTAACCCCACCGCACAGAGCCGGATTTCCAAGTTTTATCCTATCCCAAGCATGCATTCTTCTGGGACATAAAGGCGAGAAGCCGTGCTTGTTGGCCTCCAGCTCTTGACAACTGCCATGAAGCTCAAAGTTATCACAGCTGGAGAGCTGCTGCTTTGCTGATTTTATATTTTATTTCCAATATGCCCTTTTTAAAACATTTTCAGAAAGCATGGATAGTTTTTAGCAAATTTACTTTTTAGTCTGTTTTTTGTGTTTTTGTTCTGTTTTAATAGTTTGAGGTGATTGGAATACATTTTGTAGAATATACTGTAAGAGCAAAACCTGAAAACGAGTTTGAAAGGTTTGTAAAACCACTGTTTGATTATCAGGAAAATCTGCCACCTTTATATTATATTATTTAGTATGTATAATAACGGTTATAAAAGAAACCTTCTTTGCGGTTTAATCCCAAGTGAAATGACGCGTTTTCTTTTATTGTAATACAGACTACATTTTTTGTTAAACTTCCATCTATCACCATCACGTGTTTTTTGTTTTTATTATTTTAAATTTTAGATGCTATATTCAGATTTGCTCATACCCCATTAAGTTCGGTTTGTTGACTTCCATGTTGTCCTACATAGTTTTTGCATTTAAGCGATTTCTTTTTATGAGTGGTCCAGCACTGATATAGCGATTTCCTCCCAGAAATCAACAGGGGACACGAAGTGCACACGCTATTTTTTCCCTGTAATTTAAAGGGACTCTCCAGTGCAAGGAAAACATATCCATTTTCCTGGCACTTCAGGACCCTGCAGTGCCCCTCTCCTCCCAACCCCTATCCCATGTTGCTGAAGGGGTTAAAACTCCTTGAGTGACTTACCTGAACCTAGAGCCGATGTCCATCGGCGCTGGGTCAGGCTCTGCCCATGCTCCTCCCCCGCCATCAGCCGGCTGGGGAGACATAATGCGCATGCGTGGCTAACTTTTATAAGAACTGCAATAATTACACTTGCAGGGTTAAGGGTGGTGGGAGTTGGCACCCAGACCACTCCAATGGGCAGAAGTGGTCTGGGTGCCTCGAGTGTCCCTTTAAAGTAATGGTGAAGCAGTAATCATTCAAATGTTCCAAGTGTACACATTATTTCATTTAAATGTTTACAGGTACTCATGAAAGTGTATTTTCCTGGGATGCTTCGTATTATGTTGTACACATATTTCCTAAATACTTGTGGTAAGTACTGCATAAACTGGATACCTATAACGGTCTCTAAACTACCTAGTTGTAGTTTGTGACTAAATGCACTTTACTTTTCAAAACAGGTTTGCCCCCCGCCCTCCCAATCACCTCTAGTCCCAGTTACCTAGAAAAAAAAAAACTGAAAAGAATGTTTATACATGTATAATAGTTTTATCTCTCAAAAACTAGGTGCATTGTCTGAAGCTGTTTAGAATGTAATGGCAGATATGCCCTGCCACAAATAATAGGATGACGGTATCGCTGGAACATCTCAGGTGTTCTGTGTTTACTCTTACTGGCATAAATTCATAATCATGCCAAAGCTTAAATTGCCAGTTCCTCTTGTTACTGTAGTTGTGTTTTGGCACGGGAAATGAAAAGTGATAATGGGGTGGCATGCTGTTACCTCCTGAAATGGAACTCCGTTAAACATTAAAAGGATGGTGGCATTTTCAGTGCGAGGGAAGCAGCCACAGTTCCCGGCCCAAACACTCATTTACACACTGGTCTCCTAATCACTCCAGTCTTGGCATCCTGCGGAGCTCAGTCTGGGCCCACAGCACCCGCCTTACAGAGCGGCATCGTCATGATGATTCTCTCTGGATGTGCAACTATTATTCAAGGTGAGTGAGTGGGTTTTCCTCCTGAGAGGCGGATCAACCTCAGCAACGTTCATGCATGTAATCTGGCTTGCATAGCTGCTGTGTATTTACAAGACTCTAAGGATAACCTCGATGCATTTCCAGGTCGGAAATTCCTGAGAAAGAAGTTAATTGGCAAAGAGGTTAGCTTTATACTAGAGTACAAGACTGCACTGTGGAGAAAGTATGGAATGGTTTGCGTCGGAAAAGAAACATCTGGTGAGAACATTGCATAGTCCCTTGTAGCTGAAGAACTGGCCTCCCCACGTAAAGGAGTACAAACTACAACCCCAGAGCAGAATAGGCTGGTGGAAATAGAAGAACAATCTTGAACAGCAAAAAAAGGGTTTGTGGAGTGAGGGCACTGACTTTCATATCATCAGAGACATTAAACACACAAAAGTGAAATCAAGACACTTTGTGGACTTCATGCATCAGAAACCAGTTAACGCGGTTACTGAGCATGTGTGAGATGGAAGTGTGATTAGAGCACTGCTACTTACTGAATACTCTCTTGTTGCAGTGATGCTGTCTGGTATAAAGTGTCCAGCCTTTAAGAGAAAAGCTGATGGCATTGAGAATTTTGACCCTTTTGCTGCAGAAGCAAAGTTTTGGGGGGTTTTTCAGAGTCAAGTTTGCTGCAGTGTGATGTATAAATTATTTTGGAAAGCAGCCACCAAAAAAAAACTTCAAGGGAACCGTTCTCCATCCCAATGGTAACATCAGAGAAGTGCTCCTTAAAGAAGGGTTTGCTCAATGTGTAGGCTGAGAAAGCGAAGGGCAGCAGAACGATTTGCCCAAGAAAGAAAGATAAGGATCTGGAGAGCTTGTGGCGCCCACAGAAAATTTGAATCAGAAGGATACGCAAGATATTGCCAAGGTGGTGCAAGTTTTAAACGCAGATGCCATGGTTGTAAAACTGAATTCAGGGGAATACAAACCTATTCATCTTTCCAGTACAAGGCTGCCAAGGTTTCAAGGAGAGGGATCACAGGTTAATAACAAGAATATTGAGTCCTCTCAATTGCCTGTACATGTTTAGGGCCAGAGATTTTCTTCAGAAGAAACTTTTTGGGTGTGCGGTGGGGAGGTGAATGTAGATTATATTCGGTCAGCAAGCACAGCAATAGAAATTGTCCCAGTCTTTCCAGAGCATACCTGTGCCACTGTCATAATTGGTGAAATAACCATTGCAGAAGCTGTAGTGAAGAAAGATTTTGCCACAGTGATCTGCTATAGACAGAATGATGACCAGTGATTCTCTCACTGAGGAGTTACTGGTAGCGGAAGCATGAGCCATCAAGAATGCGAAGTCTCAAAGGCAAAACCGTTCCTTCCATTCCTGCAGGGCCAGATGCTCTGGAGCTATTGTAAAGTATGTATTCAATAGATCCAGGCTTAAGCTTTACATGCCAAAGGAAACCTGACTTATCACATTTCTCCTTGCTGGCATTGAATCTCCTAGAGAACCGAGAAATATGCCGGGTGGTGTTCAGGTAGGTGAGCCATTAAGTGACAAAGCATTGTTTTACACCAAAGAACTTGTATTGGAAAGACAGGAAGTTGAAGCAATGGACAAGGCTGGTATCTTCAATGGATGGTTTCACATTGATGGAACACACATTGTCCAAGGTTCACTTCACTGCTGAGCGCAGCATCTGCTTCAAACCCCTCCTTTCTGCAGAAGAGGACACTAAATAAAGAAGAAAAGATCTGGTTGAAGTTTGAGGAGCTGCCATTTGAAGTAGTGGCCATGGTGGAGGAGAAAGGGAGAAATGCCAATCAGAAGCCTGTCCTAGTGGCAGAGATAACAGATGATCTTCGCTTCTACATTCAGGATGTCGAGACAAGTACACAGCTGGAGACTCATGGAAGGCATGAGAAGAGAAATCCCCAGCAATCCTCCATTAAAAAGCTCCTTCTCATCACACCGTGGAGATTACTGCATCACCAAATTTGTGAGTGGAGAGTGGTATCGAGCTTGTGTGGAGAAAGTAGTCACCTGCCAAAGTACGTGTTTTTGTTGTTGTTTTTTTCTAGAGTATTCATTTGCAATCATCCTGCAATTCAGCCTAAAGATGAAAAGGTATGTGGTGAACAGTGTAGTGAGAGACATACACTCTGTGTCTGCTCAATGTGGAACATTTATGGAACTGGATGCCAGCATGTCATCCTACAGTATTCAGACTCAGAGGAAGATCTTTGATCTCAGAATAGACTGCTCGGTATAACCTGTAGGCGTTAAGGAGATTTCCGTGCAGATAATGCTGTTGAATTTGGCGACAATTGCTACAAAGTAGTGCTATTCCGAAGATGACACAGACCTAACCTTCTACCTACTCACCCGCTGACCTCTGAATTCCCATGACTATCCTCTAATTTCAAGCCCCAACATTTCCCTAATGCCTTTTTATTGCAAGTGGCGAAGCACTATAATGGGACTTTCAATTCCGAAGGGGCATACACGGTTCATTTCGGACAATGCAACAACGTCAGCATTACAAGTATCCTGAAAACGTCATAAAACACTATTTTTTTTATTTTACTTGTCAAATTAGCTATTTTTAACAATTTCTTGTGATCCAGTCTTGCATCCTATAATTATGTCCTAAACTGTTCATCTTCATAGCTTTCAGTCCGGTTCATTAAATAATTGACTTGTTTTTCCTATGTCCAGGGTCATATGTTTTGTCGTGTGTGTGTATATATACACGACAAAACATATGACCTTGGACATGGGAAAACCCAAGTTTTTTTTTATATATATATATATATATATATATATATATATATTCTCAATAAAGTACTTAAAATAAAAAGGGAGTGGGATTTTCAAAATCTCAGCTGAAGCATTTGAATTTTTTTTTTTTCAAACTTGGGCAATGTTAACTTTAATGTTTTAAACGTACACTCCCTACTAACCTTAGTCATTTTTGTGAAAATGCTACGAATGGTGCTAGATTCCAGTTATTTAGTTCCTGCAATAGGGAGAACAAGTGCTTGGATAGTTTTTCATATATCTTGCATAATGTAATTTAGTGGAAGGAGATATAATTGCGGAGTTATACTGAAAGAGTCCAGTGCTCTTAATAAATGTTTTTTGCACTAAAATGTTGATTACAAGCACACTAGAATATCCTATTTCATCAAAAAATATAGATGATCAACCCAGCATGTTAAACAAAAAAAATCTGCTACAAAGGTGCTGGGTAACAGTTTTAAGTTTTACATAGTTTAACGAGCTTTAAATGCATTGCAGTTTGCTCAGGCACTCACCGTTTTAATGAAGCTACAAACAAGTTCTTTATAAAAATTTGCTGAATTTATATTACAAGATGCTATATATATTATTTGGGAATTTTTTTTGCCATACTGCATATACCCTTCATTAGTATTCTTTTATATGTGTATAATGGTATACATATATATATATATATATATATATATATTATTTTTTTTATTTTCTGCAGTGGCATTGACAGCTTTGTTATAGAAGATATTATTTAGTTATAAGTGAAGGTGTGCACTCATTTCTTTAGGGTTATTTTAAATTTTATCAGAAAAGTATTACCAGCTATTTTTGTTTTATTGTATAAAACTATTTTACCCACATTTCTTTATATGTTTGTATTTTATGGTATTGTTACTTGTAATATAGCCATATTTTGGTTCCTTTAGGTTTTTTGTTTTGTTTTTAATTGTATGACTTGTTCTGTTGGAACATACGAATCAATATATGTTTGTTACACTAATTAGCTTAATGAAGCAGTTTTGGTGTATAGATCATGCTTCTGCAGTCACATTGCTTAATTCTCTGCAATTTAAGTGTTAAATCGCTTTGTTTATGGAGTCCTAGTCACACCTACCTGCATGTGACTTGCACTGCCTTTCTAAACACTTTCTGTAAAGATTCATCTGTTTACACTCCCTTTATTACAAATTCTGATTAATTTAGAATTTCTTCTCACTGCTCAAAGAGCAGGAGATAAACACTTAAAGTAAGTTAACATGTTATTGAAAATGAAAAACCAATTTATTTATTTTTTTCCATGCAGGATGTCGGTCACAGCCCGGGGAGGTGTGGCTAAGGCTGTATGAACAGAAACAAAGTGATTTAACTCCTAAATTGCAGTAAATTAAGCAGTGAAACTGCAGGGGTATGATCTATACACCAAAACTGCTTCATTAGGCTAAAGTTGTGTTGGTGACTATAGTGTCCATTTAACATGCATTGCTAACACTTGGGAGTAAAAAGGAAATATTCTAAACTGTTGATATAACCGGTCAAGATTGGTCAGTTTGTCTACAAGGAATCTTGATGGTTTAAAGTGAACCTCTGTCCCATAAATGTGGGTGTGATGAGATCATATTTAGATCTATAAGTTGTGATAACACTATCCAGCTGATATATATTTAATGTTATACTTCCCTGAATTTGCTAAATATCTTCCTGTTTATGGATGAGATATGGATGCATGTATGAACCTATTAAAATGTTTGAGACTGATTCCCAGAGTGCAGAAAATGAATATAATTATTTTACAGAAATGGAAAATAATAGCTTGGAGAAACAGTTTAGGCTTAAGTCTTTAAAAAAAAAAAAATATATATATATAATATATATAATATATATATATATGTGTGTGTGTGTGTATATATATATATATATATATATATATATATATATATATATATATATATATATATTTTTGGACCACACTCTGCTTTTTTTTTTAAATATTATCTTGCCCTAATAACTTGTAAGAGTTTCAATATGCATATCCATTGTTAAGATTTACACACCCAGTCACCATCAGTTAGGACAATCCTCCTATTTGGGACATATATTCTCAGGCTGGAATAGGAGCTAGAAGTGGTAAACCTCTAATCACTGTTTATCAAAAAACTATTTTCAATTCCTCTTAGTCTTGGCGATTGAGGAACCTTATTATTACTTTGAGTATTTCTCGTGATCGTTCAACTACACTTATGTTTTAACGGGGAATTGGCAAAATATTTTTAAGCTTTGTCAACTCCGGGGGACTTTATGACCTCTGAGATCATGCCTGTGTCCAAGTCGTTTAACACACCAATAGAGCCGTCCTATGGAGAATTTAAAACGTGTATCCTTAAAATCCACTCAGTTCTGATAGTCTGATATAGGTTTTGAGAATTTTGACATAGTTTACATTTTACTTATTCACTTTAAGCAAAGAAAACTTTTTGAACACTGATTAGTGTTTTAGAGTGGATTTTTATTTCAGATAACCAGTTGCTTACACTATTTTAATATATTTAAATTTTTTTTTTAAAAAGTATAGTTTTAACAATATTACCTGTCTTGCTTGTTTGGGCATTCATTCGTTTTTATAGATTTTATTTATTCAAGACTGCTTTATCTCATTTTCTCTCTGCCTCCCTTTACCCTTATTAACTGTATTCACATTATGCAGATAGTGACTGCTTGCATTGGTCACGTCATTGATGCGTTATCATGATCTATTTTTGTATGCGTGTGTTTGTGTTAAAATATATACACACCCACACACACCTGAATTGCTTGTTTTTTTTGTTTTACTGCTATTTTTATGCAAAAGCACACCTGAATATATGCATTAAACTGCAGAGATCTTGTGCGTATAAAGCTATTGTTAAACACAATAGAAATCCAATTATTTCCTTCGCAATTGGAGGTAATGGTGGAAAATTCTTCCACTAAAACATCATGCCTTCCAGAACATTTTAACTTAGTGGCGTTTGCTTGCATGCTTGCCTTGCAATGCTCCTCTGTTATTCTATGTGTTTTTCAAGGGTCAGTGCATTGCATTATCTTGAGGGAAAAGCCATCAGCTGGAAGTGTGATGACGAAAAATCCAATTCTTTGATGTAATAGAAAAGGAGAAGTTAGAAAATGTTTATATATCCAAATGCATGTTTTACTCTTAATGCCCTTTAATTTGTACCCTGTGGTCAAGTAATTTTAGGCAGATGGAGTGTCCCTTAGCTCTTACATTTAAGAAGCAAATACTATCTGCTATTGATTGATATGCTAAACATGAAACTATGCCTGGGCAAATTCAACAATCTTAATAAAACGGTGCTTATTAGATAATCAATATTTGTTTTTTTATTTTCTGATTTCAAAAGAATGTTTCAACATAACATATTTTTTATTCAATTTGGACAATACGGTTTAAACTCTAAAACACCTAAAATAAATAAATAAATAAATATATATATATATATATATATATATATATATATATATATATATATATATATAATTTATTTTTTTTATTTTTTTTTCTTTCATTTTTGTTTCTCTACATTTGCAAAAAATTAAGTGGAACTATTTTTTTTTTTTTTTTAACTTGGCCAGTAATGAAATTTTAGCAATCATCTAAGTGTCAAAAAGCATATACTCTCATTTGTAAACTCTCCATGGCTTTCTGTAAAGGTTTTATCATAATGTAAATAAATCTAACTATACTGTAAGTGTCTGTGTTAAATCTTTTCTCAGTTGTCCAATGTGCCTTTAAACCCTGGCATTTTTAGTATATCCGGCCATGAAAAGTGTGTGTCCGTTGTATTTTAATCTAGCCAGGAATAAACCTTGTATTTTTACTTATCTTTTTTATAGAAAGTGCAGTGATTTTGATTCTGTGATTATATTTATATATATATATTTTAACATGCTAATTAACTGTAGGACCTCTTCTATAGGTGCACTCGGCACATAACGTCAGTGTGTCCAATAGGTAGATCCCCAGATGTTGTAGAACTACAACTCCCATGATACTTTGCATGTCTTTAAAATGGCAAAGCATCATGGAAGCTGTAGTTTTAAACTATCTGGGGATCTACCTTTTGGGCACCCCTGCTCTAAACATAACATTAAAAAAAAAAAAAAAAAAAAATCAATTTCAGGGGGTCACCAGAGGAGATCTGCTCCTCATTTTAGCAGGTGTGTAGAGTTTGTGCCATTCATATTTAGAATTGTTAGGAGGTACAGTTTAGTGCTTATCTGGTGGTGCTTTTTGTGCTGTTGGAGCGTTCAGAGCTACAAGTCACTGTGTAGAATACTCCAAAACTAACAATGTTACAAGTCTTGGTAAATGTGGCTAATATTGGTAACGTGCTAATTCATACCCTGTTTAGATAGCATTCATTGTCGGGTGATGGCTCTAAGACAAGTCAACAAATACAGTTTAAATCTAGTATAATGATGCAGAAGTATGAACTTCCATTTTCTCAAAACCAATTCAGGTCATGTGTTTGGTAGGTGCACAACACAGCAAGCCAACAGAGGGCCCAGTGCAAGACTTTTTTTGGACCCACCTGTCAGGTTCCTATCCTGACAAGCAAGACTTTTCTGTTTAATACTGTCCCTTTAAATACAGTACCTGTGTCTTGCCTCTAGTGGCCTCCCTAGCCACTAGTCACCAAAGACTCACCTTTATCACATGAAAAGAAGTTCTGCTATAAATGACCACACCCAACAAAGCAAGTGGCCTTTACATTGAAGTTGGTGTTCATACTACAGACGTCAGATCCTGGCTCCTGTGAAACCACCTGTAACCTGAATTGCTACCACCCCTGCTCCTTACCAACTTGGATTATTTACAACTATACTTCTCTGCAATATCCTACCTACCTGTTTTATACAACTGTGCTTCATACCAACCTGGATATCATACATCTCTGCTTTAACCTGCCTACCTGATTCATACAACCCTGCTTCATACCAACCTAGATAACATACATCTCTGCTTTAAAGGGCCACTATAATGCCACGAAAACAAACTAGTTTTCCTGGCACTATGGGGTCTTTAGGTCCCCCCCATCCTCAGGGTTCCAGTCTCACTGGGCTGAAGGGGTTAAACTCTTACCTTTCTCCAGCGCTGGGGATCACTCCTCCCTCTCCTGACGTCAGCGCCGCATGCGCTGCAAGAGCCGCACGCGCATTCAGTCAGTCCATAGGAAAGCATTTCTTAATGCTTTCCTATGGTCATCAGCGTCTTCTCACAGTGAGAAGCATGAAAGTTCACTAGAGGCTGGCTTAACCCTAGTATAGCAGTTTCTCTGAAACTGCTATGTTTACAGCTGCAAGGTTAACCCTAGATGGACCTGGCACCCAGACCACTTCATTGAGCTGAAGTGGTCTGGGTGCCTATAGTGGTCCTTTAACCTGCCTACCTGGATTTATACAACCCTGCAAAATCATTATCTGGACATTGCTGAAAACATTTATTAACAAGGTGTTATTTTTTTTTCCTCTGACTCCTTATACTTCCTAATACCTGTCCTATTATTCTTCCTATACTTTTATCCAGCTTTATTATTTGCACACTTGTTTGTTTTCTATTTAGGGCACATTGCCCTAATTAAGAGACCTGATTAAGAGAATGACACCACCTATATGGAATGAGATCTCTTTGCAGAGATGTGTTTGTGTGCTGTGTCTGTATGTGCATGTAAGCAAGTTTTGTGTGCATGTAGGGGTGTATTTGTTTTTTTAGTGTTGCCATTTGAAAGCAGTGATGTACTTGTAAAGTCACATGGTGCGTAAAAGTTGCCAACGCTCTGCTGATTCCATAGCTGAAAATTTCCAAACTTTCACTGGCATTAATATCCGCACACGATTGTGTGGCAGGAGCTTCATGTAATGGGTTTCCATGGCCGAGGGGCTGCATGCAAGCCACACATCACCAAATACAATGCCAAGCAGTCTGATTATTATGTTATTATTTTCCGCAGCGTTTCACAATGGGTGGACGAACAAACATGTAGTTGTAACCAGACAAGTTGGACACACAGGAACAGAAGACGTTGAGGGCCTTGCTCAATGAGCTTACATGCTAGAGGGCGTGGGGTAAAGTGACACAAAAGGTAAGGATAGTATTAGATTATTGACAGTATACAATGCCAAGCAGTCTAACGATTGAGTCTGGGTTTGGAGGATGCCAGGAGCACGTTACTCGAATACATTGTGCCTAGTTTGTTGGAGGTGGAATAATGGCCCCTTACTTCCATTCCAATGAAGGGAAATCGTAATGCTTTATCATTCCAAGACATTTTGGATAATGCTATGCTTCCAACTTTGTGGGAACAATTTGGGGAAGACCCTTTTCTATTACAGTGTGACCAGTGCACAAAGCAAGGTCCGTAAAAACAGTTAGTTGAGTTTGGTGTAGAAATTTGACTGGTCCACACAGAGCCCTGATCTCTGATCCCGATCGAACACCTTTGGAATAAACTGGAACGGGGATTGTGAGCTAAGCCTTCTCATCCAACATGAGTATCTTACCTCACAAATGCACTACCAGGTAAATGAGTAATAACACTCAAAAATCATATGGAATGCCTTCACAGAAGAGTGGAAGCTGTTATAGCTTTAAATTGGGGACCAACTACATATTCATGTGTGTGTTTTTAGAATGCAATGTCATAAAAGTAACTGTTGGTATAATGGACAGGTGTCCCAATACTTTTGTCCGTATGTATGTATGCAGTGGCGTAACTACTGTGGTCACAGCTGCAACTCGGGCCATCACTACACGGGACCTTGCCGCATTGTCCACCACTACAATTGTTGACCACCATTAATTAAGGAAGTTTAAACAGTAGACCTCTCTTTACAGGAAGTGTTTAGGAAGGCCGTGTAACTCCACATGCAGGAGAGGGGTGAATAGGGCTATATAAACAAAGTGATTTATTTCGTAAATGGCAGAGAATTGAGCAGTGAGACTGCAGGAGCATGATCTATACACCAAAACTTCATTAAGCTAAAGTTGTTTTGGTGACTATAGTGTTCCTTTAAGATGGGAAACACAAATTTTCTAGGCACATGGAAACCATTTTTTTTTTTTAAGTTTTTGCTGCAACTGCTCATATTGCTTTTTCCTTTGGAGCAGGCCCGGACTGGCCATCGGGCATACCGGGCAAATGCCCGGTGGGCCGCGATGGCCGTGGGGCCGAGGCCGGCAGGGAGATCACAGGATCTCCCCGGCCGGCCCCTGCAGGGCCGGCACTATCCGAGCGCCGGCCCTGCTGTGTGTCTCCATGGGCCGGTGGGGAGATCAAAGATCTCCCTCACCGGCCCACAGACAGGGAGATGCGGCCACCAGCTGGTTGAGGGAGGGAGGGAGGACGCGGCGGAGCTCTAGCCAGCAGCTCCGCCGGGTCCTCTCGCGAGATTCTGAGCGTTGCCGCGGCAACGCTCAGATCTCGCGAGAGTGAACTCTAACCTGCAGGTTAGAGTTCACTCTCACCACTGGACCACCAGGGAATGCAGCATGGTCCCCTCAAGGCTCCCCCTCCCAGGCAGAACGGCTCCCTCCCCCTCCCAGGCTAAAGGTAAGAAGGGAGGGGGGGGGACATAACTTTAAAAAAAATTATTAATAAAAAAAAATATATATACTTAAAATTAATTCCCAAACAGCACCCCCAGACACACACACACAGCACCCCCAGACACACACACACAGCACCCCCAGACACACACACATACCCCAGACACACACAGCCAACTCACACACAGCACCCCCAGACACACACACACACACACACACAGCACCTCAGACACACACTGCACCCCCAGAAACACACAGCACCCCAGACACACACTGCACCCCCAGAAACACACAGCCAACTCACACACAGCACCCCCAGACACACACACACACACACAGCACCCCAGACACACACTGCACCCCCAGAAACACACAGCACCCCAGACACACACAGCACCCCAGAGACACACACAGCACCCCCAGACACACTCAGCACACCGAGAGACACACATAGCACACATATATACATATATATATATATATATACACACTACAGCACCCCTCACACTGCACCACTACACACATTACGCTCCAGATACACGCTAGATCCCTTACCCTAAATGCACTCTTAATCCTCTGCACACACACACACACACAATCTTCTTTACACACTCTGGGTCCTTTACACACTAGATCTCTTACACACACACACTACATTCCTTGTAAGGAAACACATACAACATTCTCTAAAAACACCCTCTCTACAACCCCTACACACACTACATCACCTATACACACACACTACTGCCCGTATGCACACACTCGCTACATCCCCTATAACACTATGCCCCTATACACGCATTCTCTACAGCCCATAGCCACACATATTACACCTATTTACACAATACCACACCACACTCTACACACAGGCAATCCCACAAGCAGGCTCCAAACATATGCACCATGCACTTTCCTGGCCCTTTTGTCCTCTGGTTTCCCACTTGTGGAGACACCAGAGACAATTTAAAGGCAAACACAGTGCAAGCATGTTATTACATTTGCTTGCGCTGCGCAGAACAAATACAGGGCCTTTTTCTAAAGCCAGAGCTCTTCAGCGGGGCTCTGCACATTGAACCAACATGCTCACTTTGAGAGGGGGTGTGCTTGTCATTAGTGATGACAAAACACACCCTCTCTGGCACCGCCCCCTTCTTGGGGGGCTGCTCTAATTGAAAAATGCCCGGGCCTAATTTTTTTCCCAGTCCGGCCCTGC